TTGTTCGAAAAGTATTTGTCGGATTTCTTCAGTCTTTACATTACATGTCAAAGGAAAAGAAAACGAAGACGACAAAAAAAAGTTGAAAAAAACAAGGGGCCAATTCATAAACACGAATATTCCATTAATTTTACCAACAACAACAACAACAAAAAAAACCCGAAAGATGCAAAAGGAAACAGAAATTGAATATTTTTTTTCCAATTTATTTGCATAGAATATACATGGATTTTTATCCCGAAAGATGATGATTTGTGTGATTAAGTGTATAGAATTTTCTAGACAAATAATGGAATCGCATAGCAACTAAATGACCATTTGGTTGGTTTAGCTCATGGTTTAAACAAAAAATATTTTTCAAAAAGTTTTTCAAGATTTTTTTTTCTTCTTTAATATTCCTATAGTCTCGCTTTCATACATCATTTGGACATTAAGATTGGTCGGTTGGTTTGGTTGTTGTTATGCACACACATTCGAGCCATAAATGTTGATTATAAATCACCTGACTTGGTTTTTTTCTCTTCAAAATGTTGTTTTTCAAGCAAAAAAAGTTTTTTTTATGAAAAAATTTTCAAATTCAAGTTTGCATAAATTAATTTTAGGTAGAAAAAATTCCGATAAATATACACGGTTCACATTACGTTTTATCTAATTTTGTTATCGATGAAACAAAATACAGGTGACATTTAAGGCCACTTAGTTTAGATCACTGTCATTATGATCACTTTAAAAAACATGACCACTTTTTTCCATATCATTCATTCATTGAAACTTTCAATTTCCTTTTGACATATTTGTTGTGAATTAGAGTGCAGAGAAATATATTCTTCATATTGGTGAAGATAATCTGCCAAAAAGAATGCCAACAACAACAACTTTTCACCTTGATTGCTGTTGATGTGTTAAAAAAAAAATATTTATTGATGATAATGAGTATGGATAGTCTATATCTCTTGGTTTTATGTTGATTTGGCGAAATTTTTTTCTTTTGCTTTTAGATTCTCATCGGTTTTTTTTCAATATTTTCGGTCAAAAATCTTTTAACCTTTGATGAAACAAGGCAATGTAGTTTTTCAATCTACCTATCCATCATTCGGTATCATTTGTTGTCGGTATGAATCGTTTGTTAATTTATTCATGATTTTGATCCATTCATTCATGTACATTTACAAATGGAAAATCTTTAAGAAGAAATTTTCTCTTATCAAAAATTCATATGATGCGCAAAGATAATGTCAATGATGGGATAAAGTACACCACCACCACCACTATTACCATCACCAACCAACAACAACGGCGTTAATTTAATGCTAAATGAAGAAAAAAATAACGAAATTCAAATGTTAGTGCATTTCATTCATTCTATCTATCTATCTATTTAGTAAAGGAAAAGATGTTTCCTTATCCAATTTCCCTTCTACCAAGATCCGTCATGTATGATGATGATGATGATGATGATCGGTAAAATTTTTTGTGTTTTGGATAGAAAATTAACCGAGAGAAAATCTTTCAAGAATTTCATATCAAACATTGCAATCAATCAATCACCTCGATATATCGTTTGTTGCTGCTAAGGAAAATGAAATGAATGAGCATCGAAAAATTTTTTCCTGCAATGATAATTTGCAATGTGATGATGACCATTTGGGAATAGCAAAAGAAAAAAAAATAAGAATCCAAAATAGATCATCGACACACAGCCAATTTTTTTCATTTCTGGATTTTTCATTTTATTTCTTTAGAAATTCACAGAATATATTTTTATTTATATATGTTGACTTTTACAAATACAATACGTGACTAGTGTCCACAACATTATTATTGTTATTCGCAGTTGTTGTTTTTTGTTTTTCTTCAAATATTCATCCAAAAAAAACCAAATGATTTGAATCGATCGCGAATAAAAAAAAGAGAAAACTGTCTATATTGGATTCTATGCTGATTGTATTCGTTTTCGTATACAACTCAATTTCGTTTTTGTTTTTTCCATTCATCATTTGCCAATTCAGATCGAAATTATTCCATACACACACACGCCAGATAGTGTTATTTATTCAATTTTTTTGTTTGTTTTTTTTTTGACAAGCTGTTTCATCATCATCATGGATGATGACCGGAATTTTACTATACTTACTCAAACTTCTCTCTCCCTGTGTTTGTGTTAATAATTAATAAATAAAAAAAGGAAAAGAAGAAAAAATTCATTAATTATCCATTCACATTCATTAAGCTATCATCATTATTGCTAATTTGTTCGATGATCAAAATTCGATTGGCTGTACACTTCAACAACAACAACAACATCGACAGCAGTAGAATTGAATCTTTAATTAAGAATTCAATGATTCTCTATTGGTTTTTTCACTATTCGCCAATGAAAAAAAAACGTGCCCATAATACAAGTGAAGTACCAGAAGAAAAAATTTACTTTTCTCTTTTTTTTCGATATGTTTTTTTCTCCTTGCTGTTCCAATATATATTTATTATGATATAAATTAGGCAAATTTTTCATTTCATCTATCTATATGTATGTATTTTGAATGAATAATTTTTTCTTGTTGTTGTTGTTGTTGTTGTATTTCATTATTAATATCATCATACCATAACACACACAAAGGGAGAGAGAAAGAGAATTAATGTAAAGGAATTCAAATTCCATATTTATGCAAATGATTATAATAATAATAATAATAATAATGTGTGGAATCTAGATTTATTTCATTCATTCATTCATTCATTTTAATATTGTCTTGCTTATTCATTTGATGGCTATTCTATTCTACACATGCCAAAAATCTCTATATATATTGTATTTTCATTATTTGTTTGTGAATGTTATTTTTTGTTCGCCTGAATGATTGAATGAATTTGCCTTTTGGCCATTCACATTTCTCACTTGATTCTTCTTTTTTTTGCGTTGTTGAATAATATTCAAAAGAAGAAGAACGAAAAAAAATTGTGAATATATGAGTGGTTGAAAAATGTTTTTTTTCATCATTTCATTTCATTTCTTTGTCAACCATGATGATTATTATACTTTAATAATAAATGATGACATTCTCTCCCTCTCTCTCTTACTTACGATGTCAAAACATCTTAAGGTTTATGTTTGTGCGAAGGTAATATATGAAAAAGAAGAAAAAAATCGGATTTCTTACTTTATCAGATTTCATGTTATGATTCTTCTTTGATTCTTTTCTTTTCAATGCTGATGAATTGATATTGTCAATGTTGTGTACGTTCGGCGTACAAATTAATTTATTACTTCTGAACAAAAAAATATAGTGAAAAGAGAGAAAATCATTTTACCATATCGATATTGTATTGATGTTTTTTTTCTAATATAATGCAAGTGTGTATGTGAAAATGAAGCTGTCAAACACACCGAAGAATATGATGGCCAAGAAAATTTGTATCTCTGTGTTTCTTCTTCTTCCCATTCTAATATTTCACATTTTCAATTTTTCTTTCTGTTGTTGTTTGCAAAAAGAAAAAATCTTGAATAATGATTCTGACATTGTGATTCATTGATTTTTTTTTGTTTGGTCTTGTTTTTTATGGTCAATGTTTGTTGTGTGTGTAAAGATTTTCGAATGAATCTTATGGTTATGATGGCTATCGAAGAAAATTGATTTTAGGTTTTTTTCTATTCACAGTTGTTGTTGTTGTTGTTCATTCACGAGAATCGTAACGAAAATTTTTAATATAAAATTTCAAACGATTATAGTCAATTTTCAACTCTCGCCTTTTTGATCTAATCGATTTTTTACTTTTTCTTGCAATTTTCAATCAATATTTAGTTCCTGTTGATTATTGTTGTTTGGTGTTTTCAGTTTATTCAACTTTACACTTTTTTTTCCCACTTCTAATCGATTGTATTATCGATTAAAATTTGTTATTTTTTTCATCACTTTTTCTCTATACCTTATCTTTACGATTCTTTGTAAATATTATTATTACCAATCGATCAATAAATTCAATGAAAATCATCAATATATGTCAATCAAAGTCAGTGAAATAAAACGAACTCTCTATGACAATAATTTTTCTGATGAAAAAAAATTCAATACTGTCAAATTTGTCACATTTGATTCAATTTGACAATAATTCTGAATGAAAACACAGCGCGGTAAAGTAGTTTTTTTTTCATCATCAACAACAATTTTTTTCGTTCATGTTTTTTTTGCTCTTTTTAAAATCAATCATTCAGGTAAGGTACAGTTTGGCGGTTACCTATGATTTATATTTGATTTTTTTTCTTCACCATCACTATCAACATTTTAAAAGTTGATTACGTTTTTTTTCTTGCTTGCTTGCTGTGCTCATCACTTTGACATGTGTCTGTCTATGTCTATGTGTGTGTGTGTGTGTGTGACCGATGGAAATACCTGCCTGATTGACCTGGTGATTGGTCAGGTCGCCTTGGCGTCGTTTCTTTTTCGCATCAGAGGCGAAAAAACGAAAGAAAGAAAAAAACCGATTATCTCCGATTTGAAGTTTCATTTCTCCATTTAATCAGTTATATGTCATCTTGATGTTTGATTTTAATTTATAAAAAAAAATCTTTTAAAATTTTCTTCAAAAAAAAAAAACAAATCAAGATTCCGTTAAAAATGATGATAATACTGTTGATGATTGAAATGATTTAGTCTGCCACACAGCCATTTTAAATACTTGATTATTTTTTCATTTGGACAGATTTATCATTGTTGATTTTGTTGTTGATAATGATAATCGCGGGTATTTATATCAAAAAAATCCGTTTGATTATAAATAAACGGAATTAATTTTTTTCTTCGTCGTTTTCTTCGTTGATTTGAATTAAATTGCCCAAAAAAAAAATGATGATGATGATTTTTCATTTGCTTTCTGTTTGCTTATTCTTTTCTATCTTTCATTATTCTTTTTCTGTTTATTTTTTTCGTTTTGTTTTGAATTTTATTTTAATTGATTTTTTTTATTTGCGTTTTTATTTATTTACGTTATTGGAAAACTTATAGTGAATGCATCCAATTTTTCCATAAGTCCTCCCAATCGAGGTAATTACCCTTTTTGTTTTGTTTTGTTTTTGTTTTTGTTCGTTATGTTTACCATTGAAATGAATGATTTTCTTTTCTTTTTCTGATTAAACAAAATAATTAATTAATCATTTTTTTTGCGGAATTTTCTTATATAGCTCGTATACAATATAAAACAACATATGCCTGTGAACATCGTGAATTACAATTAAATTGTGAACCAAATGAATCAATACATTTAGTACGTGCCAATTATGGTCGTTTTAGTTTAAGCATCTGTAATGAAGGTGGACGTCTTGATTTAAGTGTTATGTGTATGTCTTATCGTTCATTTCTAATCATGTCCGACAGGTAATTATTATTATCATTATTTTTTTAAAAAAGAAATTCTAAAATATTCTATGTTCTTTGAATTCATAATTTTAATTGCTCCATCTTTTCTATCATTGAACCCTATAATTATACATTAATTGTTGCTTTTTTTTTTGTTTGTTACTAATATTTTTTTTTGCTTTGTTTTTTCTTTTAATTATTATTATCATTATAATAATGATGATGATGATGATAATTTTTTTGAAATAAAAAATAGATGTAGCAACAAATCTAGCTGTAGTGTCATTGTTTCAAGTAAATTATTTGATGATCCATGTCCTGGGACGGCCAAATATCTTGAAGTTCAATATCATTGTGTTCAAGGTTAGTTTTTGTTTTTCTTTTCATTCATTCACAAAACACACTAATCATCCATTTTAAATGATAATTCATTTTTCTTTATTTTAAAATTGTCTTTGACTTCAGGCTCAGCCTCTTCAATCATGTCATCTTCATCTTCATCTGCATCTTTTCCTTCCTCATCATCATCATCATCATCTTTGTCGTCATCACAGTCAACATCATTACAGACGACCACTCGACGACCACCAATCGAGTCTTCTTCAACCGTGAACAATACTATTCCGGTTATTCCGAATAATAATAATAATAGTCCAATAGATACAGTGTTTGTGCCTGCACCACTTCCTCCTCTTACAACCGATTCCTCTTATATGACACATGCTGAAGATCAGCCCGTTATAGCATCATCATCATCTTCAGATTCATCTGATCGATTAAATATACGATGGAATAAAACTATGATGGTCCCTACCGCTGAACGTTTTGATAATACATTGCCTTTAACAATAGCACCATTGTTGCCCTTTAATACAGCTGATAATAATAATAATCTTGATATACCAATCGATCAATCATCACCATCATCATCATCGAATATATTTACTCGTCCACAAGATAATTCATTAAGTTCATTATATGGTGGTAGTAATGGTGGTATTAATGTTGATATTTCACCGGAAGATTATTGTCCAAGTTCATTTGTTCGTAGTCTTTTTTGGAATTCTATACGTAAAAATGATATGACAAGCCAAAAATGTCCAGGAGGTGCTACCGGTTTTGTTAAATGGCGTTGTATTTATAATCATGAATTAGGTATTGCTGAATGGTATCCACCAAGACCTGATTTTAGTGAATGTCGTTCATTATGGCTTGATAATCTTGATGAACGTTTAAATAATCGTGAATCAGTCATTAAGATTGCTAGTGAACTAGCATTGATGACATTAACTAAACCATTATATTCAGAAGATTTAGTTAAAATTGCTAATATTATACAACAATTTCTTGAACATACAATAACCAGTATACAAAGCTTACAAACGGTTGAAGTTTGGCATCGACATCAAGTTCTTAAAGAATTGCTAACATTTATTGTTGAAATTGTTAGTAATTTACTTGGAAATGGACAAGATGATGCTTGGCTTGATTTGAACATAATCAATCGAAAAGAAGTTGCTTCAGCTTTAATCAAATCATTAGAAAAAAGTGCCTTACTATTAGCCGACAATACTAATCATGATGGTTCTACAGCCATTGCTCGTCCTAATGTTTGTAAGTATCCGATTTCAATATACTCAAATTCGTTTATCATTATAGATTTAATATGGAATTTTTTTTTGTTTCTTTAATGTTCCACAGTGGTTTCTGTACATGTTCTTGATACTGGCATGCCTATAAGTTTACAATTTCCTACTTATGAGGATATAACCGGAACAAATGATTGGACACGAATGGAAGATTCCATATTTCTTCCCGCACAATCTTTAGTTGATCATTCACAAGGAGGTATTTAAAAAAAAAATCTTAATTCTAACTAATCTGTTCTTGACAACTAACCAATTTTGTTGTCCTTAATCATCTTATTTATTTAGGCCTTGCTAAAGTATCATTCTTCGCATATTATCGTATTGAAGATTTATTAAAACCATCACCTCAAACCGATTTTGAACGTTATAATACACATATGGCAAATCGATTACAGATGAATGCAAGTCAAAATTTAATGCTTATTAATTCACATGTAATCGGTGCTGCACTATCACATGATGGCCCTATTGATCATCCAACGCCTTTATCACAGCCAGTTACCATTATATTACGCCATATACAAGTGGAAAATATTTCTAATCCACAATGTGTTTATTGGAATATGAAGCATCAAAATTGGCTAACCGATGGCTGTTGGGTTGAATCGACAAACAGTACACATACTATATGTATGTGTAATCATCTTACACATTTTGCTGTGCTAAGTGAAATAAAAACGATTGTCGACAATCAATCAGATTCATCGATCGGCATTGGTCGATCATTAGTAATGGCCAGCTGTTCAATCAGTATGATTATATTGGCATTGTTGACCATTTTATTATTTTTAACACCGGTTGGCAATAAAATCACAGCATCGAATCATCGTAATCTTTATCTTACATTGTTTATATCGGAATTTATTTACATCTGTATGATAAATACGTTGGATAATATCACAATATTTACTCCTTGTTTAGCTATATTTCATTATTTTTTATTGACTTCATTTTTTTGGACATTCTTTAAAGCATTTGATGTTTATATGAATGTAAATCTAATTTATGAACATTTTAAATCTTCAAAACGTCTTTGGTGGTATTATTCATTTGCCTATATTGGTCCATTGATTATTGTGATTGCATGTTTTGCTCCACTACCAACCTATTATAGCCAATTTTTATTGTTAACACCGGCCAACAATTATGTCTACCTTACATTCATCGGTCCTTTCATTGGTCTTATATTGGCTAGTTTAATTTTTGTTTTGTTTGCTTATGTCATCATACGAAATCATACTATTTCAGCAACAACGATTAAATGTTTTGAAGATATACGTCTTGGTGGTTCAAAAAGTATGATCAATTGGATTCTATTATTGACATTGTTTCAATCAATAAATTGGCCATTAGCTTTTGCCTATATGTTTGCACAAGATTCGCAAATAATAGCCATTACATTTGCTTCGTTCAATTTATTATTAACATTATTTGTGGGCTTGTTTTGTGTACTTAAGACCGAAAATATTCAACATTCATTAATATTTCGTTATCTACCATTTTCATTTGGTAATAATAATCATCATCATCATCATCATCATCGATCTCAAATATCAAGTAATAATACGACAAAAAATTCAACTACTTCGGACGTTTATTCTACACGACCAGTTGTCACACAAATCACTTCTACACAAGTGAATGGCATTAATGTACATACACCAATCGGTGGTAATGGTGGTGGTATTGGCCATTCACCTTCATCACCAAATGCAATTAGTCCGGTATCGATGTCTATGTCTCCATGTATTGGCCAAGTACAACAACCATTGCCCATTGTACGTTATACCTCTTATCCTCATCCAGGTATTGCATCGTCCTGCACGTGTGCATGTTTTGTTTTTTAAAAATCTATATTTAAAAAAAAATTCACTATAGTTTCATATTTATGCTTTGCACTTGAAAATCTTTTTTTATTATCATATTAATACTTTCCTATTATTTTTGATTGTCATCTCATTAATTAATCTTTTTCGTTTTTTTTCTCCTATCATTTTCACAAATAGTCACATACCACACAATGGAATTTTCCAACTGTTCATCAACAAGATTTAATGAACAACAAAAATATATGCAAACAAGATCACCAATCTATTTTGGCACAACAGCAAGAAATCAATACCCTTTTGTATAATTATAGTAATCTTGATATGGATGTCAAAACATCTAATCAAGATATTCGACAACAACAACAACAACAAGAACCAATTATTGAATTCAATACAAAATTAATGGATAATTTTTCATTACGCAAAATCAAAACAAAACCATTGATCGATCAATTTGGAACGTTGCATAATTTAAATGGAAATCAATTTATTCGTCGTCAACAGCATAATAATCAGCCATCTAATGTTATTGATAATAAATACATTATACAAATGAATCCAAATCCACATCATATATCGAATATTGATCATATTTATGAAAGCATTGATAGTGATTCAATTGCATCAGCTGCAACATTGAATGAATATCATCGTCGAATGCAAATGATTAATTCATCATCAGTTCTTTATGGACAAAAATCATCAACAACAGTCAATGAAGATGATCTCAGTACATCCTCAATTTATGAGGATAGACCATTATTATTTACAAGTAATTCGAATAATTCTAGAAGAATATTTCAATCACAACAACAACAACAGCAACAAAATCATTATCATTCAAATGCAAATATTTATGATAAAACATCGGCCGGTAAACAGATGGATGATGGCAGCAAAATTATGAATATTGATAACAACGGACATCATGGACAACAACATGGCCATTCAAATATTCTTTGGCATTTAACTAAAGATTCACCAGTTTGTTTACCTGATTTATTACAAAAATCAACAAATCTACTTGTATCATATTCGGCTGAAAATAAAATTCGTAATAAAGTGATAATGAATGCAAATCAAAATTCAACAACAATATTTCAACAACAACAACAACAAAATAATAATAACTAATGTTAGAGATGGAATGTAAGAATGGATTCTTGACATGTATCGATTGTTGTATTTGCCAAAATCTCAAAATGCTAGTCTTTCAACACATCCTTTACACACACACAAACATAAATTCAATGTAAATTTCAATTCCAGAGAACAATTTATTCAAGACCTAGTCGTCCAAACAACAACAACAAAAAATCTATTTTTTCCTGCTCATCTAATTTTATTTTAATCAAACACAAACAAACAAACACCGCCGACACAAATTAATTGTGCCAAACACAATGGGAATCTCAATCTTTTTTTTTCTGTTTCTCTGCTATCTATCGTCCATTATTCATATATTCGTTGCCTTTTCATCTCATTTCTCCTTGTTTAAATTACAAAAAAAATCATTACAACAACAAACACACACAGTCATTTGTAATGGATAAAATTCCAGGAAAAAAAAATCATAACTTAACTTATAAAATTATGTACATTTTGTGTTTAAATAAACTTTTTAAATAAAACTGTATTTTATATAATGCTTGTAAATTATATCATTATTATATTATAAAATGATGAATAAATTTTTAATTCTAATATCTCTACTATTGATATTCGTATCCTTTTAGATCAGATTTTTGAAAAAAATCGTTTGAATTTTAAGAAAAAACTATTATATAGCGTGTGTAATATGTGCATAGTGGTATATATTCTGTATCGAAAACCAAATTCTTTCGATTCTACCGTTATTCTTTCGGTATTGTCGTAGTTTTGTAATATAATTATATAGCATATAGTTATAATAAAGTTATAGTAAAGTGATACTAATTTTAGAACATTATTATATGATCGCCTGTTTGTTGTTGTTTGTTATTGTTGATTCAAAAGTTCGATCATACGTTTTTTTGTTTGGTATATCCGTCTTTTTGTTGTTGTTGATAAATCAATTTTACATTGTTAAATATTGTTTTGTTCCTCAGAAATTTTTTTTCCTGTTCATCCTGGTTTCGAAAATCTTTCAATGAAATGAACAACATTAATTTACAACAACAACAAGATGTAAATAATCATACAAAAAATATTAATGAATCATTCGAAATCACCTTGAGAAATGGTGTGACAATGCCAATGATTGGTCTTGGTAATAATCAACCGAATGAATGAATTATGATTGATTTTTTGTTTTGTTTTCTTTGATAATAGGAACATCACACAGTGGTGGATATTCACATTCATGTGTTGTTTATGCATTACAAAAATGTGGTTATAGATTAATCGATACGGCTAAACGATATGGAACTGAAGAATTTTTAAAATATGCAATCAAAGTATGTTTGATTTTTTGATTTTTCATGAATATTTTTATTAATTAAAAACTTTTACCCGATTAGGAAAGTAATATTGATCGAAAGGAATTATTTTTAACAACAAAATTATGGCCTATTGATTGTGGATTTGAATCAACAAAACAAGCATTTCGTGGATCACTTCAAAGACTTGGTGTAGATTATTTAGATCTATTTCTTATACATTATCCTGAAGTATCATCAAAATGTCATAATAAATGGGAAACATTAGGCGAAACATGGCGTGCATTTGAATGCTTATATGATGAAGGTCTTATTCGTGCTATTGGTGTTTCAAATTATAAAATTGATGATATTGAACGACAATATGAATATGGTTCAATGAAACCATTTGTTAATCAAATTGAATTCCATCCATATCATTATCCAAAAGATATTATTGAATATTGTTATGAAAATCAAATTCAAATTCAAGGATATTGTCCTTTAGGTATGGGAAATTTAATCAATGAAAAACAAGTAAAAAATATAGCAAAATCGATTGGAAAAACATCGGCTCAAGTTTTAATACGTTGGTCATTACAGCATAATGTACCTACCATTCCAAAATCAACAAAACCAGAACGTGTTAAAGAAAATATATCAGTTTTTGATTTCAATCTTAATGATGAACAAATGAAAATACTCGATTCATTTAATAAAAAAATCAAATATCAAGATGTTAGTACTATACGAGAAAAAATTGATCAAAATCTTCCAGATGGTTATAAATTGGATAAAAATCTTCGTGAAAGATTATTAGAAAGTTAGACTGTTATTATTTAAATATTAACAAGTGTTATTCGAATTTTTGAATTTAATAAAATTGTTATTTTTCGAAAGTTTCTTTTGTTTATTTGCAAAAATACAAAAAATAAATAAATATTCATCGTAACCAAATTAGATGAAACCTGTGCTACCATCTAGTTTCTTAAATTGAAGGTTATCGTTTTTCACGATCGAGGATAAACCATCATTGATTTTTTTTTTTGTCTAAAATAACTTATTTGATTAATGATTATTTTGATAAATAGCATTTTTATTTCTCTTGTCATTCACAATTCAATACATTGATCATGATGGATTTTTTTTCTCAATGAATTATGATTATGTTGACATATGATTGTCATCAAAAAGACAGACAATACATTGGTGCAAATTATTGTTTTAACATCAGCTATATTAGGATTTTTCTATCTGTTCAACAAGAAAAAAAATGATAATAATTAAATGATATACACATTTTGACATGACTAATTTATGTTCAAATTCAATCAACATCATCATTTTTGGTTTAAATAAAAATGAGAACCGGCTTTGCCGCCAAACAAATGTACCGGATATTATTTAAATATCAAGCATCAAATATCAATCAATCAGATTGTCTTTGCTCTAATCCACTTTTGCTTTTGCTTTCGTTTTGAGTTTATTTGGAACATTATTTCGTTTTATTTGGAAGCTTGATTTTCCAGAAAAATGAAAATAAGGCCACCGATGTATATCAATAAATTATGTCATGTAATTTATAAATAAATTGATTTTGGGGGAAAATGGAAAAAAAACGTAACGATATATATAGTAGTGTATATATGATTAAAGATCATGATAATATGGTAATCATTATGTTTATTGAATAATTTATGAATTTTTTTTTTTGAAGAAAAAAAAGCACTTTCCTTATCATCATCATTCGTGAGAGAGAGGGGATACCCGTAACAGAAATAAAGATGTTTTTGTCTATAATTTATTATGCCTATTATAAAATTTGCTTGTAAAAAATCCAATGATATTGAATGGTAGTTGAATTAGGGAAAAAAATGTGGGGTGAAAATACACGACATTGATTCTTGTCAATGATGTGATTTATGATGATTTTTCTATCAAGAATGTTTATGTAAATATTCAAAATGTTTGCCATTATATGATTAGCACGTTTTTTGGTTGTTGCCGAATTACAGCAGCCAGTTTTTTTCATTCGACAATTGGCTTAAAAATTATTTTAGCTTTGCCTAAAAAATTGATTTGATTAACAAATAAGAGATTAATCAGTAGCGAAGAAAAAAAAATTATGGCTTGTCAATCGTTTTTCGTTTTCTTTTCTTTGAATAAGATTTATTGATGATATATAATATCTATAATTAGTTATCATCAAAAAAATAATATATCCGGAAGTTATATAAACATAATGTAGCTATTTCATATATTGGAAAAATATGAGATTTCTGTACGGAAGAGGATATATCGTTCTGACGATAATCTACTTTTATTCCATGCGAAATTTCATTATAAATTATTTTGCTTGTACATTGAATACTTATAATTCCATTTAAATGTAATAATATTTTCCTTGACCATAATCTGTTGTTTCGTTTCGTATACATCATATGAAACAATCGTCATTAAGCCATCATCATCATCATAATTAAATTCGTGAAGAAAAATAGTGTTTTCTCTTTCTTTCTTTCCTTCTTTTTTTACAACTTACAAATTCAATCTTCAAGGTAATCATCAACACATAGTGGGTGAAGAAACAAACGAGAAAGAAAGAAAACTTATAAAGTATAGACGACGATAATAAAAATGAAATGAAAATGAATGTTAATTGAATCATATATTTATTTATTTAAGTAGGCTTTTTTCGTAAATGAAAATGAAAGCTAAAATCCATATGATGATTTGAATTGAAAATAAAAAATTCGGGCTATTCAATAGCTGTTCACGTTGTTTTTGTTTCATCAATAACAACAACTAATAATCAATTGAATTCGCCCACGGAATTTTCTTCTTTTTTTGTTTTGTTTCGCTTCAATAATGAATGATTTATTATGAAGATAATAATGTAGATGACAACCAAACAAAATAAGCAAAACAAAAAACAATAAATTCAATGGGTGGGCGGTGAAAATATCTTATGATCCAACAACATGTGTGTTTAAATGCAAAAACCGATAATAGATCCAAAGTGTACAATTTTTTTTTGCTTATGTAATTTGTTTGCAAGAACTGCAAACCAACAGCTAACAACAACAACCAAATGAGTATAAATTATGAGAATAATTTGATTAAAGATTCGATTAGGATGACCATTTTTGTCAAAATCATCATCACCATCATTCATCATCCATATTCTCTTCTGAAAAATTAAATTTTTTTTCAAATTTCCATTCAGAACGACATTTCTTCCTAACATCTCTTCATTTCAACCAAATGTAAGTTTTTATTTATCGATAATATGTATAACTAAAACCAACTTGTTTAATAAATATCGTTTTAATTGAAATTATTATGAGACAAAAAAAAACCGAAAAAAAGAGAGCACTAACACACCTTGTTCGGTAATACGGATTTTTTTTTCGAAAAAAAAACTGTATATGGTCTGTTGACGATAGAGTATTTTGTGGAAGAAAAAACTAGGGAGAGAGTGAGAGAAAGAGAAATAAACTTTTTTTCCAAAAAGGTTGTTTTTTTTTCTCATCAACAATTAACTACGGATTTAGATTGGGAAGCGTGTTTTTCAACAAACAAATAAACGAAGAAACACATGTCCTGTTTTGTTACATAGGTTCCATCATCATCATCATCAATATCATCTACGGAAAAACAACTTGAAACACAACAACCACCACTTTCGATTTTCATTCGTTCCACAACGATGATGATGATGATGATGATCATCATCATCTATTTATCGTTATTATAAACGATTTACTTTTTTCAACAACAAAAAAAAATTTGTTTGTTTGTTTGTTTTGAATGAAGAAAACGATTTTTTTCAAAAATTCATTAATGATGTGATCAACAACAAAAAAAAACGATTGATTGTTTTGTGACAAGAAACATATTGGCATCAATTTTTTAATGACCGATTTTTGAGTTTTTCTTTTTCATTGATTGTGTGTATTTTGATTGTGAATTTCGCTTACACTTCCTATGTTTTGGAATAATGATGTTGATGTTCCGGGACCAACATCGTTGATCATTTTATGATCGAATGATTGAAGATCATCATCAACAACAACAACAAAGGTGATTGGTAAAAAGTTTCTCTGTCCGTTTCAAAGGCTTCTTCAAATGTAAATGTTTTATTTGTTTTGGAGCAAAGAGTCACAGTAGTAGAAATTGTAGGCAGAAAAAAAATGATGATCAAATAGATTTTTTTTTTGGTTGTGTAAAAAATTGTCAATTCAAATTGATTAAAGAAAATGAATGAAAAATCTGAATCATCATTTGATTTCAATATCAACAACCGATCGATACATTGATTATGTATTTTTAATAATGCAATGATCAACATTTAATTATGTTGAATTGAATTAAAAGAAGAAGCAGAAATCATTATTTGTCATTACAAATTTTGCTTTAATCATCATAAGTCTTTTTAAAAAAAAATAATTTTTGTTTTTGTTTTTTTCGTCTTTAGACTTTCACAATTCTCAAGCATCAAATAATAAACCTTGCCGGATTCTGTTTTGCAAAAACCAACCAAACAAACTATCCACAAAATGACCGTTATCAATAGACAAACAATTAAGATTCTTGATCAAAAAGAATCAATCGATTCTATTGATAATCATATTGATTCTGAGTGTTTAACATCAACAACACCAGTAACAAGAATGACAACATTCACTTCATCATCATCATCTTTAGGAAATAAATTTTTATTGATTTTATCAATAGTTTATCTATTATCATCATCATCAACAACAATATCATCAGCTAACATCACTACTACACCTGTTTATTCATTATCTTTGGCAAAAAATTTTCAACCAAAACAATTAGAAATAAATTCAGAAACTTTGGAAACAATTAATGACAAGTATAATAAAATTGATTATACAAAGTAAGTGTTTTATTCAGTTAATGGTCAAAACAACAGACAAACAAACAACCATATTTCTAATTTTAACAAGCCATTAATGAACTAAATGATGATGTTAAAGTTAGATAATAAAAAAACTAATTTCAAATAGAACCAATTAGACAAGTTTCAAGAAAACTAGAAAACTAAAAAACTAAACTAAAACTTTCTATTTTTAGATCGGATGTACATTGCTCGTGTGATTGAACAAATTTTTCTATATTTATAAACTTTTTTTTCATGTTTTTCTTTTCAATTTGATTAATACATTTTTCTTTGAAATTTTCTTACCTTGTTCCCTTGATTTCAATTAGTCATTCAATAATCAAGATTTTAAATCATGATCTGAATAAAATATTTACTGATCAAGATGATTATCGTAATCATCCAGATGATAATCATGAAATACTTTGGTATGATCAATCAGATATTAATAATACTTACGCATTTGTACGAATTGGACCAAAAAGTTTAAAACGTGTTCGTCGTGATTTACGTTATCTTCGTCAACCACCTGTTTTTGTTACATCAAATCTTCAATCATGGTTAGATGCTGAACATAATCATCATCATCATCAACCCTATTCAACAAATCAAAAGAATAATTATATTATTGGACCATCATCACAAACAACATTTCATCCGTCTGGTAATGATATTATGTCATCAACAAATATTGAAGATGATGATGAAGAAGATGAACCTATCTACAATCATAATGATCATTCATCAACAATGATGAATGCACGTGTTGCTGGTAATCCAATTCATTATAGCAAATTAGTGCCAAAATTTGCATTAAATCGTTATTATCCGATTGCACAAGTAAATCGTTATCTTGAAGATGTAGCCAATTTACGTTCATCCGGAATAACATTATTCACAATTGGTTATACACATGAAAATCGCCCAATACAAGCAATTGAAATATTGAACAATCCTAATGACCCGAATTTTCTTTGGATTGATGGTTGTACACATGCAAGAGAATGGGTTACCGTTACAACTGCATTGTATATAATTGATCAGGCAATTTATTCAAAAATTCCAATCAATTTCATTATTGTACCAGTATTGAATGTTGATGGTTATGTTTATACATGGACAAAAGATCGAATGTGGCGTAAAAATCGTCGACCATATATTGGTAGTCGTTTATCACGTCATTCAATGCCCGAACGTTGTACAGGTGTTGATCTCAATCGAAATTATGATATTAATTTTGGTGGTTCTGGTTCAAGTAAAAATCCATGTTCATTTTTGTATCAAGGTCCACAACCATTTTCTGAACCTGAAGTTCGTGCAGCAAGTGATTTACTTTCGAATAATCGTCATCGAATCAAAATGACATTATCGCTGCATTCATTCAATCAATTATGGTCATGTCCAAATGCATTTACAACAGAAAAAACTAAAGATCATAATCATCATATGCGTGTATTAAGATCAATACAACAAGCTGTCCGTCAACAGAATGGTGTTATATATGATATTGGTCCATTAGGATCAAAATTATATTTAGGTTCCGGTTTTATGATGGATTGGATTTATCATAAATTAGGTATTCGTGATGCATATCTAGTCGAACTTCGTGATCGTGGATTTTATGGTTTTATATTACCAGCCGATCAAATATGGCCAACTGCAACCGAAACATGGGCCGGTATTCAAGCGGCAATACAACAAATTTTTTTATGACAATTATCATCAAATCCACAAATACAACGTCATCATTATTTTGTTTGTAGCATTCCATTTCATCTATGTAAATCATCATCAAATCGACAAAATTGTTTTTTAAAATTTTGGTTATGTTTATTTTCCTAAAAAAATTATTGATAAAAAAGATTTTTTCAAAATAAATTGAAATTTTAAATTGAAAAACACTTAAAAATCCATTTACCTTGATTTGTAATTCAAATTTTATTCAAATTGATAAACAAGTCTTTTTTCCCGATCAGAAAAAAACTATATAAAAACCAATTTGATTCCGGTATTTTCAATCATTCTTTTCATTGAATTCAAAAAAACCAAAATAAATTTTAATCTCTTGAAGAATTATGATCAACAAAATGTCCAATTCAATCAATAAACGTATTATTGGCTTGATTGCCATATTATCATCAATTGTTTTAATGTTACAGATACAATCGACAATGTCACAGATAACATTTTCAAAAGATTGGAGAGCCGGTGGAAAACGTTCGATTGTTAATGGTGGCTATTTTAACAATGATGGTATGACAATTTTTTCACAACAAAATCATTGTGATCAAATTACATCCAATTTGATTATTATTCAGGAATTGATTCGGGTAATTAATTTTGTTTTTGTTTTTTTATGATTCTAATTTTTGAAAAATTCTGATAATTATCCTTTATAGAAAGAGACGAATGAATTGTTAAAATGTCAACAGCTTGCGAAATTTGGCAAAATCGAACCGGACATAAACAACAATGAATCAATATCGCCCGATCATTGATCGTGGATACTTTCTCTTAAAAAAAAAACGAAAAATTCCAATGGCTTCTTTTTCAATCAAAGTTTATCATCATCATCATCATCATCATTATCTTTATCTTTTTAAATGTTTTTTTTTCTTTCAAAAACTGTCAAGAACAACAACACCAATGTAATCAAAATTATTAAATTAATCACTCCCAACTATTTCGATTTTGTTTGTTTCAAAAATCATTGCTTTAAAAACAAAAACAATGATTTGAGATTGATGTTGAAAATTCAGGTGAAATGAAATAAAATAAAATAAAAACTGTTATTATTGATGCTCTATTCTATGATTAATTTCATACATATTGTTTTACATTACAGCTGTAGCTTCTTCCTTTTTTTCACTGTTGTTGAGTGAAAAAACAAAAAGTAGAACAGATGTCTTCAACATTGAAAATTGTACATGATTCGGCTAATTGAATTGACTAACGAATTGGCAAACGATGCAACAATAATATATCCATATGTTTCAAGTCTATGATTCTTTGTTAATTTGAACTTTGGGTTTAGAGATTTCGAAATTCTTCGAATCGTCATCACCAAAACCAACACAAGGAACACATAACAACAATAACCAAGAAGACTCGTATATCAGTAGTTCGGGTAACAAGAAAAAAAAATTTTCCACCACATACATACTGATGACATAGACAAACAACCATTAGTTAAATAATTATTTTTAGTTTTTTGTCGATGTTTTTTTCAACTTCGTTGTTAGGGAGAAACAAACATGGAAACAAATCACACACACAAAGACACAAAAAAAGTGAATCGTCTGTTAATTGTTGGAAAAAAACATCGTGAATAGAAAAAAAAAATAAGATCCGTATGGAAAAAAAATCCATGCTTTCGAATGATTGAATCATATTATGATAATTGTGAAAAAAATAGCGTGCCTTTTCAATTCAACCAGGAACTTGAAAATTGATTATTGAAAATCAAAGAATCGATGACATCCAAATGAATGATTTTCGAAAATTGAAACCGTAAATATAACCCATTAACTATAGAATTTACCAATATTACAAAGTCATGATTATGAATCAAAGTGAATCAACAAACTTTAAGTCATTGATCTTCATTATGACATGAAAGTCGTATTACGCATCATCAAAATGTACGTAGAATATGATTGTTAACCACAATGATGATTAAAGCCAAACATTGATGAATTTCATTAATCAAAAAAAATAAAATACAAAACATTCGAATTGCTATTTCTACTCTATGTGTCTGAGTTAATCCTTTTTAATTTTGTTCGCAAACATCCTGCATTCATCATATCCGTCAAACTTTTTGTTTTTGTTTCATTCAATCATCAACAATCAAATGTCTAGAATCAATTAATAATGTGAAACAAACATTTTTTGAAAGGAAATACACAAAAGTACGATCATCAAAAAGTTATTTTGATTTCCTGTCGATAGAATTCGGTTGTTTGATTAATCGATCGATTGATCGATTATTCATAGAATCATGATCATTCAATGCCTGATTATTACATTGTTTTTTTTCTATTCATTGATATGAATGTTGTTCGATTGTTAAAACAAACAACAAAAATAAATCAATGTCACCGACAAATCAATCAAAATTCAATGTGATTTTATTCAAAAAAATCATTCATTTTTTATTTTCTTCAATTCAAAACATTGATTTTTGTCATTCAAATACGCTTCAATCACCCATAACAAAAACAGCAAAAAAATAAATAAAATAAATCAGGTATGTAACAACAACGCAGACATTTGTTTTTTGTTTTGCCCCGTTATTCATCATCATAGGTTTCATATTTACATTTGATTTAGTCTATGTGTTTGATGTGAGAATGTTTATAATGTTTTTTTTTGTTTAGAGATGTATCCATGGATAATACGAACATGGATTTTTTGCTACAACAACAACAAAACTGAATTATTATTGATTAATCGATTAAATCGATACAGCCTTGATGGTTTTTTTTCATCATCATCATCATCATCTTCATTACAATCCGTCTGGTTTCATATTTTGTTTTTTTTCATTTATTAATCCCATCACTCAAGTGATGATGATGATCATTACTTTTAATGATGAATAGAATTGACATTTGTTCTAAATAACAAAAACAATAACCAAATGATTTCATTTGAATAATAATCATTATTTTTGGTTGATTGGTAAACCACAATAATCGTTATTATTGCTATTTTCATTGTTTTTTCAACAACAACTTGTTGAACATAATAATAATAATAATTCTGTCATCATTTCTGGCCAGCATCCATAACATTTTGAGAATATATTTTCGGGAAAATAAAATGGAATAACTGCCATTTGTCTGCCTCCATGGATTTAAAAAAAAAAAAAAAAAAAAAAAAACGCAGACAAACATCAATCCAAAACATTAAATTGACTATATTTGATTTGATTTGATTTGAAATGTGTCGTTATTGANGTTCTAAATAACAAAAACAATAACCAAATGATTTCATTTGAATAATAATCATTATTTTTGGTTGATTGGTAAACCACAATTGTCATTATTTTCATTGTTTTTTCAACAACAACAACAACTTGTTGAACATAATAATAACAATTCTGTCATCATTTCTGGCCAGCATCCATAACATTTTGAGAATATATTTTCGGGAAAAAAAAATGGAATAACTGCCATTTGTCTGCCCCCATGGATTTAAAAAAAAAAAAAAAAACAAAAAACAAACGCAGACAAACATCAATCCAAAACATTAAATTGACTATATTTGATTTGATTTGATTTGAAATGTGTCGTTATTGATGATGATGATGATGATGTTATAAAACACACACAAGTTTGAAAACATCACTTTATTAATGTTTTTTGTTTTGTTTTGTTTTCTAAATTAATGTCAAAAAAAAAACTTGTGAGTATATCCTTTTCTTTGTTCTTTTCATCATCATTTTCTAATTTTCACATCAAATTGATTCAAATGAATGTATTTTATTATTATTATTATTTCTGGGTTATAATAACAAAATGACCGACAAATCCTTAAGTAATAAATCATAAGTCTAAATAGATGAAATAGACATACACAGAAAGAAAACATTTTAATTTAAAACAATTTCCTCACAACAACAACAACAGCAACCATAATTATTCACTTGATTTCAATTATTTATTTTGTTTAGTTTTTTTCCTATCTTAATCAATTATAAACCCAAAAAAAAAAGAAAAAAAAGAAATGTCAAAATGACACAATCGATTCGATTTTTCGTAACACCCATGAATCGGTCAATGTTTTTTTTTCGACAAAAAAAAGCAAACAACAACAACAAAAAAGATTTTCATTAAGTTTTTTTCTGTCAATGTTATTGGTTGTTTGTTTTTTTTACGAAAAAAAAAGATAGGGAAAAAAACAAAATTCAGCAATTGATACCTTGTTGTAACGAAAAATATTTTGTGAATTGCTAGATATACCGAAAAGAGAGAGAGAAAGCGAAAGTGTGTTTGTTGAAAAAAAATGTGCCAACTAGATTGCGTTTGTGGTATTGCTGATCCAAATCAAAAAAATAATAATGATGGTGATGGTGATGACCATAAGGATAATAATAACTCCCATGTTGAAAATTATTCAACAACAAAAAAATCAATAATGAATATAATTATAATTATGTTAATATTCTTATTAACATTAATTACAATGATTGGATTATTATTATTTTTTCTTTATTTTTTCCTATTCTTATTTTCATCACCATTATTATTATTATCATCATCGTCATCATCATGATGAACGATTCGACCATTGTAAATCGACCATTTATCTTCGAAGGTTATATTCATTTATGTTTTAACCATTTGATTTTCTGTCCAATTATAAAAATTCATCAATCTTCATTCTACCTGTTGCTGTTGGTCAAATTCTCATAATGATGGTGATTACACATGTTCAAATAAATTTTTTTACTTTTTCCTTTTTTTTTGTTCAAATTTCAGTGTTTGGTTTTGTTTTGTTTTGTAATGTTACCGCTATGTAAAACATTTACAATAATAATATTAGAGAAAATGTTTGAACAAAAAATGTTGAGAATGATGATTTTTAATGTTCTGAACAGTACAGGTACAGTTAGATGTTTCAAGAAAAACAAAATATTCAAAAATGAATATGAAGCTGAATTTTATTTGAATTTCAAAAAACATGTTTTTTTTGCATATCAATCATGTTTTTTTCCTATTCTTTATTTCTCTATTTTAGATTTTTCATTATGAAAAAATCTCAGAAACTTTTCTCGATGATGATGATGGCAATCATAATCAATCCAAAACAACCAAGACGAAGAAGAATCAAACAACGAATGGATTGTGAAAATACTTGTGAATATTTCAATGTAAATAATAATTTTATGAACAAATCATTAAAATTTTTTTCAATCATCACTTTCATCGGTAAGTGTTTTATAATTTGAAAAGAATTTTCTTGAAAAATCCAAAAATTCATCACATATGATATAGGTTTAATATTTATCAATATTGTTTCATCATCATCATCATCAATGGCTATTGAAACAAATTTTCCATGTTCATCATTCAAAATGAATTATAGTTTTGATTTTGCATTCAATCAAATTATTACAGCTAATCATATCAATACAAACAACAATAGGCTTTATAATCATTATATTTATTCACAAAAAAAAATTTTCCAATTATATTTTGATCGATCAGATCGATTGCAGGTTAAATCGATTGAATTTCAACAACAACAACAACAACGTTCCAAAAATAATAATGATGATGATTATTATTATTTACAAAATTTTTCGGGTGATTATGGATTCAGTTTACATATGGCCGAACCAATGACATCAAAAATTTGTTCAGGACGTATTCATCAACATTTTCTTACTTGTTTAGATCTTGTTTATCGTAATATATCAAATGCATATATAAAAAATAAGGAAACATTTTTATTCGAAATGGATGATAATTTTCGTCCAAGTTTAGCATTTCAACATATTAGCTATGATCGTTATGATTATAGCCGTTATATGATTATTTTTGTTGAACAAAATCTTCAAATATTATCCATAAATAATCAAAGTGATAAAATAATTTATCAACGACATTTTAATCGTCGTTGGCAAGTGTATTTATTTGCAAATATGGAACGTATTACAAATCAAACATATAATGCTATTGTACCTGATTATCTTAATAAAATTCCAACAGAATTTGAGCTAACAGGTGTTTATGGTTGGACACGTAAGTAGACTTAATTCTTTATTTTGTTTACTTAATCATTTTTGTTTACAAACTTAAGGTAAAAACAGTGATTATGATGAATATATGATTATTGTTTTCAATGGAACCGATCATCTATACTGTATGAATGAAGCGGTAATTTTATTCAAATTAATCTTCCGAATTGGTAATTTTTTAATGCTTGTTTTCTCATAAACAAACAGTGTTCACAATCAAAAAATTATCAACAATTTTTGCCTGAATGTCGTGCACCAGAATCATTAATAGCATTAAATCAACAATCATTGAATCCAAAATTTTCACAACAAGGTTTGGTTGTAACTAAATGTTGTGGACAATGGGAAAAATTTTCCAAAAATCAACCAAACAATAATAATGATGATGATTATGATGATGAAAGTCAATGGCAAATTCGTAAGTAAATATGAAAAAAAATGAAATAGAAATTCAAATTTTTATTTGGCAACAATAATTTCTAGGTGATGGAAAATTATATCGTGTACGATCGGCACGTTCAACAAATCTAAATTATGTCATCTGGTCATTGATTATATTGGGATTTTTAATATTATTATTATTAATTTGTTGGATTTATAGCTGTATTAATGAAACCAGATATAATGATCGTATGATAATGGAGAAAATTTTGCCAAAACAAAATGATCAACAACAACAACAACAACATCTAAATCTAAATGATGGTCATGCGACAAATACAATAAAAAAATCATCCGAAACATTAACAACAACAACAACAACTGTAGATAATCATTCAAAGCCGAAAGAAGATTTCAAAGATTAAATCAAATCAATCATCATATTTTGTTAATCAATTGTACTTGAATCAAATCTTATCCATCACTCTTATAGTCAAATGATATCTCAGAAGACAGAAAAAAATCGGAGCCAAAAAAATGAAAATCTTGATATTGAATGAATTTTGTCAAGACATCCAATTTTTTTTGATGATTCACGTTGATTGAAACTGTTATAGCGAGATTTTTTTAAAAAAAAACATCCGATGTCGTTGGCACCGAAATGTATGCTAGATTTGTGTGTGTGTGTAATTATATAGAAAAATATAATCAATTTTAATTATTATACACACAACTCTATAGGTGCATAATTTGTATCGTTTGTTTTCGCAATCAAACGGAAAATCTTCAACAACGTTTTTCTATTTACGTCAAATTCGCGTTATTTGACGTATAATATCGTATGACAGCGAAAAAATAACAAAAAAAAAACAACCAAATATTATTATCATTTGCTGATTAATCAATGGATAAGTGTATATGTGTGTAATGTTGAAAGAGAGAAAGGGAAAAAACCTGTTGATCTCAAATGTACTTTTTTTCTGTATGTAATTTCTGTTGTTTTTATTTTTTGTCCATAGAAAAAAAACCTAGACGATGTATAATTCTTTTTGATAAATAAATACCGAAAAGAAAAAAAATATCAATTTGATTAAAGCAATCAAAGAAAAAAAAAACAAAAACTGATGAATAATGATGATGATGATTTGGGTTCATTTTGAACACAAATATTGGACGTTTTATTTAGACTTAATTTCATTCACAAACAAACAAACAGATAATAAAAATTGTATTGGCAAAAAATATTGATCAAGAATTTCACAAATTCATTGCCACGTTCTTGCTGAATGGTTCAGTCATTTACAGTAATTATAGTAACATCGTAAAATGAATTTCAATAAATAGAAAAAAATGGATTCGGAAAGAATTCCAAGTACCAAGGCGTTTCTTGATTTTCTTGCTCAATAATCTTGCTGAACAATAATCCAATAGTAATGACAAAACCATTTCGGATGATGAATAGAATAATGAATAGATTATTCATCGCCCCAACGTGATGAAAGAAATCTTCGATAAATAATTGTAACATAGATGGCCAACAAAAGTACAACAACAATATCATCAAATAGACCAAATATACCAAACACAGCTTCAGGTATCATATCTAATGGTGAAATTAGATATAGAATTGCGGCAAAAAAACAAATGATAACACGTAAACGAAACATGTAGAATAGACCATTGAATGAGAAAAAATCGTTGGTCAAATGTCTCAACATTGTAGGGAGATCGTATAGATAATCGTACCACTAGAATAGTAATGAAAAAAAAATATCAAAATTATTTGAGAAATTCAAATGAAAAAACATGCAAACATACCGGCCGTGGTTCACCCGAAAATCTTCTATTATAACTATTGATTTGTGAAGTCACTTGTCGGGCTGTGTCGGCAATATTATTTGTCGGATTTAAAAATGGTTGTTGTTCAGTTGATGAATCTCCATTTGTCGTTGACGTTGTTGATTCAGTATTTGAATTCGATACCATAGAATTATTATTAACATTTTGATTAATATTATTAAGTTGAAAACAAGGTAATAAAATGTTCACTTGTTGTCGACATACAGGACATTTTATCGGACCACCACGCCATTGTGATTGTTGCCAATAAACAACTATACATTGACCTGATTGATGATGAAAAGTAAAATAATGAATAAAAATTGAAACAAATAAGCAAATAAAAAAAACATACCACAAAATAAATGACCACAATTTGTTTCGACAGGCAATAGGAATGGATTTAAACAGACAGGACAATTACTATCCATAGAATTAAAATGTCTTTGTCGTTGAAACATATTATTATTATTGTTTATTGATTGTTGATTTGAATTTGACAATATTGTTTGTGATTGTTGTTGTGTCGTATCGATTAACAATGATGATGTGGTCGATGAAGATGAATTAAGGCTATTTAAGGTGACCGTTGTGAAATGATCAAATCTATTTGAAGTGAAACAAAAAATAAAAATTTTAAATAAAAAATAAATAAAGGAAAAAAACAAAACAAAAAATGATAATAATTACAGCCGAGATGGTAAAACGTTCCAGAATTCCATTTTTTTTTCTCTTAATCTACTACTTAAAATGCGATCAATTAAAATGACAGACAAAAGAAAAAACAATGAACAAACAGAAATAGGAAAAAAATTTAGTTCCAAAGAAAAATGATGAAATTATCACAGATTCAAACAAAAATATTCAATTTTTTTTTAATTTTGTCTTGGTAAACACTACAATCCTGAACAGTCACAAAATCGAAAATCAAATAGTGAGAAAAAAAAAATGAAAAAATTCATAGGCGTCTATAAGTAATGACGCCTCGAATGAAACTGTTATGTATGTGTATTGTCAACTATGCGAATGTGATGATGATGATGATGATGATGATGATGGGTGCGCGCGAGGATATATCGATGAATATCATTGATGACGACGATGATGATAATTATGATGAAAAAAGCCAATACCGATGATGAACAACACAAACACACACACACTGTATTCGTTTATGAAAAAAAAGGATGGCCAAAATGATGGGGTGTCTGTTTGAAAAGAGGGATAATAATAATAATAATCATAATCATCATCATTATCATCGTCATCAAATGATCAATGACAATCCATTCATCTTAGTTGAAAACTTTGACAAATCGATAATTGCTGAACGTATATATATAAATTGTCAACAGAGATACTTTCACTCTTTTCAATTTTGATAAGCTCAGCTGATTATCATTGAAAAAAATCAACAATATTGGATTATCGAAACGAAAAAAAAAATTCAATTTGTCTATAAAATATCTATATGTTTGCATATGATAGGTTTTCGACGACGACGACGACGACTACGATCTATATACTAACAGACATAATTTAAAAAGAAAAAAAATCAGGCGAGATATTTTACCACAAAAAACAAAATCATCTATGTCCATTTTGATTGAAATTAATGTGTGTGGATTTCATCAACAAATTGTAAACATGTTGTCGTCATTTTGTTTGTCGACATTTATCAAATCAGTATAACAGTAAAAGTAATGGATATTTCGAAACAAATACATTCAGAAAGACCGGAAAAAGAGATCAATTTCTGATCAAGTATTGTTGTTCAATGAATATTTAACCAGAAAAAAAATTAATAAAATTTTCAATTTTACAACAGTTAATATCAAACAATTATTGATTAACTAGAAAACCTTGAACATGACAAATTGACAGATATGATTAATGAATATTATACATTTAGAGAAGAAAAAAAAATTTTACAACAAAAAAAAAATCACACGTTCATAATTCACACATCAACAAGTATTCGAGAGTGATCGATATCATCACATTAGGATTTGAATCGATAAAAAAACATTAGGGAAACACCGAATAAATTCGAACAACGAAAAAAAAACTTATCGAAATTTAAAAAAAATCAAAAATTTTTATGTTTAGATATTTATTTTCTCTAAATTATGTCAATCAAATGTCATAAGAAGAAAGCCTGATGATTAAAAAAGATTATCAAAAATGATAAATAAAGAAAAAATTAAAAAAAACAAGCCATTCATATGCAAACTAAAAGAAAGAAAACCGGAAAAAACATTGAATCTCGATAATCATCAATATTGATCAAATATTGATCATGATCATTATCGCATAGAGAGAAATTGATCAAAATTAATAAAATTATTTGCCAAAAATATTTTTTTTCCTGGTTTTCATGAAAAAATTGAATTGAAATTTTTCTTCCAATTTGTTGTAATTTAGACATGAGAAAACTCCAAATCAAAAAAAATCGTCATCGACCTCGAGGAAATAGAGAGAGAGAAAGATAGATAAATGAGATGTTTGGATTTTGGGTTTCATTGTGAAACAGCATCAATTCAAAGATTAAAATCATCATCACCATTCAAACATAATATAAACAAAGTGATTTTCACATGTATACAACAAACACACACACACACACACACACACACTTTAATTTTCAAAAAATAATCATTATCAGCATCTAAATGAAGTGATCTTCAAACATATATTTATTTTTTTTTGAGCTATGCTCTGATTTTTTTTTCTTCATTTCTTCATTATTTCTGCTGACTAGTAGCTGATTTATTTATTGATCTAATAATGATGGAAAAAAATAAGTTAACCGAGATAAGATTTTTTTTTCAAATCAAAAAAAAATGTGCTGATTTCAAAACAAAAAAGAAAGAAATTTCTTTTCTTTTTTTTTTTGATGATAACAAATTTGACATTCTAAAAGTGAAATTAAATGTAAATGTGGATTTTTATTTATTTTTTTTCATTTCATTATTTAAAAAACGACGATTGATTGATTATTATCTTTGAAATTGACAACGGCAAATATTGTTTCATTTTTTTTTTCAATCGTTGTTGGTTTGCCCAGAAAAAAAATCGATGCCTTAACAACAACAAGGAAAAAAAATTTAGAACACAACGCAACAAAGTGTTTTTCCTCGGAATTTGAAATCTAAACATTAAAAACTTTTGGAGAAACAAACAAAAAAAAATTGACTTTGACCATTTAGGGGAACAACCATAATCAGTATCATCATCATAATCATCATCATCATCATTGACAACAACATTATCATCATTTATATAAAATAAAATAAACATAAAATGACAAGATATTTGATTTATATTCTAAAATAATTTAAAATGCAAAACAAAAAATTTGTTTGAAAAAAATTCTCAGCAAATTAGCCTTTTTTCTACTTCAACAAATTAATGAATCTGGCCAATAATGAACAAATACATTCAATCAACTCTAGACAGATATTATTATTATTTATTAGATAGAAATCATGATCATCATCAATGCCAATGAAGGGTCATTGTATGATTAGGAATCGAACAAAAAAATTGGATACAATGTGCATGAAAAAGGCGAAAAAAAATTAGTTCAAATGATTTTCATGTTTCGATTAAAGTGACAAAAAAAAACAATGTTCTGTTTATGGAAATTCTCTTTATGGCTGGCTGTGTGTATGTGATTGATAACAATTGAAACGATAAAATCATATTTCAATCAAAAGATTCATTGCTTGATTTGAATGATTTCATTTTTACATATAAAAAAAACTAAAACATCTAATAAAACACACATACCTTGTAAATAAATAATAGGCAAACATTGATATTAATAAAAAGAATAAAGTAAATATCACAACAACATCATCATCGACACCTTCGATTAAATTTTGTTTTGTAGCCGTCGTTATTGATGATGGCCATTGGTGATGACTTTCAGCTTGGTGATTATCGTTTGTATTATCATCAATATCATTATTAATTGTCACATGATTTTTATTAAATATAAACCATTCATATATTGATCGAAACTTTTGTTTCAGATCAAAATTATAGACAAGGTTAAAAAATGGTTGATAGTTAAAACTTTCCAACATAATCTGAATTGATTTTACAACAACAAAAAAAAAATAAATTAAATTTTTTGATCGAAAAATGAAAAACGGAAAAAAACTTACATATTTGACTAACAAATGAAATTATAGTTATTGTTTTTGGATTAAACAAATGACCGCCAACAAATTGATTTAAATATTTTCAAATATCATTGTTATTTTTTAAAAAATAAAATGAAAATAAACCAAAAAAACCTTCATCGAACGACAATTTTGATGAAATCATGAGTCAACAATTACATTCCAATAATCGAATGTTATGAAAACAAAACAAAAAAATTACTTTGATACATAAAAGGCGTTGCCAATTATCCAGCACGTGATCTGCGCACAGCAAAAAAAAAACTAAACCCAAACATTCGAATTGGACATATTTTGTATACAAAAATTTTATTTATTTGACCGGTTTTTCAAATTGATATTTTAGAAAATTTCATAATTGTTTTTTTTTCGAAGATCAACATTATTGATGATCATTGCCAATATTGATAACATAATATAATTCAAGGTTTGAAAAAAAGAGAAAAAGTTTGAATCAACAACATAATAAATCTATAGAATGAACAATATCAATAAACCAATGGATTAACATGAAAATTTTGACGATTAAAATGATTAGGCGATGATAGCGTGCAAGCATTTCTTCTTGATGGCTGTAGACGATAATTCATCTGAATAGATCCAACAATAGGTAATGATTGATTTTGATTAGATGAAAATCTATGTGTGGAAAAACCTGATGAACGATTTGGATTCAATTTGGGAGCATCATCTATGGGATCAGATTTTTTTTCTGTTGATAATTTTGACGTTCTACGTTTTGATTTATTTTGTTTCTTTTTTGCATATTGATTTTTTAATGTACTTTTATGAGAATAATAAAACATAGGACCCGAATGACCAAGAATCGATTTGATATTTTGTCTACAGAGAGAATCGAAATGCAACAAGTTATATAATTAAATGCAACAATAGTTATACAAACCCAATCATCATTTTAGTAATTGTATCATCGGAATTTCGATTCCAAACGGTTATTTTATAAGTTTTATTTGAACGAATTGTCAATCCAATGCCGCATATTTCATCCAAATAGTTAGCCATCAATGGATCGGTAAGTAAATTTATTACCTGTTTCCAGATAAATTTTGATGTCTTTTTCGAACCATGATTATGATTGTGATGATGATGATTATGATGATCATCATCATGTTCATTAGTTTTTTCACGTACAAAATCATTACTCCAATTTAATGACCAACCACCACCAAATACATTATATTCATCTTCCCATAATGGCATAACACCATCTTTAAATATAAAATAGCTACGAACCATTGAATCAGTATGATCATCATAATCATCTTGTGTAACCAATGTCATTAATGGTTGATATTCAATTTCAGCCAAACGTCTACACACAGAAAAATTGATTTTAAATTTAACATTATCACAATTTATAACAAACCTTAATTCGGAAGTACGAAATTTCAAATCTTTTGAAGCGGATAAATGTTTTTTAAATTCAGACATAAATGTATGCGGTATTGATGCTGGATTATGAAAATAATCATCACGTGATTGTAATGAAGATTTAACAGGTGGTTTCCAACGCCATAATTGCCATATTTGTTCATTATTAATTCGATCTATGGTCGAAATTAAATCTTTGATATGGTTAGCCGAATCAGAACGAGATTTTGATCTTGACAATGTCGAAATAATTGATATTCCTGATGAACGACATGTTTGTTTAAGAACTTCATCATTAACAATGGGTAACATTCGAAAATATGATGACCAATCTTTAATTTGTTGTGATTGATCCAATAAAAATTGTAGACCAGACGAATAATGATAATGTTCCTGATTAATGAAAAAAAATCGGATTTTTTCAATTGTTTTTTTTCAAAGAACCAACTTACCATTGTGAAATCAACTCAAAAAAAAGAAGCACAAAAATGATTGAGAAAAAAAATTTTAAGCCAAGATTTTTAAAAAAATGAATTTAAAATTACAAAGAGTTGAGTATTTATATAGCGGGAAAAAATGATGATGTTAATTACATCAAATTCAAGTTTTAAAAGTTTTAATATGAAATTGAATGATGAAAATTCCATCATATTCAAGTCAATAAATGAGTCAATACCGTCATTGATTAGTGCAGATGCGTCATAGTTTTTTGTACAGTTTTTTTTTGTTTTATAAAAAAATATTCTCAAGTTTATTGATTCCAAACAAAATTCAAGTTTGAATTATAATTACAATATTGTAATAAATTCATTTCTTTTTATCCGAACTATAATCATAAAAACCTTTACCGGTTTTTCGACCTAAATGTCCTTTGGCAACCATTTCTTCAATAATTGGTGATTTATGCATAGTTAATGTTGGATCACCACGTTTTTCCCATGCATCCATAATGAATTTAGTTGTATCTAATCCGGTTAAATCTAATTATCATCATATAATGATTTTTGATTAATTTAATTTGATTGAAATTTTAAAAATAAATAAATTACCCCAAAGTTCGAATGGTCCCATAGGATAACCAGCTCCTAATTTCATTGCCGTATCAATATCTTCGATAGTTGCATCACCTCTTTCAACCATTTTAATACATTCTTGTTTATATGGAAAAAATAATCGATTTACAATAAAACCAGGTGTATCTTTACATGCAACGCTAACTTTATCAATATCCTGAACAAATTGTCGAAGTTTTTCAAATGTATCATCGCTAGTACCATTATCGGTACGTGCAATTTCAACCAATTTCATTAATGGTACTGGATTAAAAAAATGTAGACCAGCAAAACGTTCCGGACAGGTAATATATTTACCAATTTCATAACATGGTAATGATGATGTATTCGTTGCATATATGATCGTATCATTCGATTTAAATTGTTCACTATTATGACATGATTAAAAGTTTTTTTTGAAAAAAAGATATTTTTAAATCATGAAAAACTAACCATAAATTTTTGAATAAATTTTGTTTTATTTCCAACAATTCAGGTACGGCTTCGATAATAAGCAAATTTTCATCATTTGCTGGTTTCATTTCAACCGAAAAATTAATTTTATTCGTTACCATTTCAGCATCATCAATATTAATTTTTTTCTTTGCTTTCAATTTGGATAAACTTTGTTGAATATTTTTCCTGGCTTTTTCCAATTGTTTATCGGATACATCTTGTAATGTTACCGAATTAAAACGACCAGTTGTTATACATGATTGTGCTATACCAGAACCCATTAATCCTGAACCAATGATCATTACATTTTCAATTCTTTTCAAATATGCTGTTTGTGAAAAAAACCGAACATGACGTAGTTGATTAATCGAACGAAACAAAAGAATTTGTTTGGAAATCATTTTGAAACAAAACAAAACAACAACAAAAAAAATTGTACCCGCTTATGTAAATAAATAAAGAAAAAAAATTTGTTTATTTTGATTGATCGAATGCGCTAATCAATTGCAGCAAAAAAAAAATATTTTCATATCATCGACGTAAAGTGGCGCTCAATTATAAAGATTTATTATCATTCATCATTAGGATTATATTGGTGATAATAACAAGAAAAATAAGGTTTATTTAAAAAATTCAGCATTTTCACGTTCATTTCTTTTGTGAATAATCATAAAAACCTTTTCCGGTTTTTCGACCTAATTCACCACGTTTAACCATTTCATCAATTGTTTTAGAACGATAAATAGTCAATGTTGGATCATTACGTTTTTGCCATGCATCAACAATAAATTGATTTGTATCTAATCCAACAAAATCTATGGAATAAAAATTTCAATAAATAATTAATCTGTTTGATTAATTCATATGTTCAATTAATTTACCCATTAATTCGAATGGTCCCATTGGATATCCAGCACCTAATTTCATTGCAGTATCAATATCACGTGCAGTAGCATCACCACGTTCTAACATTCGTACAGCTTCTTGCATATATGGTACCAATAAACGATTGACAATAAAACCAGGTGTATCTTTACATGCAACACCAACTTTATCAATTTCTTTAACAAATTGTCGAAGATCTTCAAATGTTTTATCACTTGTTCCATTTTCTGTACGAACAATTTCCACTAATTTCATCAATGGTACTGGATTAAAAAAATGTAAACCACCATAACGATCTTTGCAAGTAACATGTGTTCCAATTTCATAACAAGGTAATGATGATGTATTTGTGACAAAAATGACCGAATCATTTGATTTAAATTGTTCACTAAAAAAAATATGAATTAAAATGAAAAAATTATAATCAAATCAAGCGAAATAATAATAATACCAACCATAAATCTTTGAACAATTTTTGTTTTGCATCCATTATTTCTGGAATAGCTTCAATGATTAATAAATTTTTATCATCAACAGGTTTTAATTGTGTATTGAATGTTATACGATTTGTTACCGCTTCAGCATCATCAATATTGACTGAAAAAAAAGAACAAACAATAAATAGGATTATTAACCTAAAAAACAAGTAGCATACTTCGTTTTTGTTCCTTCAATTTGGATAAACTTTGATGAACACGTTTACGTGCTTTATCCAATTGTTCCTGAGATACATCCTGCAATGTAATCGAATTAAATCGGCCACTTGTAGCACATGATTGTGCAACACCGGATCCCATTAAACCAGAACCGATAATCATTACATTTTCAATTCTTTTCAATGATTGTGTTTGAGAAAAATAACGAAATTGTTGTTGAGATTGTTTCGCAACTGATGAAAGAAGATATTTAGTAGCCATTGTTATTGTTTTCTTTAGAAAATAAATCGTTACAACCCGAATATTTTTTATGCGAATTTTCTATCAATGTACCCGACGGTCGACACTGCTCATCATCTGTTTTGATCATATGGAAAATTTTTTTTTCATTCTTCAAAAAAAGAATAATTTTTTTCCGAATCATAGATGTCGCTAAAAACAATAATTTTACCCTATTTTTTAACGAATAATTCAATATTCATTTATGTACCTATTCATAAACCTATGTACTCATTGAATTTAATGTTTACAGAATTTGTTATGAATATCGTTTTCGATTCTTAAAGTGAATAGGGTACATTATCATCATCATGATCATTATTATTATGACACATTTGATGATGTAACAAAATCACATGACCAATGTCACGTTTTTCTTCAATATTCATTTTCATACAAAAAAAAGGAAATTCTCAAAATATAATAATAATAATTTTATGGATTTTATGAGACCGAACAACGACCAATTCCATCCAATCAATCAATCACAACGTGAATACTCATCAAAGGTATTTTCTTTTAAATTTTGATTCTTTTTTTTTCCAAACAATTTTTTTTCTGACCATTTGAGTCAATTTATCGGATAGAACTCAACACACAGAGATTTTATTTTTCATCTTAATCGTATCTATTGAATGAATGGATGATCGATAAGATGATAATCATCATTGATTGATATGTTAACAAGTTTTATTTTTTTGTTGTAAATTTTGTTAAGATTCGAATAAAAGAAAAAAAATCTATAGTCATAAAGAGGATAATGGATTTGAACGCCATTACTTATTAATCCATCAAGTCATTTTCTCTTTATTTCTTCGTTTTGAATCTTTCTTTCCTTGAAGTTATTGAACATTTTTAACATGGTCATCATCATCATCATTATCATTATCAATGGCATGTGTATCTTTCTCTCTGTTTGTACGTTTGTGACATTCATTCGGCTACTTTTACTTTTTATTTCTTAAATATTCATTCACATCAATTTCGTTTATAATTTTGTTATTTCTTCGTCGTCGTCATTCACGAAAACATCAAAATGATTCGATGTATTTTTTTTTTTTTTTTTTTGACGACACACATTTTCGTTCGTTCGTACGTTCGTTTTTGTTGATGATGAACAAAACAAACATTTGGTGTTTTNTCGTTTATAATTTTGTTATTTCTTCGTCGTCGTCATTCACGAAAACATCAAAATGATTCGATGTTTTTTTTTTTTTTTTTTATTGACGACACACATTTTCGTTCGTTCGTACGTTCGTTATTGTTGATGATGAACAAAACAAACATTTGGTGTTTTGTTTTTGACGATTCTCTTTAACTACCCACGAATTTTTTTTTGTTTTCGACACCCACTACTACTGTTTAATTTTGTTCACATTCATATTCCATACGACAAATAATCTATCCTGTTCACTGAATATTTTTTCCAGCTAAAAAAAAATTATCAAGTTGATAATGTAAAGTAAAGAAAATATCCAATTTTTTGAATCCAAATATTTGTTGTTTATTTAATAAAAAAATGAACTCTGGTTTTATATTGATTTTTTCGGGGATTATTATCATCATCAACAGAACAACATTGCGTCCACATGATAAGAAAATGATGCGCAATATTTCATTGACAATTTTTTGTTTGTTTATTATTTTGAAGTAAAAAATTCTAGAAAATTGCAATTTCATATGTAAATCGTCGTATCTCTATATAATGAGACAAACGATTTTTGGTATGATAACGACGACGGTTATTTACGCCAAACAAACAAGAATTCTTGTTCGATTAACCTTATGATGATGATATAACATTACCCGACGACGACGACAACCACTACAACAACAATCGACCACTACAAATGTTATAAAGAACATTCTTTGGCGTCATTCTTAGAATGATTCTTGAATTTTTCGATTGCACTTATTCTGTATATTCGTTTGCGTTGGTGTAGAGCATGTGTGTGTGTGTGTGTTTGCCATTCTAACATTTTTTTTTCTTCATTTTTTTCTATGGCCCCATTTTATTTTATCTATGTCGCCCGCTCACAATAAGTAATTCAATTTTTTTGGGTATATCTCTCTTCGTTTGTTTGTTTGTTTGTTTGTTACGAAATATCAACGGCAATAAAATAAAAAAGGCAATATTCTTTTTTGTTTTTCTTCTTTCTGATTCTATGTTTTTTTTTGTTAATGTGACGAATCTACAAAATCTTCATTTTGACTTTTGAATAAGTTTTTGTTTCGATTCAATCTAAATCTTCTTTTCTAGGTAATTTAATTAAATTTTCCTTTTTTTGTTGTTTGTTTCATCGTTTGATTCCTGTATAAAATACCTTTGTTATTCAATTGAACATATTTCATTTAAGTAAATAATCATTCAACATCATCAAAATTATGATGATTTACAAATCATCATATCACATGTTGTCAAACAACCAATCATCATCCACAAAATTTTTATTCGTTTGCACATTCATCATTGAATAATTGTTGTTTCGAAAAACATAGAAGAAAATTTATGTTTCGTCATTGTATTGAAACGGATGAAATAATTGAAAAATTTTTGTCATCAAAAAAAACGTCATTTCATTTTCTATCTAAGTAATTGAATTTCGAATCATATTGAAGAATATTTTCTGTTGATTGATTGATAATCCCTTTTCTCATTACCAGTTCTCACCACCAGATGATTTTTTTGTTTGTTTGATTGTTTTAAATTGATAATTGATCTATATAGAGACAAAAAAAAAGAAACAATAATCAATTTCCAAAACAAAAAAAAAATGAAAACAATCGATTTGATTGATTGATTGATTGATATTTCATTCATTTTTGTATTGTGTACTTTTTTTTCTACTGGACTTGTGACTATCTAATATAATTGGCTAACGTCATTGTTTTCGATATCATCATCATCATCAACGACAAATTTTTTGACAATTTTTTTTTCTAAAAATGTTTTTCGGTTCATTTAACTTTTAAAATTGACTACATTTCGAAACAGAAAAAAACAATAATCAATTGCAATGAACTTGAAAATTTCGGATTGATCGGATTTCCGGAATTTCTTTTTCATTTGAAAATTTTCTTTTCATTTATTTTTAGCTGTATTTGAATTTTTTTCCATCTGTGGATGAGTATCTGAAAATCAGAAAATTAAAAATTCAAATTTTATACATTTTGTAAAATTCTTTTCAAGTACAAATTCTTGATTATCAAGGGGAAAGAAAGAGAAAGAAAAAAAGGTTTGTTTTCAATCGATTTCATTAATCAAAATCATTTGATCAATAACTCCCACACACATGCCACACAGGTTGCTGTAATGAAATCATTTCCAAAAAAAAATAGTACCATTCATTGAATGGTTCGAAAATGATTAACAAACGATGATTATGATATGGTTTAATCATTTGTTTGTATCCAAAATGTGAAAACAAAAAAAAATACATTTTGATTACAATTGTCACGAGCCTGTTTGGTTTTTTTGATTTTTTCAAATTTGATGATGTTGATTATTATATAAATACAGCGTCATTTTTTTATCGTCATTTTTACACGTATTTTTTTGTTTTTGTTTTGGTGTTGGCATCATCATCGACAATCGTTGATGATGATGAAGATGTCTGCGGTTTAGTGTGACATTCATTTGAAATTTTTTTTCTTTGATTATCATTACCAATTGCATATTCGACGCCAAATAATCTTAATTTTGGGTTTTTTTTTCTCTTAGTGGCGTAACTTTGGTTTCTTTCATTTTTTTAGTTGTGAATGATTTTCATTTTGGTTTTGTTTACAAAAATTATACAAAAATGTCGCTTTTTGATTTTATTGGTAAGATTTTCTGTCTTTGTTTCCGAAAATTTTCAAAAATTGTATTTGTTTTGGGTATTTTTGTGTTGTTTTTAATCGATGAAATAAAAAATTACGAAAATTTTTTATCAATTTTATTAATGTTTTTTTTCTTTTACTTCTATTTCCACAGAACCTGTTAATACAAAATTACAGGAAACATCTTCAACGAAAAAGATTTCTACAAATCCATTCGCTACAAATAACAATGAAAATTCTTTTAAAAAATATGTAAATTCTTTGGAAGATTCTGAAGAAGAAGACGAAGTTAATATTACAGATTCGGATGGTTGGCCTAGTTCACCACCATTACACCAACAATCATCAATTGCAAGTAATTTTCTTTCTACAACAAATTCTGATAGTCAAGATTCATTGATTTTATCTACTGGTCATGTTAATAACACTGATAAAGATCAACCGGAAAAATTGGTAAAACATAGAAATATCGATTGGTTTATCGGTAGTGAACAGGAAATACCTGATGATGAACTTTTTAAATCTGCTACAATTTCGATTGAAAATGAATCTAGCACAAAAAGTGATGATGTTGATGAACAACAATCAAACAGTATAGACATTGAAGAACAACAAATATTATCATCAGCATTAGCTTTTGATTGTGGATCACCAAATTCGTTGAATTATTTTCTTCAACAAAATCCAATAACTAAATTATCGTCATCAATCAATTCAACAACATCACCACAACAACAACAATTACCAAAATCATTCAAAAAATCTTACTCATCGGCTAATATTGTATCCACTGGATCTACTTATTGTGATACAATTTCAACTGAAACTAGTCCAATTGCCATTAATAATACGATGAATGTAGCATCGAAAAAACGTGGTTTATTTTCACGTGGTTCCAAAACGATAAGTGGTGGATCATCACTTGGCACCCATGCAACATCATCCACTTCAATTAATGATAATCATCAAGAGGAAAATGGTAAAATTAATAAAACTCCATCCAGCCCATCGGGTGCATCACATCATTTTAATGAATTAGATGAAGATCGTTTCAATGGTGATGGTGTACAATTTCAAGGCAAATTAATTGGTCATGAATATGTTGCCGAAGCTCGTGGTGAACAAATGTGCCAACAATCGTTGAAAAAATTAAAAATCATTCAAAAAGCCTTAGGTGGTCATAAACGTAAAATCAATCTATTCATTTCATTTGATGGTATTAAAATTCTTGATCCACAAACAAATGAAGAATTATTTCATCATTCTGTACCACAAATATCGTTTATATCACGTGATGAAACTGATACACGTGCCTTTGGCTATGTTTTTGGTAATTCACAGACTGGACATCAATTTATCGGTATTAAAACAAAAAAAGAAGCAATGATTGTTATGTCAACAATTGGACAATTATTTGCCATAACATTAAAACGTAAAAGAAATGCCGAACAAGAACAAACGGCTGCATCGGTTATATCATCAGGTGAAGAACATCTTTATCATTCTGTACCAGATCAAACTTCATTGACATCATCATTGCAAACATCCGAAATTGGCGACAATAATAATGATATTGTCACTAATAATTCGACAACGACAAAATCACGTGCACGAATTCGTACAGGTGTTGCATTGGAAAATGTCCCTATACCAGCATTACCACCGCCATCAGAACAACATCCAAGACATCGGCAACACAATCAATCGACACAACAAAATCAACGTTTCGCTACAATTGGTCGTGTGAATGATATTAACAATAATTTTTCACAACAACAAAAAACTTTACCTTCGGCATTGATCAATGAATTGGATCTATTTCAACCAACTAATGTAACTGGTGGATGTCAAAATCTTAGTGCAAGTATCGATTCTTCATTACCAAAGGTTTGTAACATGTTTATTCTATGCTTTTTTATTGTTAAACTTATTCTAATAACTAATCATTAGGATTCAAATCAACCTACGACTGGTACACAACGTTTAGCATCATCATATGATTGGGCACATTTTGATGATGATAATAATCAATTATCAATAAAAGATGATTCAACATTGAACACTATATCATCGATTTCTGATACATTAACATTCAGTAATAATCAACAAACTTTGAATGATTCAATCACTTTAGTTGCTGGTCAACAACAACAACAACAACAACAGCAATATTCAACAAATCAGAAATTCCAAATGAATTCAAAAGCAATAATAAATAGTCAGAATAAATTGAATGTTTCTTCAACAACGATCTCATCGGCTAATTTTGATGGAATGGATCCATTTTCGGATGCTTTTGGTTCGGATCCATTTTCAACAGCATCAACAACTGCTGATATATCATCAAATTTGTTTAGTGCAAAAACATCACTTCCACAACAAGAACAACAGCAGCAGCAATCCCAACAACAAAATCGTCCACCATCAAATCCTGGCCCGAATACAATGTTTGATTCAAACAAATTAAGTTTCAAAGTAAGCTGTTTATTTTCAAATTGTTTTCGAAAAAAATATTCAATTTTTTTTTAATATTATAGGAAATGAATTCTGGATCAGTACCAGCATTAACAAATTCATTCGGATCATTATCATTGGATAAATCACAACAATCATCAACAAATAGTCAAAATTTTAACAACAATTTATTCAAAAGCAATGTTGAATTATCAAATCAAAATTCGGATTCTCAAGCGGACAAGTATGAAAATTGTTTGTTGTTGTTCTTGCAATTAATTTAATACTTTTTTTCAATCAAAAATCAGATATGCTGTTCTTGCCGATATAAATTCTATATCAACATCAATTTTTGATTCATTGGGTAATCGTTCGGCAACAATGATAGAAAAAGAAGATAATAAAAATAAAACTCCAACTCCGCCACCTATCACTTCAACGCAACAACGAAATTATCCTTCAGGTATTTCTCATTCTTGAATATAATCATTATTAATTAATCTGTATTATTATTCAGGATATCCTTCGTCAATAAATAATTCACAACATCAACAACAACAACAATCAAACCCTTCACCACTTTCATATGGAGTTAATGGTATTGTCGTATTACCACCAGTTTCTACAACATCAATACATAATGAATATATTTCTGGTGGAAATTTTTCTAAAAATCGTTGGTTAACTAAAAGTTTTGATTCAAATGAAATGCCTACTGGCCGAAATATAAATTATGGTCAGCAACAACAACAACAACAACAAACACAGAAACAGGCTCCACGAGCTGAATTTGATTCAATGTCAAATCTATCATCGAATTCATCAAATACATCAATTTCAAATACGCAGCAGCAGAATCAGAAAAAATCAACTAACGAAACATCAAATATACCATTGTTTCAAGAATTAGATCCATTAAATAATAAGAAAAGAAATTCACCATTAAATTTCAAAAATTTTAATGTTTGTTTAGTTTTTTTTTTGTTGACAAAAACGAAAATTTATAACAATTTTTTTTCTCTTAAAATTTATTATGTTTAGGATAATCGTAATCGGTCACCAATGCTTAATAATCCAAATGGATTAGATTCATCGATATCTTCGATGAATTCATCAAATTCATCATTATTTAATAATTCTCGTAATGTAAGTATTTTACCTGGAATGATCAAAAAAATGAAATTCTTCAAACTTTTTTCTACTATTTAAACTAATTCACTATTTTTATCAATCTTGTTTCTTTTTTTCCACTTTCATATTTTTTTCCTTCCTAAAAAATTTCTTCCTTTTTTCTCTCGATGCATTACGGTCTGTTTACTAAAATCAACACTTAAAATCTAATTCGACATGAATCATCATTTGATATTCGCATGATAAATACACATTACTAAATCTTAATTTGTTTGTAAAACATTTGTTAAAATATTGTTACAACAAAAAAAAATTGATTGATTGATTGATTGAAAATCAAACTTATTCATTTAAAATGTATATATTTGTTTTTATCAAAACCGGCAGTGTTCAACACCTAATAGCCTACAGCAACAACAAAATCATAAATCACCACAGCCTTTATTAAGCCATCAACAGTCATTACCAGTTATAGCTTCCTCTGGTAATTTAATAAAATCACAATTCTCAACAGCGACAAACAATACAATTGAAGAAATTCCTAATAATGATAATGATATTAACAATGTTAATCAAAAGTTAACTATGATTTCTAAGCCATTTAATTCAACAAATATGATATCATCGTCGTCAACTATTACAACAACGACAACAATAACAACAAGTCCACATTATATTATGCTTTATAATCTAAGTACATCACCTTTGCAATCAAATCAAATTAATGATGATGAAGACGGTGATAATAATGATGATGGTCCAACAAACAATCAAATTAACAATTCATCTTTGGATTCAACGAAAACTAATCATATTGAAGGAGGAAATTTATTATCATCTCAAAATAAAAATAATATTGAATCAATAACAATTAAAGAAGGTAAACAAGATTTAGATAATAAAAAATCAGATGATTCATCATCATTAAATGTAAATGATGAAATGAATAAAAATGAAGAAAATTCATTATCCGAAAATAATAATATGATTAGAAATGATCAACGTTCACGAACATCATCAATTTCATCTAGTTCAAATTCATTATTATTGCAACAAGAAAATTCCAATTTTTCCGAATTAAAATTTGATGATGTTTTCGAAACACCATTATTGACAACAACAACAACAAACGATTTAGAACAAAATCAGTCAAAAGAATCAACAAAATTGGATAATAAAATTTCCGAAGAAAATAAAAATCAATCAAATGAAATTAAACAGAAAAATACATTAATCAAAACAAAAACTGAATCAATTTCATCATTGAAATCAGATTCATCAACAGGAAACGTAACAAAACCACAAGCAGCAACATCTACTTCATTATCACGACAATCATCAACATCATCAACACCACCTGCTATACCTCCTAGAACTGATCTGCATAATAATTCCAATAAATATCAAAATCAAATGGGCTCTATACCACCACCACCTCAACCTCCGCCTTCACAAATTCATAGTGGCCATTCTTCATCATATGGTAATAGAATTTATTCACAACAACCATATCCTCCGTTACAATATCCATATTATCCATCACCACCGCCTTCATCATCAAGTCATTTTTCTGATCCTTATATTCATCGACCTAATTCATCATCTTCACATCATCATCCTCATCTTCGTTATCAACCAAATTATTATGATTCATGGTATTGTAATCAAAATGATCCTATCTATTCAACACCACCACAACGTCCACCATTAGATTATCCACCACAAATACCACCACCACCAATACCATCAAATGTTCCACCAAATTATTTGGGCTATCATGATTATTATACGAATCCATCAAGACCATTTAGTGGTGGCAATGTTGCGCTTGCTAATACCTGGCATGAGTATTATCAACATCAACAACAACAACAACAACAACCACATTCATCAATGATACATCCAAATCAGCTAATGTCATCATCAACATTATCATTATCATCGACAACATCTGCTGCGCAACCTAAAAAAGCATCATCAATATCATCGACTCCTCCTCCTTGTAATAATATTAATAATGATGAAGCCACACCTTCTCCTATCCCACCACCTATTGTACCGAATCCACAGCGTCGTATTTCGGCAACATCAACATCATCTCAATCGGGTGGGGCAACATCTAACCAATCACCGTCGATGAATTTACATCGAACACCATCATCGGTTTCAAGTACAACCGAAAGAACTTTTAATCCAAATGTTATACCAACAATTCCGATGTATCCTCCTCCATTACCACCAACACATCAAATGGATCCATTCTATTCACATCCATATTATGATGAACTGAATAAATCATCAGCATCACCATTTGCAGCATTCAATATGAATATGGAACAAATGATAATGAAATATCATCATCCTGTATTGCCACCACCACCACCTATTGTACCTATGCATCATCTTCGTAATAGTCCAATATTACCACCATATGAACCAACATATGGTTATACAAATTATCAATCATATCCTGGACAATATCCTACAATGATTAGAGGTCGAAATAGCTCTGGTCATCTTTATTCAAATCAATTGGATATTACACAACAACAACAACAACAAACATTACCACAAACATCTTCACAATCAGGAACATTGATGCCCGGTAATCAATTTGTTTGTCCTAACAATAGCATTGAAAGTAATACAAACAGCAGTAATGGAAGTAGTAGTGGATATGCATCAACAATAAAATCAACAACATCAATGATGATTGATTCAATTGCTCGTATATCTCCTATGGCTAATCCTCATCAAACTCCTTGGCCAACAATATTTCCGGATAATACAACATTGCAACAACAACAACAAAATTTAATGAAATCAAATAATAATGATGATACTAAACCTTTCAATGATTCTTTTATTGATAATTTTGCAAATTTTGATACAAATCAAGATGGATTTGATACGGTCAAACGAAATCAAAAAGATTCATTGATTATGATGTTGGATGATGATAATAAAGCTAATAATGAAACGGAAAAATCAGAAAATCAATCAAACATGGATCATAGTGTTAATGAAAATGATGACAATAACAAATCTAAACCAACAACAACAACAAATCAAAATGATGATAATAATGTCAAACAAACAAATGAAACTAATAGATCTCAAGAATTCGAATCAATCGAACAGATGGATATTTTTGCAAGTAAAAATGATCCATTTGAAGATGATTTTTTTAAATCATCATAATTGAAAAACAAACAAACAAACCTTTGTGATATATTTGATGTTTTTTTTTAAAAAAAATGGACATCAACTTACAAACACTACAAACAAACATGGCATTTTTTTTTCTTCATTTCTCACTCAACTGCATTCCGAAACAAACAAACATTTTCTTTATTCTTTTGGGTCACCAATTACACTTTCTTTATTTTTCTTCGACATAATAATTCTCTTGTCTATTCTTATGAATTGAAAATTCTTATTGGCATTTATGAATCACACAAATATACTCACAATTATAATTGTACTTATTGCATTTTATTTTATTTTTCTTGGTTGTTAGATTTGATTAGAATTTTTTTTTATTTTTTCCTTATTATTTATCGTCACTTAATCATCATTCTTTTATTAATCTATCTATTTTGTGATTATCAATTGTTTCCGTTTGTTTTTTTCTTTTTGGTTTTTATTCAAAGTTTTTTTATATATATTTGGTCTTGCAACAGGTACAAATCACTTTTTCTTTTCTATAGATTTCTTTCATAATCTGTAGCAATCAATGTGTGTCACACACTCTTATTAATTTACTGATTTTTTTCCAAATAAAATTATGAAAAATTCTCAGAAATGAAAATTAAATTAATTAAATTTTGTTTTTTTATTCATTCGTTCATTTAAAGATAAATAATGGCCATAAATCACCAATGTCTACCTTTGCATCTGGCCTCGTTATAAACAATAGTGTTGTTGGGGATGTTGGTAAAAGCAATCCATTTGCCTAATTGATTCCACACACAAAAAAAAGATTCTTGTTTTTAAATCGGAAATTTCTGTATTTTTTTTTTTTGCCTATTCAAATTGAAATTATAAATAAAATTATCATTTTTTCTCAAAAAAAAAAATTTATTAATCTGTATTTCCTTTGAAAAAAAAAATATTACGATTGGATTTATTATCAGTGTTAATTTTTTTTTATTCCTACTTTATCATTATCATCATTTGATTAATTAGACAAATGTCTTGCATAAGATTTTTGAAAGGATGGATCATCATCGTATATATATAAGACAACGTCAAAAACGGGAAAAAAATTATAGTTGACACTTTTGTTTCAAAACAATTTGTTTAATAAGTTGTTTTTTCTTTGTTTCATTATGTTACACATCCCCTTTTTTGAAGTTGAATTCAAAATTGTTCAAATTTCAACTTCAAGGCGATGTGTATTATAATGTTATTCAAATGAATTTCATCGAAATTATTTTCTCATTTTAAAAGATCTGATTATATTACTCTTTTGTATTGCATACGATTGGTTATCGATAGAACGAATGAATGAAAAATCTACGGTCCTTTCGTGTGTGATATGAAAGTTAATAGCAAATATCATCAACGTTATTTTCGTTTCAAAAAAAAACAAACCCTGCAAGTTTAAAATCAATGCAAAACAATATATTCTAGCTCAATTTCTTTTCGGAAACATTGGCTATTTTTTTTTTAAATTGCATATTTCTTCAATGTTCCGGATAGAAACTGAGTTTGAAAATATTTTTAAAAATTTCACAATTTTCAAATTATAAAATTGATTATTTAATTAATTTAATTGATTTGATTTTTGTTTGTTTGTTTTTATCAACGATCCAATGTACGTATATTTCTTATTCTTGTTTTAGATGGTTTAATTGGTTTATTTTTTGTTTTAATTGGTTTTTCCCAATCTAATTTTAACGGTATACTTTTAATAAATTTTGTAAAAAAGGTTTGTTTTGGTTGTGGTTGTGGTGATGGCGGTGGTTGTTGTTGTTGTAATGATTGAAATTTTTCTTTTGTAATTAATAATTGTTTTTCTTTACTCATATTGATATTATTTTTTTCATTTTCATCACTATCACTATCACTATCATCATCATCATTCATAGCCATATATTCATGTATTAATGTTGTAATTTGTCTAAGTTTTTCTCGTTTAGCTTTTTCACGAATATTAATTCTATATAACCATGGATCAGATTCAAGTAATTCAATTATTGTTGGACGATTTTCAGCTTTAAATTGTAATAATTTAAATAAAAGTTGTGAACAATTATTTGAAACATGTACACGACGATTAATTGTCCATTGATGTCTCATTTGTCGTCGATAAACTAAACGTACTTTTTGTAATAAATCCATTTCAAATAAATATTCTTCCGGTCTTAAAAATGTATTATATAAATGTAACATTTCGAATAAACATACCCCAATTGAATAAATATCGGCTGCTTTACCATCATATCCTTGACCATTATTGTAATGTGGATTTTCTAAATATTTTAATCGTATAAAATTTACTTCTGGTGCTGTATATTCAATAGTACCGCAAGGTGAATAACATTGATTTGGAAATATTATTTGTGTTGTTGTTGTTGGCATTTTAGTTAAATCATTACTTGTATCAATGGATGATGGTAATATTTTTGAAAAACCAAAATCACCAATTATTAAACGATCATTTTGTGAATTAATAAAAAGATTATCTAATTTTAGATCACGATGTACAATTCGATTACGATGTAGATAATTTAATCCTTTTGATAAATCGAAAAACCATTTTTTCGCCTGTTTTTCATTGAATGGTTTTCGTTGACCATACATTATTTGTTTCACATTTCCACCTTCAATTAATGGCATCACCATAAATGCAATTGAACGAAATTTTAAAACATCAATAGCACCAAGCACATTTGGATGTCGAATGGCTAATGAAATTTTCATTTCACTATCTAAACAACCACTATCTAACCATTGTTTAATTAATATATTATTACGATCAATCTGTTTGATTGCAACTTTTTCACTAGTTTTTATATTTTCAGCAACGAAAATTTTTCCATATGTTCCTTCAGCTAAAAGTTTTTGATATCGATATCCATTGAATAATAACCATTTTGGTGTTTCTGGTAAATTTGTTGTTGCAATATCTTGGCCATTATTATCATTATGATTTATGTCAATATTTTCTTCTTTACCAATTGATTGTTTTTCCGTGGAAATTTTTATTGTTTCATTCTTAGGTTGTTGCTGATGTTCTTGTTTGGGTTGATGTTCTTGTTTAGGTTGTTGTTGTTGATGATGATGCTCTTGTTTAGGTTGTTGTTGTTGTTGATGTTGTTCTTGTTTAGGTTGTTGTTGTGGTTGTGGTTGCTGTTCCTGTTTATAAAGATCAGTTTTTTTATCATCCAATAATTTTTGTAATTCATCAATCAAAATTGATTTTTGTGATTGTTGTTCATCACTATTTTCTGTTTTTTCTTTACCAAATAATTGTTGCATACGATCATTTTTGATCATTAATTTAGTCATTATTTCAAATGGATCATCTTCATCATCATCATTATCACGTCGTTGTCCGTTTTTAATAATATTATCATTATCATTACTAATAGACCTAGATTCTTTTTCCATTTAAAAAATTCTGTGGAAAAAAAATTCATTTGGTCTCAAATTGTTTGTATAAATTCATTATACAATTTATATAGCCTAACCAAATGATGAAAAAAAAATTACAAACTATTATTATTATTATTATTATTATTGTTCAATTATTGAATTTTCATTTTTAATCGAATTTGATTGAATTCCCATCGAACATGATATAGTTGTTATGTGTTTTTTTTGTCTGTTATAAAAAAAACAACAACAACAACAAAAAAAACTTTGTTATTAGGCCATATTTGTTCTGTGTCTGTGTCGGTTTGTGCAAATACCAATGTAAATTGAATTGACAATTTCTTTTTTTATCATATACTATACATATGATTGCCAATCATAAATGCAATAATATGTTTATCAATCTTAGAGATAACAGCAATTCCGAAGAATTATACAACATCATCATCATCATCATCATAGACAACATTGAATAGGTAGAGAGAGAGAGAGAGAGAGAAAAAAAATCATTTGACTAATCAAATGAAGAATATAAAAAAAAACTACTCAAGATAACTAAATCAATTCATTTTTTTCTGATATTTGAATTATCTTTCTCTTTCTCTCTCTCTCTCTCTCTCTCTCTCTGGTTGTGTGTGTGTGTTGGAAGGATGGACGATAAAAAAAAAAGAAAGAAAGATTAATCACATAAATAAAAACGATCGCTAATTTACACAGGTATTATGTGATTTATTTCTGGATCGTTTTTTTTTCAATAAAAACGTCAGTTAAATATGAAAATCGTTCAATCAGATTTGATTCTATCGATTCATTGATCGATAATTGATTGATCAAATTGGAAACAAATGTCTGGTTAATCCTGTCTAATCAAACCTTGTTTCTCGAAACACATCTAGCTTGTAAGGATTTCCTGAATTTTTGAAAATCAAAAATTTTCTTATTAAAAAAAAACAAAATCCTTACTTGAGATGTGAAAACGAGCGACAAGATAATATTTTCAACAATATTCACACATCAAGGTAACATTTTTAAAATTTTTCTACATTTTAACCACATTTTAAATAAAATTTTAACCATCTTCCGTTTGAATTTTTTTTTCAAAAAACAAAATAATTATCATGTAATTTTTTTTTGCAAAAATTTTAATTATTAAACTAACCCAAACATCATGATGATGATGATGCGTTTTTTGTTATTAATTTTTTATTTACTTTTAATTACTTTAGCTTTAGCAAAAAGTCATAATAATAATAATGATGATGATAAAACGAATAACTACACTGAACGTTTTATGAAAAATTTTGATATTATCTATTTATTTGGTCAACAATTTACAACAAAATTCTTAAAACCATTATACGATGAAACAATTACCGATGAACATGATTTAAATCTAACCAAAGAATGTTATCATTCATTAGAAATGATGTTTACACATCCAGAATTAGAATGGGCATCATTAAGTAAGTTAATTATAAAATTTATAAATGTTTAATAAAAAAAACGCTAATCATTTAAACTTAAGTGTGGGATGCTAGTGGTCGAATAATAAGACCCGGTTTTATAAGCGGTACTATAACCGATTATGGTGATTATGATCAATGTTTAAATATTGATTATTCGAATGTCGATGAATCAAATAATCGTATACAAGCAAGATATTGTTTAATGACAATACGATTACCGATTCCACCAGCTAATAAACGATTAAATTTCAATAAAACACGTTATGAAAATCGATGGCCATCAAAATGGTGGAATGATCCACGTTATCGTTTCTATTATCGAATTGTTAGTGCTTTATGTTTACCAAGCGATTGTCAACGTAATGAAATTGAACAAGTAGCTCGAAAAGTATTTAAAAATTTTGAATTCAATATCGAAGTTGAAGCATGTCAAACCCGTAATGAACAAGAATCGATGTCATTTGATTTTGCACAACGATTTTCAATGTAAATAATTCGTTAAAAATTAAAATTGATCAATTCGAATGGACAATTTATGTTTCTTCTTTCACAGATTTATTTTGGCCATTTGTACATCGACTGTAATCATTGGAACAATAATTGATTGTTATAATCGTCGTTGCATTTATTCAAACGAAACTAGTACTGAAATAATGGAATTTTGGAAAGGTTTTAGTTTGTTACATAATACGGAAAAACTTTTTACAATAACTGCTTACGAAAATGATAAGGATAAAACAAACGAAACAGCTCCTACTGAATTGACTGTCATTCATGGGCTTCGATTTCTATTGATTATGTGGGTTATTACATGTCATACGACAAATTTTGCTCCACTTGGTCTTTATGATCAACCAATGATTGCTGGTATGTGTTTCATTTATCTTCAAAAATTTTTGTAATTGATAAATTTTCAAATTATTCAAAGCTCGTTTTGCCGATCGAATTCAAATAGTTAGAGATTTTTGGACACAATTTGTCATTAGTGGATCATTGTCTGTTTCAGGATTTTTTATTATAAGGTAAACAAAATATTAATTTACAATCAAAATTATTTATAAAAAAAACAAAACTATTTTGAATTATAATAAAAAAAAGTGGCCTTATATCACTTCATACGGCAATGAAAAATCGTCAAACATTTTTGAAAACAGTTCCATATTGGAAATATATTCTACTTAGATGGTTAAGATTTTCACCACCATTATTAGGAATGTTTTGTTATCAATTTTTATGGCCACTATTAGGTACAGGACCAATGATGCATTGGGATTATCTTCGTTATGGTCATCAACCATGTTATCAACGATGGTGGGCAAATTTTTTATTCATATCAAATTGGTTTAAATTAACTGATCAATGTGCATCACATACATGGTTTTTAAGTGCTGATTTTCAAATTAATCTTATTGCTTATTTTTTTATTTGGCTTTATGCATATGAATATAAATCGGGTTTAATTGCTAATATTGTTGCTTTAGTAATGGCTATTGTTTGTCCAACATTAATACATTGGTATTATGGTGTACCACTTGTACATGTTATGGAACCTGATGTTAAGTAAATATTTTACAAGTTTTTTTTTGTTAATAGATTTTGAATTTTTCATTATTCTTCAAAATTATCAATTTAAATAATTAGCAAATTGAATATTGCTTTCAGTATGATTGATTTTTATACATTCAATCATTATTCAGCATATTTTACCGGATTATTAATAGCAGGATTATTACAAAATCGTCGATTTTCTATTGAAAAAGTTTGTTGTCATCGTTTGAAGAAACAAATTCATTTTTTAAAAGTTATAATCTTTAATCCATAGAATATCCGGCAGATTCTATGGTGGTTGGCAATCATTTTGGCTTTGATAATACCATTTTCCACTTATCCATTCATTCAAATGGAACATATACCTGAATCATCATTTATAGCAATTCTTTATACAGGTATAAAACGATTTCTTTGGATATTTGCAATCGGTTGGATAGTGTATGCATCATGTTCGGAAACAGATAAAAGTATGGTCTTTTCTATTTGGCGATGCAATTTTTGTACACTTTTTAATGATTTTTTCGATTATATTCAGATATTTTGTCTAGATTTTTATCAGCCAAAATTTTTCAACCATTTTCACGACTTACGTTTAGCATATATTTAACACAATCATTAGTCGTTTGGTATTATTCATATCAATCACGTGAATTGCATACAATTTCACATTATAATTCGGTAAAAATGATTGACTTTTTTTCCTTATCATTTTCAATAATTAATCTTTTCTCGTTTGTTTTTTTTACAGATTTTTCGAATCGGTGGACATACATTATTTTCAATAATATTTGGTTATATTCTTTATGTATTATTTGAAGCACCATCCGTTAATATTTGTAAAATTGCATTTAAACGAAATGTTCGACAAACAATAAAATCATCATCAATAACATCCGACGATCCAAATAATAATAATAATGAATCGATAGAATTGATGGATAAGAAAAATTCATTCAGAATAAAAAACAATCAATGTAAACTTGATTGATTAATGTAAACCAATGTTATTTACTAACTAAATGATTCATTGCTGAATAATGATTTTGCTAATCAAAATTTTTTTCTCTCTTTCTGATTGATCAGGTCCAGAATATTGAAAATTTCGTATAGTTGATGGTTACTAAATTATAAAATTGTCAAATAATTATTATCATTATTAAAAAAATTACAATTAAATTAAAAAAAATTTGTAAGAAATTATTTTACCTCAAAGGCAAGATGTTTTTTTGCTGAAAGAAAGAAAGAAAAAAGTATTAAGATTAAGCAAGGCTTTTTTTTTGACGATCAAACAACAATGACGATGAACAGGTTTCTATATTATAAAATAAATCCAAAAAACAAACTCTCAAATTTCAATGAAAAATGATGAGATTTGTCCCAAATCATCATGATTATAATGTATATAATAAAACATCTTTTGGAGAGGTTTGAAAAGTAGAAAAAAACGAAATCAAAAAAAATTGATCTACCTGTAGTTGTCGGTCATTCAACTTGATTAAAAAAAAAGAAGAATGAAAGAGAAAAACAACGTACGCAATAATTTTTTTGAATTCAGTTATTGAATTGAGTTATCATTATTTGTGGAAACTTTTTTTCGGATAAAACAGTCGGTATTTCAAACTTTTATTTTGTTTTTCTTCTTCTTCTTCTTTGAATATCGATTATCATGAATTTGGCGAAACAAAATGAAAAATCAAATCAAATTCCATCAATATTGAATCAACAAAAACAACCATATTTATATTGTAGACATTATATTTTCTTTGCCCTGTTGACTTTATTATTCTTATTATGTCAAATACAAATATTTCATGGAATCATACAATGGCTACAGGATACATTATTCAATTTATTCATCATATATGTCGCTTGGAATGTAGCCTATTTTCTTCATGATTGGCTTGAATTTTCAACGGATATTTTACCAAAAAATCGGCTATCCGATATGGAAAAACGTGCCATTTTGATTACCGGTTTGTATTCGAAAGAATTGACAAGGTTAACTTTTAACTTTTTTTTTTAAACAATTTCTAAATAGGATGCGATTCTGGTTTTGGATTGTATTTGGCACAAAATCTTCATCAACAAGGATATTATATTATTGCCGGTTGTTTATCATTACAATCGATTGGTGCATTAAAATTACGAGAAAAAAATGATGAAAAATTTTTTGTAATTGAAATGGATGTAACCGATGAACAAAGTGTTAATAAAGCCAAAGAACAGGTGGAAATATATTTACAATCAAAGCCGAAAATTTCTCTTTGGTCTATTGTTAATAATGCCGGTATTATGTCATTATGTGAAATTGAATTCGGTAACATGTTAACATTTACTAAACAAATGGATGTAAACGGAATGGGTGTAGTAAGAGTAACGAAAACATTTCTACCATTTTTACGTCATAATCATTTTGGTCGTGCACGTATTGTCAATATAGCAAGTTTAGCCGGACGTTTTACAATGCCCGGATTTGTTGCCTATTGTATGTCGAAAGCAGCAGTAATTGCATTCAATGATGGTCTTCGTCGTGAATTAGCTAAATGGAATATTGAAGTTGTTTCGATTGAACCACATCTTTATCGGTAATAAATTCTCAAAAATAAATGTCATTATTAAATCTATTTTTTTCAACAACAAAAAAAAAATCTTACCAACTTAGGACAAACCTTGTAAATCAAAAACGTTTGATTGCCGAATTCGAACAACAATGGAATTCAAGTGAAGAATCAATTCGAAAAGATTATGGCCGATCATATCATGATGGTTTCGTTCGAACAATGACACAAGCAATGGAAAGTGCACGTTCAGAAATCGAACAGGTGGTTCGAACATTGGAACGAGCTGTTACCACTACAGAGATAGAATATTCTTATACGGTTGCACGTTATTCGGAAAGAATTAGAATATTTTTCTGGCAAACAATTGCACCAATATGTGTTATTGATTTTTTTATGAGAAAATTCTTAACCGATCGTAATGGACAACCAAAATTATTGAAAGAAAAATTACTTAATCCAAGAATTGTTAATACAAATAAATCTAAATAAAATATTGATTGATTGATGTTTGTGTTTGCAATCAACATTTTAAAGAGATAATTTTTTCTGTGTATTTTGTCTTTAAAAAAATTCAAATTAAAACTGATAAAATTTAAAAAGATAATTTCAAAAAACAAAATTTGTCATAATATCTATGAATAGGACGATAAAACAAGCGATAGTAGCGACATCATTTTTCATTGATAAAAACAAAAATAGTAGTAGCATACATATAATCAACAACTGTTTATCAGGTATATATATCCAAAAAAAAAAGTAGTAGCATTAATGAGTATTATGAAAAAAAAATAATGAGGAGGATAATGAATAATGAGAGGGGAAAACATAAAAGAATCCTGTATACGTATAAAAGAATGAAATGCTAGCAGTATAAAAGAATGAAAGGATATTGTGGTTATTTAAAATCAGAAAAAAAGCCACACGTAATCATCCTCCTCATTATTATTGAGTATTTATGTATGCTGATTGTACGTGAATCGTGAGTGAATTTTTTTTTTGCATCCCTGTGTGTGTTACACTTGTTTCTAGGCAAATCCATAACACTGCGACTACGACGACAACGAAGACAACAATAAAAAGAACAAATTTGCCTTGTGTGTGTTTATATCTATCGATGTTGATGAATTAAAAAGAAAATATAAAAAAAAAAGAATAATCGAATCAATCTTAAGAATTTCTTTGAATCGTTTTTTCCTACGAATTTCGAAATAAAGAAAATTTTCAAACAAATATCTGATTCAAAATTGAATTACATCCAATCGAATCGATAGAATCGTCTGGATTTATCTTCAAATCTTTTTTCTGTTTTGTTTGTTTGTTAATTTCATTGAATTTGTGCATATTGTGTATGTTTTGGATGTCCTCATCTTAAAATTCATTCGTCTTAAGATTCGTATGTATTTATTTAATCGATATAATAAAAATAATTCATTCGACTAATGTATACAATCCTATCGTTCTTTATTTATTTATTTAATAACTTCGTTATCCCTTTTTTTCATATTTATATGTGAATGTATTCTTTCTCAATTACTTCATGTGGATTTTTATGCTCATTGCTTCATCTTTTTTCCAATGTGCATACATGCAACAAACAGTGAGTGAATCATAATAAAAATAACAACAACTTGGAAAATAAAGAAAGAAAAGCCTACGTAATAGAAAAAAAATTGTTATTATAATCGATCCAGATTTTCATTCAATTTTTCTTTGAAATTTACATCAATCATAAGTGTAAATTGTTCGAATTCTATTTTTTTCTGTTCAGAAAAAAGCAAGCAAAAAACAAAATCAAGGTAAGTTGATTGGTCTGCGCTTGTCCATTTCGAATTCTTTTCATTCACCCCCCCTCCATGATAATTTTAATGTATCGTTTTTTTTGTCAATATTCTTTGCTGATAAATGTGACTGGATTTTTTTCCAATTTTTTTTTGCATCGGAATCGAATGAGCATAAATATGGTATATATTTGTGTGTGTTTTTTAATATCCAGGAAGAAGGATTTTTTTGTTTGTTTCATTTGTTTTCGTTCTATAAATCCAGATATTACAAGAAAAAAAACGTTTATCTACCATCACACAATGATGATGATGATGATGAAAAAAATGAAACAAAAAAACTAAACGTCCAAATGTGGAGAGAGGGCTATATTTGATACGATTTTAAAATACGATATTCAAATGTCATCATCGTCATCAACAACAATAATGATGATGATGATGGAAAAATTGCCATTTTTATAATTTTTCACATTAAATTAGCTTGTTTTTGATATGACATTCGTATCGTTTGTTTTTAGTTTCACCATTAATGTTTTGGTTTTATCAGATTACCTTTTACATCATCGAATCACTGGTTGGTCATAGATTTTCATATAAACATTGAAACATTATGTTCATTATAAAAAATGTTTTTTTGTTTTGTTAGGATTTTATATTCATTCTATATGTGGGTAACCATTTTGATTTTAGTTGAAATCCGATATGATATTCAATGTTTAATTACTGTGATGACGTTCGTTATAATGTTGTTCCAAAAAGAATTCTTTTATATGAATAGTTTTCAGTCTTCATTCATGACGTATATATTCAATTGAGAAAAAAAAGTTATCAAATCAATCATATAATCATTGAATTATTGACTAATTTATCAAATGATTGATACTTTTAACAAAACAAAAGAAAAAAATGTCATATGATATGTTCATTGTTCAGTGAAAATTTCGAAAATCATGAATCGAATCAATAATAAAATTGATAGTTCGTTTGTATGATTTCTCTCTCTCAATTTTTTTTATTATATTAAAGTAAGCAAATAATAATGGGTACAATGTTGCAGAATTTTCGTAACTGTTTTTTTATATTTATTGCACAATGTTTATTTTCCTATTTGATAAAACCATTAATGAATTGTATATGTTTCATAATAAACCAAAATGAATGGTTCATCTATACATTTTTTTCTCTGGTTTTTATCGTTGATTTTTCGAAATTTCATTAGGTTTTTTTTCTTCTTCATTGAATTGCATTAGATATTAATGTGAAACAAAAAGAGAAAATGTTGATTGAAAATGAAAAGCATTGAGATTTGAATTGTTTGTTTTTTGTTTGTTTCACTTTTAATTTACCAATTTTTTTTACCTTTTAGATGTTTAATAGTCATTTTTTTTATCATTCAATTGAAATGAAACTCGTCAAATTGGTGAATTATTTTGCACTTCAACTATACTGATAACGGTTAATTGTTTGATCAATTTTCATTCATTTTATGAAACAAAAATTATTTTTTTTTTCATAAAACAAACAAACTTCCTAGTTGATTTACTCTATGTTATCATTATGATTATTTTTGACAATGACAGTTAAGAAATTCCGGTGCAATAGTTGTTAAGATATGAATTTTTTTTTTTTAATTCTTTGAATTATAATGTAATTTTTATTTATTTGTGAAAATTTTTCAATTAATACGAGTAGAAAGTGTGAATAAAAGTTGAATGTTTTGAAATTTTTTGATTTGCCTTGATTTGCAATTCATTTCTTTCTATTCTTTATTTTTTTTTTTTGAATATCGTGGAAAAAATGGCAAATTTTTTTTGATCAGAAAAAAACTATTACATTTTTTTCAATCCTTTTTACAAAAAATTCACATTCAAAAATAAAGATCCATATCAACCACCTGTATATTTGGAAATTTTTAATACTTGGGTGTGTTTTCAAACCATACATATACACAAAGCATAAATCTTTTTCATATTTGAATATTTGTTGTTTGTTTTCTTCATTCTGATTCTTTCATTTATATATCAGTTGATTTTTAAATAGAAATTTCTGTTTTCTTCTAATTATAAAAAGCTGATGTTTCAATTTTTTTTTCGTTTGTTTATTTGTTTGTATCATTTCGATTTATCGATTAAGATGTGACATTCATTCTCGGTCATTGTATCATTTTTTTATACACTTTTTATTTTATAATGATGATGATGATGTATTTACCATGTTTGGTGGCTAAACCTTATGTATTTCATAATATACATTTAAAAAAAAAATCAAGTCTCTAGTTTTTTTTCAGAAAAAATATGATGATGTTGATGGATTTAGGCCAAGAGTGTTGATGATCATGATGTGTTTGTGTGTACAAATGCTGCTGCTCTTGGCTTTTTTAATGATAGAAAAAGTCGACTTTCTTTATCATTTTCTTTATTGATCACTTACTGGGACCTGTATGATTTTCTCTTTTATTTAGAAAAACGATGATGATGATGATTCATGATGTTGTTCGTTCCTGATTCTCTTTATTCCATTTTTTTTTATGAGCAAAAAATTGGTCTCCTTGTTGTTGAATATAAATGACTGTCTCGTTGTTTATTTTATTTTCGTTTCGTTTTTAATTGATGTTGTTTAAAATGTTATCAAAGAGTTGTTTTGGCCTTCTTTTTTTGCTGTCTCTAAAAATTTGCATCCACTGAGATCCATAAATGTTAGCATGCGTTTTTTTTTGCATTTATGAGAGTCAATTTTTTTGAAGAATCTATCGTATTTGGGAATATTTTCGGTTTTGTTTATCCTTATTTTTGGTTTTTTTGTTTTGTTTATATTCCATTAATGTTTTGTTAGATCAACACAACGCCCTTGATTTATTTGATTTTTTTTTTCGTTTTCATTTTCTATCCGAATCAATCGAAGAATCGAGAAAAAGAAAGTTATACATAGAATAGATAGATACTGCCACTAAAATCATAAACTTTGTTTTTGTTTTTCTCTGGTAATAATCTAAATAAAAACCAAAAATTCAACAAAAACAAAATTGAATTTATTTTTGTTTGATTTATCAGCTAAAAAATACAATTAATTTTGTTTTTTTCTCTATTCTTACGCCTTAATTTTGTTTAATTTTGTAATCATCTTTAAAATAATAGTTTCGGATGAAAATCGATTTTGTATTTCATCATTATGTAGAAAAATATTATTGGTTATAAAAAAAAAAATTTCGGTTATTACTTACTGTTCAATGGATAATCGATAAATGAATAATGAATATTATTTGCGATATATTGGATTGAATCAATTTTTTTTTTCGCGTGGGTGTTTTTTTTCCTATTTCATTATGTTTTTGTGCGTGTAATCATTCATGTAGTCATAATTTTTCATTCAATTTCTTATAAATTGTCATATGATTTCTTATTAGTTTTTTTCAGTTACGTATGCATATTTTAATGGGAGAAAAGCGATAAAAAAATGTGTTTGTTATATATTTAAATGTAGACGTAAAAAAAACATTACAAAACCAAAATTTATCTATTTGATAATGAACATGAATATAATATGGATAAATAATTTGTTTATGAAACAGAAAAAAAAAATTTACTTTTTTACTTTGTAATATTGTGTATTGTCAATCCTATCGTCTCAGGTGAATTTGAGATTCTACTATCCTGATTTCTTATTACGATGTTTTCTTTCCAATTACTGATTAGTGTTTGGATTTAAATTTGAAACTATTTAAAATTTATTCTATTGTTTTATTTTCCAATTAAAAAGAGTTTATTTGATCTAAATTGATGCGTAGAAATTGATGTATAATAGAACATCTGTCTATCTCTATGTTTGTGTATGTGTGTTTCTGTTTGTATCTAATGGATACCATCTGTGTTGATTTTGATAATTTTTATTATTATTATTATTAATAAAAAATTTGACCTAAGCGCTATGTTTTTTTTTGCGTATAAATTATTAGATTTATAATATTCCACACTGTTGTTTTTTTTGGTTGTTTTTTTTACATCATCGTCATCATTATTTATTTGTCTATTTATCGACAAATAACCTTCTTGTGCTGCTTCTGCTGCTGTGTGTGCAAAAAAAAGAACACACGTTTGTATAACGCAATATCTTCATCTTGTTTGTCTTTTTTTTTGTGTTAATCAAATTTTTATTTTTAAAAACTTGATGATATTAGATGTATTTTTTTTTCTAATTTGATTTATATATGCACATATCAACAGAAAAAAAGATAAGATTATGAAATAAAAGTAATAGTTGTTGTTGTGTTGAAATTCGTTTAATTTAAAATTTCTTTTTAAAATGATTTATCATTATATATTAATTCTGATTGAATGAAAAAAAAATAGAAATATCAATTAATATTAATTGAAAATTTGTTTCATTTTCTTCAAATGAACAGTGTTGATGAAATTTTAATTGAATTGAAAGTTTTTTTCTTTAATATTTTCATTAGACCAAATAACATAAGCGTGTAACGAACCAAAAAAGAAAAAATGGTTAAAGGTGATATTGAAACAGCGATGATTAACAACAGTTCCAGTACCGTAATACCTGGTCAACAACAACAATCGAATGGATGTCAATCTTATCGGACCGGACAACAACAGACTAATGCAACTGTGAACGGAACAAATACAAATACTGCGACTGCCAATACTACTAATAATGGAACGGTAACCACCGATTTTCCAGATGTTTCCACGGAGGTAATTTATCAATTTAATTGATAAAACTTTAATTAATTATGAAATTCTCTTTGATTTTTCAAAAGTGTCCGTTATGTATGGAAAATTTGGATATCGATGATCTCGATTTTTTTCCTTGTTCCTGTGGATATCAAGTTTGTCGATTCTGTTGGCATCGTTTGAAAAATGATGATAATGGTCTTTGTCCGGCTTGTCGACAAGTATGTGTGATCATAATGTGTTTGTTTTTTAATTTAATTTTAATTTTTTTTTCTCTTTAAAATAGCCGTATCCTGATTCACCTATTCATTTCTCTGCGATCAGTATTGAACGTGTAGAAGAGTTAAAAAAGATGAAAAAGAAACAAAAGGATAAACAAAAACTGAAAGACGGTAATTTCAATTTTATTTTGATTTATTTCATGTTCATATTGAACATTTTTTTCAAATTTAGGCAACAAACAAAATCTTTCAACGATTCGGGTTGTACAGAAAAATTTGTTGTTTGTGATTGGAATACCGCCACGTTTTACTCAGGAAGAACTGCGGAAAGAATTTTCGAAATATGGAAAAATCGTTAAAATGGTTATCAATTCATCATCGGCTTATGTAACATATACAAGGCCTGAAGATGCTGTTGCTGCCATTAAAACATTAAATGATTCATCTCAACAACAACAAACTGGTATTTCAATTACGAGTGGGACAAAACCATCGAGAAATCAATTAACTGCCAATGGTGGGATATCGACTTTTGGTGGAAGTATTTTAACATCGGTGAAAGCATCTTTAGGAACTACTAAATATTGTACACATTGGTTACGTAGTCAATCGTGTCCGAAACAACCGGATTGTAAGCAAAATTATTAATTTTTTTCATTATTGATTCATCTTATATTTTATATTAGGCATGTATTTACATGAAATGGCTGAACAGGAAGCATCATTTACGAAAGAAGAAATGCAAGCAGGAAAACATACGGAATATGAAAAACGTTTGATACAACATTATCTTGATATTATTGCTTCAGAACGGGAAAAAGAAAGACAATTGTTACAACAGCAACAACTAACGATTCAGACCAATGGTTCAAAATCGACTCAACAACAAAGGCCATATTCTACAACTACTACGGGAAGCAGAATTTCGAATTCACCACCAATAGAACAGCATTTCCGAAAATCATCAAATGAACTTGGACAAAATTCAAATGGCGAGATATCTATCGATAATGATAATAGTGACCAAATGGTTAGTGTCCAAAATGATCGATTCATTGATAATGATTTGGTCAAGGAACGAAAGAAAAAAAGTTTCAATCATTATTATAATGATGGACAAATTCGTTATTCGAGTCGAGTATTTTATCGACGTCCACAACAACAGCAACAAAATGATCGAATTTCCTTATCGAAACGATCATCATTGATGTCGTTGGCTGGCAATTCCTATCAAAATGATAGAAATCGATATTCTTATTATGTTAAGCCAGAGAAAAGTTTTAATCAAAATGATTAGTACATGATAGCAATTTATTTTCTTTCAATTCATTACATTAATTGATAATATTTTCCAGATACATTAAAATCATTTTTCTCCCACATGATTATTATTAGATTATTGCGAATCTGTAATTTTTATTTTTTTTACTCATCATTTGGCTAATGTTTACTATTTTTTCTCTGAAATTTTTCAGATTGATGGCGATCCACAACGTTGGTTATCATCATCATCATCAGCAACAACATCGGTGGATATGGTTGAAAAAACCCAGGCCATAAAAATAATGCAGCATAATTCGTCATCATCCACGAATACAACAACAACAAATGGACATAATTCCGATTCTTCAAGTGGAAATTCGAGTCTTTCATCCACACCCAATCATCATCATCATCATACACATCATCATCATTCTCATCATCATCATGTTGTTGAATCTTCAATGTTTTCCAATTTTTCATCATCTTCATCGTCAGGAACTTCATCATTATCATGTGATGAAAGCAGCAGTAGTAGTAGTAGTAATTCATCGACACCGGATAATATTCAACAACAGGCCAAACAACAGCAACATTGTGGTGAACAAGAATTATTACATCAGATAACCAATGAAGATGATAATGATATTGTATTGGATAACGATGATGATCTTGATTTTGATCCAATATCATTGACATTGGAAGCAATGTTAGGATCTACTTCATCTAATAATAATAATAATAATATATCGTATGTGAATGGGAACCAAACTAATGGCTTAACAAATGGTACAAGTATTGGTGGCAGCGACATGATGATTATTCAACCGAATAATAATCATGTTCATAATAATCTTGTCCAACATCAATCGTCAAATATGATGAACAACAATGGTAATGGTAGAGAGAATCAATCCACTATACAACCAACAAATCTTTCACAACATTTTGGTTGTGATTCATTTTTGGAACAGCAACAAACAAATCAATTATTGAATCGTTTAGCATTGTTGAATCTTGGTAATAATGTTGAATGTCAAAACAATGGAAAACAGCAACAACCACCAATACCATTCAATTCAAATTCAAATGGTGATTCTTCGTTGTTTAATTCTTTATATTCTCAACAACAATCGATTAATAATACTGGATTTGGTCATCGTTCATCACCTTCACAGTTACAACAACAACAACAATTCTTTAATAATCAATCAGCATTGCATCAAAATCTTAGTCTTTTATCAATGTTACAACAACAAAAACAACAACAGCAGCAACAAAATTTGGATCATTTTTTACAACAACAATCATCTAACAATAATTTAGGTGGTGGTAGTAATCAATTTGGATTCAATCAAAATGGACTTGTTGGCAATGGTGGCGGATCATCGCCAACAAATAAATTACAACAATGGCAACAGCAACAAAATTCGTTGCGGCAATTGTTACCAAATGTCAACATCAAATTTCAACAACAGCAACAGAATGAGTTAAATTCATTCGGTCATCAGCAGCAGCAACAACAACAACAGATGCAAAATGGTAGTGGTCATCATCAATTTATGAATGGAAATGCTGCTTTCCAGCAACAATCACCAAGGTAACTAATTTGAAATATGATCATTGAATAAATTGATAATTTATATAATTCCAGACAAATGGTACAATTTTGGTCAAATAATGCCGGTCAATCATCGAATTGTTCATCACCATCTCCGAATAATCATCAACAACAATTACAACAGCAAATGTTGCAACAAAAAATGCATTTTCTTCAACTACAACAGCAACGAAATCAACAACAACAACAACAAAATAGTTTAAATCAATATTTATTCAATCAGATGTTATCGACAAATAATAATGCGAATCCAGCATCATCTAATAATGGTGGTGGTAATCCATCGATTAGACAACAACAACCACCACCAGGATTTAATGATTCAAGATTTTAAATCAACAATATTTTTTTTTGAAGAATCGATCGATCTATATTAATTTAACCGATGAACTGAATGCAATGAATGAATTACCAATTTATCCATCAACAACAACAACACCAACAACATTTATGATGTATCCACCTGCCCAATATTATATTTTCATTTGTTTCTAAATAGTTTTTTTTCTTTTTTGTTTCTTGACTCTGTCTTTGAAAAAAAAATCATTTGATTTTTGATGCATACAAATATTCAACAATGTTAATGACAATAATAACCGTAACAACAACAACAACAACAACGAAAAAAAACAGTAATGTTATCCGATCTTCAAAAAAATATTGATGATCGGATGTGGACAAATGTTGCATATGGCAAAAAACAAAAACAAATTTTGGATTTTACTACTATTTTAGCTTTAATGATAATTTTGATCGTTTATAATTATTGATTAATTAATTGATTATAAAAAGAAATAACAATTACCTTTTACTCAATGTTTATCATCATGATGATTAACGTTTTCAATTTTTTTTTTCGTTTTTTGTGTTGTTTACATACAAACACACAAACAAGCAAACCTGATTTATGTCGATGCAAGTTTGTTTTTTGTTTTTTCATCATCGTCGTTTTCCCCGATTTTTGTTTGTTTGTTTGTTAGTTTCGTGCAAAATGGGCTTTTTTTTTCTTTGTCCATCCATCCATCAACCATCAACCAACTATATACACTTAACCATACCAATCCCCCCACTCACACTCATCACTATTATACCGGAACCATATTTCATTAAATTTAGTTGGATCGATTCTAAATAAAAAAAAAATAATGTAAAATTTTCTAATTGAATTCAATTGTTATTATCATTATTTTATTTGAATAATAAATATCAAATTATGATCAAATGAAATGGTTATTTCTTCAATTGTTATTGCTTACTTTTAATAATAATGATGATGATGATCAACAACATGATAATGGCTATAAATATTAAAACAATGCCAAAAAAACAAAACATGAACTTACCTATATGATTGCAAATTAATTATACAATTAATTAATTGATTGATTCGATAATCGATGATAAAAATAAAGATTTACAAATTATTGATTGAAAACATTGTTTTTTTCATTTCTTGTTTCTCGAAAAAATTGCAATCGAAAATTGTTTATTGCAAATCCAAAAACATCATTAGGAATTTGTTGACATTTTTCGAGAAAAAAAAATTCATTAAATGATATGACGTTGATTATGATGGTTGACAAAATTATCATCGGAATGTTACCCTGTGTGTGCGTTATGTTCATTGGATGTTTAAATGTTTTTTTTTCAATTTAAAAATGGTAAAAAAAGAAAAAATCTTTGGTGGGGAAAAAAGTAATGGGATTTCATGAAATTTACTCAATTCAAAGATATTAGAGATATTCAAGGTTTCAATTTCAGGTTTTTTTTCTAAATATTCGATCAAATAACAATTAGCGATCGCCTATTCAAATCTCATTTCATATTTCAATTTTCTCATTTCCTTTCCCCTTTTTTTCAAAAACAAAAATCATTTGACGTCATCCTTTCAGTAATATGATCGATCCGGGTATAAATATAAAAAGACAAAAAATTTGATGGATTTTAAATTTTCGTTTAAAAAAAAATTTTTGCTTGTTTGTTCTGTAACCGATCTAATCGTTAATTTAAAAAAAATCATCATGGCTCGACAATTTAATAATAATTATCTGATGTATATCACGATTTTTGTTCTGTTGATTTTAGTCAATAGTTTTTTTGTAAAACCATCACAATCAAGTCCTTTGCCTGCGATTAAATGTTCAATCAACGCACCTGAAACGTATGTTTACAAAAATTTTTTTAAAGAAAAACTTTAATAATTTTATCATTTTACAGAAAAGTATTGCAGTTGAATGATGAACCATTTACGAATACAACTGAAACAGCATCGAATGACGATGATGATGATGAAGAAGAAGCCGATGTGACCACAAGTGAAACTACAATCGATGAATCTACGACCGAAATTGAAGATGATAATGATGATGAAAATTCTACCACACAAGATTCAATTTCAGATGATGAAAATGATGATGATACGGATGATGAGAATAATGAAGATGGAGATGGCGATGGCGATGGCGATGATGCTGCGAATGATGATAATGCTGCTTCGGATGATGATGGCGATGCGGAAAACGATGAAACTGATGAAGAAACGGAAACCGATAACGAATGATTTCATATTAATTTTTAAAAAAGAATTTTGATTTATAATTTTTTTTTTAATTTTAATGCATTAAATTTATAAGAAAATAAATTTGTTTTTTTTTCGGGTCAAAAATATTCAGCAAAATCATCGATATGCGAAAAAGAAAATTCCTGACTAAATTCTTGTTCATAGTCATCGTAATAATCATCATAATAATCATTGAATATTGATGAAAAATCATCATCATCAAAAAATGATGATATATAACAATCAGACAATCCTGACGTTTTACTGTCTTCAATATTGGAATGATTTGGTTGATGATTATTGGTATCCATAATTTGTTCATCTTTTTTATCATCATCATCAAACATTCGATTCCAAATGTTAACAATATATTCTAAATTTGGTTGAATATTTTTTTCCAAAACATTGTTTAAATATCCTGTAACATTATTCACCATATCGGCCATTTTATCTGTCATTCGATCTTTTTCAAGTTTTTTTTCAATTATAAGTTTTAAAAATTTTACAAATGAATGAATCATTTCTTGTCGATGTTTCTGTAATTTTTCAAGCATTTGATTACGAAAATTAATCATCAATACATCATTGTTATCATTCGATGATAGACCAAAACTTTCCAATATTTCAATAAGATCGATTGTTTGTTTATTTAACGAGAATATTTCATCCAACCATGTTGAATTTTTTTCTACAGAATAAATTTTCTTCAATAATTGATCAATTTGTAATGAACATTTAAAAAGTTTTTTCATCGTTTTTGTTTGCTGTTTAGGATCAAAATATTTTGAAGAACAATTTGTATCCATCATTTCATCATGAATATTTTTATCATAATTTTCGATTAATTTCTGAATTCTTTGCCTTGCTTGTCGACCATTCACTAATACCGAATACATTTTTTAAATCGTAACCAATAATAATAATAAAAAGAAAAGAAAAGAAATGTTGTAAAAATGGAATGTAACGTTCGATTTATAAATAGTCATTGCAAAATTTAATTAAATTTTAGAAATAAAAATTTTTTTTCTTCTAATTTTAGATTTATCGATTGTATCGATTATGAATTATTATTGTATGTAAATGAAGTATACTTCCTGAAAATATTTTCTTTTCTTCTTTTCATTATTGTACTCAAAATAGAAAACGTTATTTTTGAATTTTGAGTCCAACAAGAATAGGTCACGTGTTGGAATGGTACAACCTGGAGCATGCTCAATTGATTATACCGAGGAACATATTCTCTTGATTATTACATCACAAGTGCACGATGTAAACAAGTGGAATCGTGATTTAAAGTAAAACTGATCATTAAGTAATTTTTGTTAATCATGAATAATGATATAGCAAATGCTTCAGGTGATTTCATTTTGAAATTAAGAGATTATCAAGTTAGTTTTGTTTTCGAATTCTTGCCAAGTTGAATTAAAATTGTTTTTTTACTATAATTCTAGGAACGAATCTTCAAAAAATGTGTCAAAGAAAATTTAATCGTTTGTTTGCCAACGGGCAGCGGAAAAACCATGATAGCCATCGAATTGATCAAACATTTATTGCCACAAACATTGGGCAAATATCCGACGATAGCAAAACGAACATTTTTCCTAGCACCGAAGCGTGTTCTAGTCGTTCAACAATATCATATGATTGAAAAATTCTTGACTGCCAAAATTCTTATGTTGACTGGTGATGATGAGCCGGATAAATTTGATAAACAACAATGGACAAGTCGATTGAAAAAAAATCAGGTTTTTGTTGTTACACCCGATATTTTGTTAGACATTCTATCGAAAGGTTATATTAAAGTTTGCAATTTAAATCTTATCATTTTCGATGAAATGCATTGGGCATTTCGAAATGGAACAGAACCATCGAATCATCCATATGCTCGCATCATGAACGCCGTTAAAGCTGCCAATAATATGGAACAGCCACGAATACTTTGCCTAAGCGCTTCGATTTTCGCCAACGATAGTCAATCAATCCTTGAATCAGCTAATGATTCGTTGAAAAAAATCGAACAACTTTATCGTGCTCGTATTGAATCAGGTGGTTTTTCATATGCACACAAATATAAAGAAGAATTACTTGAATATAAACAAACATATTTTGATGATGATATTGGATTCGATTTTGATCGATTGTTTCGAATTTTTGCCGAATTGAAAAACGCATCATTTTTGAAACAATTTCATCTTGCATTTATGAAAATTAAAAAGATCATTTCGGGTGAAATGGGTTTCTGGTTTGCAATGGAATATATTAAACTTTGTTCGAATTCATTGAACGATAATCATTTTGAAATCAGTGATATAATGATGAAGATTATGAAATATATTGACAAAAGAATACGTCATTGGTTATACGAACATAAAGGAATTGTTTACGACGAAAACAAATATCAACCGATTCTAACTGAAACGGATTTTATTTCAAATAAATTAAAATCATTATTGAATTTGATTGAAAAATTTCGAATCGATTTTTCAAATCAATCATTCACCGGCATTTTATTCGTTTCGGAAAGAACCGATGCTAATCTTATTTTTCGTTGGCTAAAATTATTGTCAAAAAATGATGAAAATTTTGCCTTTCTTAAACTAGGTTTTATTTGTGGTTCGTTTACAAAAGATTTTCTTCATTTCGATTATATTCACAGTAATTCACAATATTTAAGTAAATTACGTAATAATCAAGTTAATTTTATTATTGCTACATCAGTACTTGAAGAAGGTAAGGAAATTATTGGATGTTTGTCTGTTTGTTTCTTAATATTATTTTAATTTATAGGAATCGATGTTCCAATCTGTAACGTTGTCATTCGTTATGATGGTGTTGATAATTATCGTGCTTATTGTCAATCTCGTGGTCGTGCAAGACATGATAATTCATATTTCTATATCATGGCTTTGAACAGTGAAGCGAAAAAAGTGAAGAAAAAACTAATCAATTATAGAAAAATTGATGATTTATTGGTCAATATTAAATCTCCCGATTATATTGATTGTTTTGAACGAGAATTTGTAAACCAAAACAATGATGATGATGATGATGATTTTTTTCATCAAAACACAAATGATCTTATTGATGAAGATATTTTATCGATTCAGCCATATCAAAATGGTCAAAGTACTTTACATCCACTAGGATCATTACAATTATTGAATAAATATTTAATGAAATTACCACGTGATCTGTTCACTACTCAACAAATGCCTTTAGAAATGTTTGTAAAGTTACCTGTCGATCCAAGATCGAACAACATTAAATATGCATATATTTTTATATTTCCAATCAATTCCAATTATGCTGGAACAGTAATTAAAGGTGGCTATTTTCAATCAAAAAAATCTGCTGCAATGCATTGTGCTTTTCGTGCATGTAAATTTCTAATAGATCATGGTGATATTGATGAAAATTTAAATGTTTTTCAAAAACGATTCATACTCGAACAACATTCATCCGAATTAAATATTCGCTATGTAAAAGGATTGGATGATGAAGATCAATTTCAAACCCGACAGCATAAAAATAAAACTTCTGATTACTTTCAAGCTTTGATTGATTTTGATCCCAATGTTAATACTGATTTCATCTATTATCTGTATGCGTTAGAATTTAAGGCAGGAAGCTTTGATCCATCGAATCTTAAACCTGAACAACAAAGTCAACTTTATAAACCATTCTTTATATCGACAGATGAATCGACAAATGATAATCAAACAGTTGGTTTATTGTTATCACAAAAACATCCAATTGATTTTGTACAATCATATTTTTATTTTAATCTGTTTCCAATTAAATTTCAATTACGATATTGTGATAAAATTGATTTAAGTGATCCAAACAAATTGAATTCAATCGAATATTTTCATAATCATGTTTTTAATATGATTTTTTCACAACGATTAAAACTTGATCAATCATTACCATTGAATCGTGGTCTTTATATTGTTCCAATGAAAAAACAATCCACAACCTATAATATTGATTTTGAATTTATTCAAATACTAAAAAATTGGGAACAATCATACAATGAAACTAATAAGGATATTGAAAAAGTTGCACCGGATTCATTACAAATTGATCAAATAAAAGTTTATAATTCAGAATCAAATAAAATTGAATTTGATGATGAATTTACCATATTTTCGGCCATTCATCAACGATCAATACATTTATATTTTGCCAAAAACATTTCTGATCGAAATTGTATGGATTTTATGATTCCACCAAGTGAAGAATTTCCTTCTGGACAAACTTATGCACAATTCTATCAAAAACAATATGATAGAATTATTCGTGATCAGGAAACACCAATGGTGAATGGCGGTGATGTGAAATCATTTCAAATTAATTATCATCTTTTTAGACAAAAATGTACAATGCTCAAACCGATGAATCGTAATTCAACATTGTTTCCTTTGGAATTGATTACCATACATCCATTCACTAGTCGTATGTATCTTCGAATTGCTTCGATTCCAATTTTACTTTATCGATTAGAACAATATGCACTGGGTAAAGAATTTCTATCATGTTTACATGATTGTATCGATTTAAACTATGACAAAGAACATTTCGATGTAGAAGATATTTTATCGCGAACAAAAAAAATTCAAGAAGTATTATACAGAGAAGATGATCTAGAAGAATTGCCAATGAAACTTCTCGATGTTAATTCGATTGTTGATGAATCAAAACTACATGAACAAGAACATCCGATAACTAAAAAATTTAAAAGTTTTCTTATTGAGGAACTTGAAAAAACGGAACAAACACCAAAAACCAATACGATGAATGTTGATCAAGAATTTGTTGATGATGATATTATTGTTGATGGTGACAAAGATGAACAGGAACAATTATTCATTCAATTGTTAAATAAAATTAATGAAATACAAATTATCAAAGATAATAAAAATTTCAAAAGAAAAATCGATCACGATCTTCTCAAAACTGAAATTGAATTTGGACAATCATCTTTTTTTAAATTTACTGGCAATATTGATGAATATATTGATAAAAATTCATTATCATACAATACATTTTTACAATTTGATTGCCCCAATCCATGGCATATTGTTCAAGGATTAACATTAACCAAAGCTTATGATTCATGGAATATTGAACGATTGGAAACGATCGGTGATTCATTCATTAAATTTACATGTAGTTTATATCTATTTTTTCAATATCCAGATTATGATGAAATGAAATTTGATTGTTTGAAAACATCTTTGATTAATAATAAAAATCTATTCAAAATTGCAATGGAAAAGAAAATCACTCAATATATTTTTTGTTCATTACATCAATCGATACCGTTAAATTATTTTAAACGATTAATTATTAAAAATTTTGTTCCAACTGAACAAGAATTTCGTCATGGTCTTCGTTATAAAGATGTTGCCGATTGTATTGAATCATTAATTGGAGCATTTCTTGTATACGGTGGTGCTGGTACTGCATTAAAATTTTTAAACAATTTTCTTGATCTTAAATCTTTTTGTCCGGAAAAGCTGAAATCCGATCAATCAAGTTTGAATGATTTTTTAAATTATAAATTAAATCTTCAATTGGAATTTATTGGTCCAGAAATCGATATAGATGGTCGAAAATTTTATGAAATTGATAATGAAGAAATTGAAGCAAAATTATTGAAACGAATGAAAAAACGAAGTTTACAGGCTGAAGTTGATCGTATTTATGAAGAATATTCGATGCATCTATTAGAAGAAGAACTTCAATATGAATTTCGTGCAAAATATCTTCTCGGTAAGTTGATTAATCTATAAATAAGAATTGAAACTAATTATCACAATTGAAAATTTTTAGTTCAAGCATTCAATCATCCATCAATGTATCGTTCGGAAGATATTGAAACGGGCGAAATTGTTTATAATTTTATTCCAAGTTATCAACGTTTAGAATTTATTGGTGATGCAATATTGGATTATATGATGACAAGATTTATATATCATATGGATCATGAATTAGATCCAACCGGTATTACATTATTGAAACATGCACTTGTTAATAATGCATTCTATGCATCTATTACGGTTAAACATGGTTTACATAAATTTTTAAGACATTCATCTATTGGTTTACGGAATAAAATACATAAATTTGTCAATAGTTTTACCTATAGATTCATTGAACAAGTTGAAAAATTATTATTAGAAGGAATCGATGAAGAAATCGCTTATGATCTGAGTAACGTTGATATACCGAAAACATTGGCTGATGTTTTCGAATCTTTAGTTGGTGCCATATTTATTGATTGCCACTTTGATTTAGATGCTACATGGAGAATCGTTTATCGAATGATCAAAGTGGAAACAGGTAAATATTCTGTACTAAATTTTGTAAATAATTATCATTTCTATTTTTGTTTGTTCAAGATCATTTTATGAAAAATATTCCGATGATGCCTTTACTACGTTTATCACAATTTTATCATAATTGTCATTTTGGTCCAGTTCAAGATGTTAAACCACCTGTTTCGGATGGGACTGAAAATCATCGGTCTAATAAACCGGTAACCGATCGACGAATGATTGAACTTATAGTCGATGGTGTTGGGACATTTATCGGTTACGGTAAAAACAAACGACAATGCAAAGTTTCAGCTACGAAAAGATTTTTTGCATGGGAAAAGCAACAACAAGAAAATGAAAACAAGACGAATAATGAGAGTCAAATTTGATGAAAATTTTCAACATCATCTATTTAATTTTATTCTTTGTAATCTTTTAATTCTTTTTTATATAATATTCGAGCTGCCAATTGTTTCCATATTTCTTTATAAAGTTCATCTTTAATGGTAACATCATACAAACGTTGTAGATATCGTCTTGTTTCTTGAGCCGTTGGATTTTCATTACGTAAATATACATCGATTTCAACTTTAAGATTTGCTTCACATGCATTTCTTACATTCATAAATAATTCTTTCAATGCATTACGAAATTCTGTAAGCTTAATTTTTCTCGTTTGACGGATTTTATCCTTCATACAATTTACAATCGGAAACATTGGGCTGGTATCCGATTGATTTATTTTGTCCAGATTTTCTAGTATCAAACGTAATTGATCATCCAATTTCATGTAACCAAAATCATTTGTTTCTTGATTGGATGATTCTTTCCATTTTTTAATTAAAAGTTTAAAATTTTCCATATAGTTATATACTTTTATGCCATTCAAAATGTTCACATCACTTGCATAATGCATTTGACAATATTGTTTATAAATAGATTCATAAATTTCTTTTAAATCATCCTGATATTTATCCATCTTACGAGTCAAACTCATTATTTGTTCATTTGAATCTGGCATCAACATTATTCCTCTTCCTGAATCTGTTGTTTTTCGTGTAGAAGCTGATGGTGTTATAGTCATTGGATATGGTAGCTTAATTGATTGTTTGGATGGTGATGTTTGTTTTGGATTTGAAACTTTGGATGATTCACTTTCATGTTGTGATGAACTATCATATGGTGGTGGATAATATATTCGTTTAAAATTTTCTTTGTTCATTGCTTACGATCATCAACAAACGATGAAAGTAAAATTGATTTTCAATAATCAATATATTTTAAACGTCATTATAAATAATCGATATTTGGTATTTTTGTCAAAATATTTTTTAATTGTTTAAATTTCGATAATTTACTTGAAATAAAATTAAATTAAAAATTCTTTTTAATGATTATTAAGGGTTGATACTTCAAAAACACAATTGTCAAATTACACAAACAATCACACCAAACAACAAAGGAAAAAAATAAACATTTTGAATGAATAATAAAATTTGAAATCGATTTCGTAATGAATTCGTTTACGGTAGATCCTAATATTATTTCAACATATTTCAACGACGGATTAACGATAGAAATTCTTCACGTGTTTTTGGATTTTCACGAAATTCGCCCAACATACAACTGGTTATTGTTTTGCTGTTAATTTTCTGTACACCTCGCATTACCATACACATATGACTATTTTGTATTAAGAAAAAAAAATTAATAGTTTAAAATTCATTTGTTTTTAGTAGATAAAAAAAAATACATACGCAGCTTCAATAACAACACCAACACCACTTGGATTAACAGCTTCAACAATGGCCGTAGCAATTTGTTTAGTTAAACGTTCCTGTACCTGTAATCGTCTTGAATACATTTCTACCACTCGTGCCAATTTACTGAGACCAAGAACTTGTTTATTGGGCAAATAACCAATCGATACCTAATGAAAAAGAAAAAAAAATTGAAAAGAAAATTTTCAAACGAAATTCAATGAAAGATCCGTATCCGGAACATAATTGCCTTTTGCAATTTATTCACTACTATCATCACTATACAACAAAAAAAAAATCGACCTACGCACAAACTGATTTGATTCTCATAGAATTTATCAATTCTTTTTTTTCTATTGAAACAAATAATGAGATAAAAGTGTTTGAGAGAACTTAATATAACAATAGAATTATGACAATAAACTATTGTTGTTATCGATAACTTTTTTTTTCATACATCCATTCATTCATTGAATGATAAAATCTTGAATAATAATTGGATGATGCTTTCAAATTCTTTCTTTTTTTTTGAATAGTGAATCGATTCACCATAGTAACTTGTATTATAACAATGATGATAGTGATATGAATTTTTACATTATGAATAGTGAAAATCACAAAAAAAAGGAAAAATAAATGGCATTCAAGTTTTTTTTCTCGTTGTTTTTTTCTGTGTGTGTGTGTGTGTGTGTGTGTGTGTGTATTTGGGTCAATATAATTGTGTGTTCAATCGACAAGAAAAAAAAATTTCTTCAGGAAACAAAAAAAAAATCGACAATTTTTATTTTATTGATTTCAATTTTCGACCATATTTTTTTCATGTTTGATTAATTTTTGATTGGGAACATATAATGTAATGTCAATTATTGATTTCTTTTTCTTTTTTTATTGAATTCTAAACGAATTTGTTTGGTCTATATATATTTTCTGAATTTCGATATATGTTAATGACAGGTTTTTCATTGTCTTAACAGATTTATCTAATTTGTGTGTGTGTGCGTATGCAATTGACAATCATTTATACTTACATGTCCAATAATCGGTGTTAAATGATGTTCACAAAGCGAAAACATTTCAATATCTTTAACAATAACCATTTCATCATGATCTTCATTGAATATAGCATCATTTAGTATATCTATGATAATGATAATGAAAAAAAATAGTTCATCATTTATGAAACAATAATATAAGGAAAAAAACAAACAAACACGATTTACCTTCAAGTTTTAAATTATAGCCACAAGTATAGTAACGAAATGCTTTTGCTGCACGTTCTGGTGTTTTATACAATCCTTGCCGTTTAGTTGGATCTTCACCAATATCCAAAAGAATATTATGATAATGTTCTTTCAAACGATCAACAATTAATTCACGATCTTCATTTCCTTTTGCCATATAATCATCATATTCTTCAGAATCATATTTAGTTGCAGGATTTATAAGACGATTTGTTTGTCGTTTTTGTGGTGATAATGATAATGCGGCTGTTTTAACTATCATATCATTTACATGATTATGATTATGGCTACTTCCGTTGATTTTAATCGGTGTAGTTGTATCGGAATTTGTTTGTGACATTTTTTTAAAAATACGGGTTTCCCTAAAAAAGATTAATCAAATGGAATGTATGGAATAAACACTAAGAGTAAATAATGTTGATGAGAATTGAAAAATAAAATCAATTTAAAGTGAAATTCGAAAAGATGTTTCACTCAGCAACAAGATCAGACCAACATGAACGCACAATTTACTATGACCATTCTTTTCTGGAAATGTCGTCTTCATAGTTTTCTTCGCTTATCTGATCGATCGATTTTTTCGTTCGTTCGTTCGTACATTATTATCATCATCATCATCTCCATATCGTTATTTTTTTAAATAAAAAAAACGTATAACAATGTAACGGGATGACGCAGAAGCAAAAAAAAAGGTGGACACTTTTGTCTTTTTTCGTATTCGATCATCATCGAATAACCAATATTAAAAAAAATGAATCACATGCTCATACCATGAACAAATAAAATCTTTCTGATAATTCATAATTCAATACATTAGAAACTTTTTTTCTCTTTCTATTTATTTTACTACATACCTTATGCACGTGAACTTTTTTTTCTCTCTCTCTCTTTCAACAGGTATATGATTTTTTCATTTTCAAATTGATCTTATCAATATCAAAAAATCGAAACAGGATTTTTATCGATCGCGATAAATGTAAAATCGTAGAATTTCATATCATTTTTAAAGCCAAGCGTTTCATTTGAAATCCATAAGATGGCGTTAGTTTATTGTAAATATTTTTATTTGTTTGAAAAAAAAATTTTGAAATTTAACAAAAATTATTTTTCGTTAAAATCGATTTGATTGATGATTTTATTCTTTGCCAAATGTAGCTCCATTTTTAATTGCAAATTTTCTAATGTCAATTCGGTGGTTTTGTCTCTCCAGAATTTTGTTTCACAATTTTGTTTCATTAAGTTAATATCAATCGGATTAAGAAAAATTTTAATTATATCTCCAATTTCAGCATGAAATCGACAAGTTGGACAGTATTTTGAACTAGCCAACCATTTTTCAATACATGTTTTTCCAAAAAGATGACCACATGGTAAACATACAACATAATGATCTTTGTTCGGGCAAAACGATTCCAAACAAATTGAACATCTATTTTGTACAATCAAATTTGTCACATCTGTTTGTGTTTCTTGATTTTTATATTTTTTATCGTTTGATTGTTGATCAACTGCAACAGGTCCGTTATAGTCAGTCTGATGGTCCAAACTCATTAGAAAATTGGTATACAATTGATTCGAGCTATCGTCATCGTCGTCGTCATCATCATCATCATAGTCATCAGTATCAGGAACATACTCTGAGATATTATCATCCAGAACATTTTCTTCATTGTCATCATCACTAATTACGGAATGATTAGAATTTTCTTCGATTTCTTCACTTGAAGTATCGTCATTGATCATTTCATTTTCCAAATGTTGTTGTTCATTATTTTCATCCAATTCTTCTATTCTATTATCATTATCAGAATAGTTTTGTTCTTCGTCAAAAAGTAAATCATCAGAAGCATGATCGTCACTAAAATTAGCGTCATCAACATCACTGCAATTTAGAACATCAGAATCATAATATCCATCAAGAGAATTATTGTGAGAATCAAAAGTATGATCATCATTGGAAAAATCATCAGAATCATATCCATCTAGAGAATCATTATGAGAATCAAAAGAATGATCATCATCGGAAAAATCATCAGAATCTGACATGTTTGCGAAATTTATTTCAAGTTTTTTTTTCTTTAAAAAAAAAAATTAATTAAAAACAAAAACACAAGAAAAAATTGAGCACTTTTTATCCGGACATTGAAATCGAAATTGAGTGTGTTAGTTTCGATAACATTTCCAGAAATATTTTTTTTCGAATTGATTTTTAAGAAAGTTTTCCTACAAACACAACATCAACACAATCGATTCGATTTCAAATTCAATTTTTCTCTTTTCTTTTTTGTCCATGATCTAAATTCATTTTTATTATCTTATTCTGAAAATGAGAACAACAGGAAACAAAATTCGATGAATTTGACCATCGTTCATTGTATCGATCAATAAAAATTTAGGTCGATTCGAATCGAAAAAAATTATATTAGGATTTCGATTTTTTTTTTTGGCATCATTATCATCATTTCGATTTATCGAATCGAACGGATGTTTCCGCATTTTTTCTCTATGAAAATGATTAATGACAATTTCAATTGAATTTAATTGAAAAAAATCTGGATTCATAACCCTAGCCATGATGATGATTATAAATGAGGATTTTCATTTTTGTCAAATGCAACGATTATTTCAATTCTCAATGGAGAAAAGTTTTTTCTTTTTTCGTTCATTCATTCATGTTGAATATATGATTGACGACGATTGTATTCAAAAAAATTAAAATTGATATTGACTTTGAACTTGATTTTTTTTGGATTTTTGGCTTGTTGCTAATGTTCTTTTCTTTTTCTTTTTTTTTTTTGATTATAATCCATTTAACTAAATCTAATCAATCTTCATTTAGTTTATGTTTAATGTAGACATTTTTCATTCGAAATAAATTATAGTAAAGAAAAATTAATGGAATCCATTCGCTCTCTTTCTCTTTGTTGTCTCAAATTTCAACAGACTCTATCAAATCTTTTTGGTGGGGGATTTTTTTTCTTTTTCTGCACAAAAATGTTGGTCAAGATGTTTTTTAAAGGAGGAAAAGATTGTATATTTTGGAATTATTTTGGTTCAGAAAAAAATCGATCTATTTAGTTTTAAAAGGATACCTTTTTTTCTTGTTACAATAAACAATGCCACCCATTAGCCACCCATTAACCATTAACCATTCATTCATTATCATCTTAAACATGTGACTTATTATTTTTAATCACATAATTTCCCATTATTTTTTTCTCTGTTTTCGTCTATCGTTTTCACATTACTTAATCTTAATGAATAAATAATTTTTCGATCAAATCGATAGCTAATAAGCACAAAGAAATAATCAAAAATATCTTAATTTTTTTTTTCGCTGATAAATCGATTGAATGAATGAATGAATGAATGATTGATTGATTGATTGATTGATTAATTGGTCGATTGATTGATTACACAATTTGTTTCATATTGATCAAAATATTTATTTTTTTGAAAAAAATAAAAATCGATTATGATTTTGTTTTCAACAACAACAACAACAATGATAATAATAATCGATCAACAATGAATCGATTTAATTCGTCAAAACAAAAAAAAAAATCATCGTCAATGACAACAACGTTTTTGCAGTCATTTGATTTTGGGTGCCTCAAAATGTGACAAGAAAAGTGATTAAGATAAATTTCTTAATAATAAACAAAACCAGAAAAAAAATGTAGATAAGAATGGAAAATTGTTCATTTGTTTTTTTTTCCAAAACACTTGGTTATATCTTCTCGAATACAATATTGCAACCAAAAAGATGATGAAGATGTAATAATATTTTTTCTTTTTTTGACTTTGCTTTGCTTTGCTCATCATCATCATCAGCCATCCATTATGAATTGTACAAAAAAAAAATTATCATTACGATTAAATTATTGATTACAAACAAAATTTTTTTGTTTCAGTCTTTGACCTTGATAATTTTTGAAACTTTGAGTTTTTTTTCTGTTGTTTCTATCCAATTCCAATGTAAAATGTTGGCCCATATTGTTCACAGAATTGTGGTTGGTTTTTGTTTTGTTAAATTTTTAATTATTTATGAAATTGGAAAAATAATAATAATAATAATGATAATGTTTTTCCCATTTGATACATTTGTTCGGTCCTCACTTATGAAAACTTTTTTTTTTGAACTTCTACCAATGTTTTTTTTTAATTTGGTTTAAAATTTTTTTTCAGTAATGATGATGGAGAAAACCACGTCATAATCATTATGATTCATTAGCAGTGTCAAAAAAAAGGTATATAAAAATTGTTTGTTTGATTGTTTTCAAACAACCGGGAATATTATTCTTGCATACAGAACTGTCAAAGATAGAGAGAGAAAAACAACCGATTCTTTACGTTTTATCATCGACAAAATGAATGGAGAAAACGAAAAACATTACATTTACATTGTAGCGAAATTTTCTATTCTTCCTTGAAGCTATTTTCAGTTTGTTATTTTGGCTAATACAGAAGCCAGGAATTCCCATTCAGAATATTCTATTTGCTATACGTACACCCACATAATCATATATATTCTTACAGACAAACAAACAAACATGACATTCATAGGATCATAGGCAACAAAACAATCGAAATTTTTTTTCTTTTTTTTACTGTAATTTTGTAATTTTGTTTTTTTTTGTTTTTTAAATAAAAAAATAAATACAATGTCAACATATGTGTGAATGAAAAATGATAATAGAAAACTAAGAATAAATAAATAATATTAATGAGATGTCACACCGAACAACAACAACAACAACAACAACCAGCCAATATGACAAAATGGAACGGAAAAACAACAACGACGACGAAAAAATTTCCAAAATCATTATATTCTGTAACAGATACGTTGGTGGATCATGATAAATGAATTGTAAATTAAACAACAACAACAACAACATTACTACTAAGTAAATTCAATGAACCATAATAATACCTTACTAATAATAGCCTGTATATAAATAAATAATAAATGGGCAATAATTTAATTAATAATATTGTAAAAAAAATTACAAAAAAAAACAACATTTTTTTATAATAACAACAATTTAATCATGTGAAATTTATATATATTACCAAACAACACAACGAATATTATTATCAAACAGCAAATATCAAACAAATAATGTAGATGTAATGAATGTAATGTATATGTAGTCGTTTTTTTTCCGGAACACACCTCTTCACCAGAACAAAAAATTCATACATTTACATTTTTAGTAATTTATATTTGCTTTTTTACACACATACAGATGGTTTATTTCTCTCTTCACATCCCCTTTTATATTTGATTTCCCCCTTTTTTCTTTTCAACTATAACATTTCATACAATACACATGTATTTTGGATGTATATGTACAAAATGAATGATGGATATGCGTAGTTAAAGAGGCGCGAATTTTTTTTCGCTATATCTTTTTTTTATAACATTCTTCGAGATCTTTTCGATTCATTCTATATTATTATTTTGTTTGTTCTTTTCTGGATTCAACCAAAGAAAAAAGTATAGTATAGTATAGTATTTGGTTTCTGGTCACGAATGACTCTATAGGAAACTACTGTTGTTTTTTTTTTATTTGCTGGAAAATATAAAAACCAAAAATATTATTTGCCAGTTGAACAAAATAACAACAAACATGTTGACAACATAAACAAGCATCAACTTATTCATATTTTCTTCTTTTTTTTCTGCTAAATTCTTAACTGTAAATTAATGAATGAATAAAAAACAAACAATTTTTTTGTTTGTTTGTTGCTTACTGATTTGAATGTGCATGTGATTTTTTCGATCATAAGTAGGATGATGAAATCATCATAGTGATTCTATTGAATTCTGTCCAAAATTTATTTACGATTTAATCATTTGTTTTCGGTGTGTGTGCTGTTTTTCTTATTAATTTTTCTGAATTGTTTTTCTGTTGTTGAAATTTATTGTGCGTGTGAAAAAACTTAATCCTTTATTCACTTGAAAATTCAATCAATCAAAAAAATTCCAAGTGCTGTGGTTATTTGGTGTATGTTGACCTACATTTTTTTCCCATTCATTCATTTTATGTCAAATATATTCATCAGAATTCAGAAAAAAAAACAAAACCTGATTTCCATAGAATCATTAATTCATTTAATTAAAACATTTGAAAAAAATTTTTTTTTCGAGATTGAAAACTGATTGTGATTACCTATCATTAATCATTTGATTGATGGCTATCTTTACTGAATAATTTTTCCTTCCTTTTTTTTGAATTGAACAAAAAATTGAAAATTAAAAATTCATATTTTGTTAATATCCTGAAAAAGATCAAGGTTAACCACCACCAACACCGCATATATTTCACTTGTGTGTGTTATCAAGTATATGATTTTTTTGTTTCTTCTTTTTAATGAAGTGCAATTTATATTCAATACACACACACATTATACATCATAGTGTAAGGGTAAGTTGGTAAATTTCCATTGTGTGTGTGTGTGATTGAAATACATTAAATAAAGAAAAGAAAGAAAAAACATCGACCACTTGATCAATCATCAATCATTCTTAATGAGGGGAAAGAAAAAAAATGAAAATCAATAAGTTCCAAAAAATGAAAAAATGAAAAATTTTCCAAATATCATCAAGGAATACGTAGTTATAAATCAGTCAGTCAGTCAGTATATATAGCCCCCAAATATAGTGATGACATTTTCAAAAAAAAAAAAAATTTTTTTTGTCAAATAATAATCAGGATGATGATGTTCAAATATTGTGAAATTCATATTACTTCATGCTGAAAATATTTTTTGGTTTTAAAGCTAAATCAACATTATTGTTTTCTTTTCCATGTTCACGATGAATATATATGGATAGCAAATAGCTATTGTAATTTTTGACTTGTACAGATTCTCTCTATTCAATTACATCATTCATTCATTCATTTGAATCAAACATTTGCAAAAAAAAACTAATTTTTTTTTGTTATTAACAAAAAATAAATATTTGCTTTTTTCCCTGCATAGAAATACTTTCAAAAATTTCAAATTTCAAATTTTCTTCTTTTTTTTTGCAAGAATTTTCTTCTTTACATAATTCTTGTATTCTTGTTAGAGAATAGTTTTTGTTCCGCAACACAGGACATAATGTTCGTTTTTTCCTCTTGTTTTTTCTTCTTTTTCAATGTCATTTTGTTCAAAAAAACAAACTGAAATCAATCTGATGTTAATCAACGACTACCAAAAAAAAAATAATCTTTGAACTTTGAACATTGATTTTTTTTTCATTTCTTCTGAGAATTAATAATAATAATCATGTTCATTTGATCAATTCAATTAAGAAAGAAAAAAATGACTAATGTTATTTGTTTTTCACCATTCATTTCAACATCTATATAAATAATCAGGTCTTAAAAAATTTTCTTTTGTTGATGATTCCTTACCCCATTTCAGACATGAACAAACACATACACCGCACATCTCATTCTATTTGTGTTTAACTTAATCGTTTTTTGTTTTTGTTTTCTCTCCCATTTTTTATTTTGTTTAGATTTTAGATTTTTTTCCATCATTTTTAAGTTAATTATTTAGGTTGTTTTATTTATTCATCCTTCATTATTTTGTGTTTGGTTACATTCAATATTCAATATTGTTTTTTTTTCGCATCAAAAATCAATAACGTATCGATAATCGCAAACAACAAAAAAAAACGCAAAGGAAAGGAAGCGATTTGATAAAGTAAAAAAAAAGAAGAAGACAATGACGAATGACGAAACAGGTACGAATAATAAAAATGTTGTTCATTTGAATGGAACATCTGCTCGTTATACAAATGGGCAACCTCCTGATCCAACAACAACAACAACAACAACAACAACATCAATGGCAATGACAAATACAGAAAAATTACCAGAAAATTATCGTCCACGTGAACAATGGGCTAATAAATTAGAATTTGTATTTGCCTGTATGGCATATGCAATTGGTCTTGGAAATGTATGGCGTTTTCCATATCTTTGTTACAAAAATGGTGGTGGTAAGTTTGATTAATTCATTTCACTTGTTATCATTTTCATTCATCCATTAAATGTATCTGTCACTTGAATATTTTCTTTCATTCAATGTTAATGATTTTTTTGTTTTTGTCAACGAATCGTTATTGTTTTTTGTCTATTTTAATTATTCTTTTTTTGTTATGAACGAGATCCCCATTCAGGCTTCCCCACGTTTAAAATCCAATTAATTTATCCATTCACTTTTAACACAAACAAAAGTTAATGTCAAAAACAAAATGTTTCCTTTAGTCATTAATCGATGTCAATCGATTGAATGCCATTTTTTTTCTTGAGGAAAATAATTGAATTCTACTGAAAATTATTTCCGTTTTTTTTTTGAAAATTTTAAAATCAAAATTGAATTCATTATTCGATGACAATTTTCATTCATTTGTATTCATCTTTCACACCAAAACAAGGTCGATCAATGTGTTTATTTCAGATCAAAAAAAAAAATCAAAACTTTCTCATTTGAATTTCATTTTGATGATGATTTGTGATTTTTTTTTTCTTCAATCATGAATAATTCATTTTTGCTTTTCTAGTCATCACTTTTTATATAGTTTTCTTTTTTTTAATCCTAAAAAGATTCTTTCAAAGTTTGTTTTTCGTCGAAGAAATTTTCAACATCAACGTGTTAGTCTTTTTTGTTAAATATGGTGACCCAGAAAAACAAAATCATCAAATCTTCAAATGTACATTTGATTCGGCTTTTATAATATAGCAGAATCAGGTTACTACGTTAGTTGATGATATGAACATCGTTGATTAAGACCTATTTTTTTTGTCTTGTAAACGAAAGTCTATATGTAAATTTAGTTTTGTTTTTCTTTAATTAACTCATTTTATTTACATTTAAAAAGGATGACGAACTTTGATTTCGAATGTTTTTTTTGTTTTCTTTAATATGAACCTCCATCTTGTGACTTGAATTGTAACTAATTTATTTATTTTTTCTATTTCCTTTTTTTATACCAGGTGCATTTTTCATTCCATATTTCATATTTTTAGTATGTGGTGCTGCTCCTATACTATTTCTTGAAGTAGCCATTGGTCAATATTTTCGTCAAGGTGGTATTACTGTATGGCGTGAAATATGTCCATTATTTCGTGGTATTGGATTCGGTACTGTTACAATATCGTTCATATTAAATTGTTATTATATTGTTGTTATTGCTTGGGCATTACTTTATCTTTATTATTCATTACGTGGTGATCTATTATGGGCTAGTTGCGATAATGATTGGAATACTGATCGTTGTTGGACACAATCAATGAATACTACACCTGGAAATGGTTCGGTCAATTCGGTTATCGAATTTTGGGAACATAAAATATTGCAGATTAGTCCCGGTATTGATCAACCAAATGGTTTTCAATGGGAATTAGTGTTAACATTAGCTATTGCTTGGATTATTTGTTTCTTTTGCATTTGGAAGGGTGTTAAATCAACCGGAAAAGCTGTCTATGTAACGGCAATATTTCCATATATTGTCATTACGGCATTATTCATTCGTGGCATTACATTACCCGGTGCTAGTGAAGGAATCAAATTCTATCTTTATCCGGATTTTTCTCGACTACTTGATTCACAAGTATGGATGGATGCTGGTACGCAGATTTTCTTCTCCTATGCTATCGCTCTTGGTTGTATGGTTGCATTGGGCAGTTATAATACGTTCAACAATAATTTCTATTAGTAAGTGTTTATCCCTTTTTTTTATTGGTGTGCTTGATAATAATTTTCCCAACAAAAAAAATAGTCAATTATTATTCTTGACTGGAGCTAATTCCGGTACATCTATCTATTGTGGATTTGTTATATTCTCTATTCTGGGTTATATGGCTCATGAACAACATTTGAATATAAGTGATGTTGCTGAATCTGGTCCAGGTTTAGCATTTATTGCTTATCCTCGTGCTGTAGCAATGATGCCTGGATCATCATTTTGGGCTGTTATGTTTTTCGTTATGATTTTATTATTGGGTTTAGGTTCACAATTTGTTGGTGTTGAAGGTTTTGTTACTGCTATGGTAGATTTATTTCCACAATATTTACGTATTGGTAAACGTCGTGAATGGTTTATATCTGGTGTTTGTTTTGTTAGTTTTTTGATCGGTTTATCAATGGTCACTAGGGTAAGTTGTACATTTTTGTTTCCAAAAATTGACAAAAAATAAATTTGAAAATTGATAGGGTGGAATGTATGTTTTTCAATTATTCGATTATTATGGTGCAAGTGGAATGTGTTTACTTTGGTATTGCTTCTTTCAAGCGATTGTTGTTGGATGGATTTACAGTTAAGTGAAAAATTATCTGAAAAAATTTATAAATACAAATTTTAACTAACTAAATTGATTTTTTAGAATCTGAAAAATTGTATGACAACATTGAAAAAATGATTGGTTTTCGTATTCCAAAATTTTTCCATTATTGTTGGAAATATATTACACCGGTTGTTATTGGTGCAACATTTGCATTCTATTTAGCTACATATAAATCAATCAAGTAAGTCAAATGCAAATGTTAGTTATTTTTAAATGATTAATTTTTTTTTTGTTCGTTGTTGTTACAGATATAATGGTACATATGAATATCCATGGTGGGGTATTGTATTTGGTTGGATTTTAGCCTTAACATCCATTCTACAATTACCGATTTCAATTCTTTACTTTTGGTTTACCGCTCCAAACATACCAAAAGTAAGTAATTTCAATTCCGAATTAATAGAGTAACCAATTAAAAAAAATCATATTTTTATCAAAAAATTATCAATTAGAAATGGACTTATCTTATAACTGGAAATCAAAATCTTGATCATGCTACACCGCATAGAAATTTTAATGGCAATGATAATAATAATAATATGAATGGAAAAATGAAAGATATTGAAATTGGATCATAATCAATCAATCAATCAATCATTAAGAAATTCAATTACGATTTTTAAAATCAAATTTAAACAGAATATTTACGTACATCAATAAGTTCATAATATTCTCGGTGATAAAATTATTATTATCTCATTATGATAATGATGACCACAGAAACTTTAAAACCAAATCGAATCAAAAAAAATTATCGAACGAAATCGTATACACAATATATTTTTTTGGAAAATTTAATCATTTTTTTTTTGTTGCTCATTTTGCCATTATTTCACAAAATTCATGTCTATTTTTTTAGTGTGTGCTCGTGTGTTTGTTTGTGTGATCAACATTGGTAATTGACGAAAAAAAATGCACTTGTTATCTCAGTTACACATTTACCATGAATTTCTATCTATCATCGACTATCTATGTATTTTTCTATTACGATTAGGTATTTTTTTTGAAGAAAAAAAAACAGATTTCTATTTTCACAAATATTTCAAATCGAAATTAAATCAATTTTGTTGAATTTGATTAATTTCTTTTGCCGTGATTCAGAAAAAAAAATGATCCCAGTGATAATTCACTTTTTATTTGTATTTCAACAAATTCAATTTTGTGTTTTCATTCAATCTCTGATAATGCTGACTGATAAAATAATGAAATAACATTCCTTCTTTCCCAACAAAAAACAAAATTTAAATCAATCTAAATTACAAACAAAACAAAACAAACGGTAAACTTTGTCCAAATGCTGCGATCACATTTTTTTTCATTGATTATTGTGTTTTATTGATATGATTATTATTATTTGTTTAATCATTTTATCTATCATCTTTTATTTTTTATTATTATTATTCGTCAGATTCATTTATTTGTTGTTTTTTTCTCTTACATAATTAAAATTTGTTTAAATAAATAAAAAATTTAAAAAGTAAAAATTAAATGAACGAAACTATCGATAGTTTTTGATTCTGTCATCAATATCGATTCTATTATTTCGGCTGCTATTTTTTTTTGGGGTAGTAGTAGTGGTGGTAGTGGTATCGAATTCGAATGATAATGATGATGATGATGATGGTCACAATCAAATTGTTGCAATCATTTTAAGATTCGATGTGTATATACAGCACAAAAAGATCTTCAGGCTTCCATGGTATATATATCCATATCCATGGATAAAATACATATCATTTAACCACTACTTTATTTGGCCATGGAAATCTTGTGTTGATATATTATGCATCAATCTAAATACATATATGTATTGGTGGTGGTGGTAGGTGTTGATTGTCACCGCGTCTTCCATTGCCATGGCATGGAGAGAGCATTTTTTTTTTCTTCTTTTTTTTACTTTATTTATTCACATATACACCAGCCAGGAAAAAAAACCAACCATCAACCACCATCATCATCAACAACAACAACAACAAAGAAGTCCGAATATATTTTTTTTAATGGTATCTGGATGGTTCATCAATTCATATTATTCATCATCATCATCATAAGTAACAAACAAAAAAGAAGAATGAAACATGCCCCAGAAACAAGATATAAATTTATATGATTTTTAATTGTAATTTTTAATGAAAAAAAATTGTGATTTTTTTTTGGTTTTGTTTGTGTTTTTTTAATTTTATTTTACCGATTTTGTGCTCTCTTTCTCTCCCTTTTTCTTGTGATGTTTGTTTGTTTTTTTTGATCTCAGAAAAATTTCCAACGATTTATATATTTTTAAAATAACTTTTTATTTTTTATTTTTGCAATCGCAAGCAACAAATTTCCTTCTTTTTTTTGTTCGCCATTTTTTTAAACATTTACGCTCCAATAATATTCATTGATTCTTTATTCTCTAAAACATTTAATCTGTTGGACAATCTGATGACCAGAATAATAATAATAATAATGATGACAATTCAGATGTCAAACTATAGTTTTGTTTCATTTAAAATGAGAGAAAACAAAACAAAAAAATTCTTGTAAAAAAATGATTTTCATTTATGGCCTTTAATAATTTTGGATTGTGTCCAGTGTTTGTTTGTGTGTGTCGATGTTATTTTCGTGTTTATTTTCTTTCCTAAACATTCATTGATATACATTGTTCTTTTTGTCCAATTTGTAAGTAATCGTTTCAAAATAATTTGATTATTATTATAATTCAATTTTTTTTATGTTTGTTTACAATTTAAAGAAAAAAGAATATATTCTATTTTCAGCTAATTCTGGTTCTAGTTAATTCACATATACAAACAAACAAATACTTGCACTTGATAATAATCAACAGAACCAAAAAACAAAAATGATTATTTTGGGGTTATTTTTCTTCAAATAAATAAATGAAAAAAATACCAACATATTTTCGTTTCATTGCCCCCTAACAAAAATAACAAGCAAAACCACACGGTTCTTACCTCTTTCTCTATCTGTTTTATTTTTCTTTCATATAAAAAAAAAAAAATATTTTGAAGTGATTATAATCTGGTTTCAACCCCACTCGATAGGTTTGGTATCCATGTGTGTGTGTGTGTGTGTTGTGTCGATGATGTATTTAATGATGATGATGATGGGCAAACATCATTTGATTTAAATCATCATTTCATTTCAACAGCAAAAAAAAAGCTTTCTTATAAGAAGGAATGAACAGACACAAAAAAAAACGTTTTTTAAAAAAGAAAAGCCAATCATTTTTTTGGCTAATAAATGTAGAAGTATTTAATAATACAAGTTTGAAATAAAATAGATTTGTAATGAATCATCATTCAAGAAAGAAAAAATTGAAACAAATTGTGTGTGTGTGTTGGATGATCGAATTCTTGTCCATTATTCATTGTCAAAGAATTTTTTTTTCTTCTAAATTCTTTGTTTTCAAATGCCAAACTTGAATAAAAAAATCCATTTTCTTTTTCTCTGATTCATCATCATCATCGATGATGCGATTTAATATTTCATTTTTCTTATATAATTATAAATCCATAATCACTTTTGGATATAAATATATATGGGTGCCTATGTAACTCTTTAATTGTTTTCCTTTTGTGTGTGTTTGTGTATCATATCATCATTTATAACTATTTTTTTTTTCATTTCATTTCAATTAACTCTATATTTTTTTAAAAAATAGCAGTTATTATTATAAAATAATGTATTTGGATGTCTCACTTTTGATGTTTGTTTGTTTGTTTGTTGATGATTGCCACATATATTCCAAATATTGGTGTTTAAACACCAAAAAAAATATAGACACAACATAATACACACACACAAATATGAAATCTTTTTTTTCAATATTCATTTTGGGGTTTGTGTGAGCATACATAGATTTTTGTTGTTGTTTTTGTTTTTGTTTTTATTCGCCTATAAAAAAAATATGTAAAATATTTGTGTATGTTTGGCGTCATACGACCAAAACACACACAAAAATAACTATCGATTTAAAATAAAATGACAATTTTCATGAATTTTTTTCATTTATAATATACAAAAAGATATTGAAAATGAAAGTATTTTGTGTGTGTGTGTGTGTGTGTGTGTCTGTTGATAATCAAACAAACATCATAACCATAGTGTGTTTGAATTTTGTTTGATGTAAGTTTTTTGTTTTGTTTAATGATCAAATAAATTGATTGATTTTAGCAACAACAACAACAAAATTATTGCATCATTCATATCACTGTAACAAAACGGATAGGACAAAACTAAAACTAAAAGATAACCACACTATTGGTGAAATTTTCATTCGAATTTTGGGTGTTTTTTTTGGTGTTCAACAATCAAACAACATATAAAACAAAACAAAAAAAACAACTTCAATCAATCAATCATAAGGAATATTATTTCGAGAGAGATAGAGAGAGAGAAAAAAGGGATAAAAATGACAAACAAATTAATTGTTTTGTCATCGTCTCAATGTACGTGTGTTTTTTTCTTGTGTGTTTATATCACAGAATCGGATACCAGGCCGGATAGGATTGTGCACACTAAAAAGTATTGACAAATAAAAAAAATGACAATGATAATAAAATAAAATGAAATTTTTAAATCAAAATTATTTCCATGAAAAACATTAAAATGTTTTTTGTACAAATTTTTCTATTGCTTATAGTTAATATAATACTGATTTGAATTCCTAAATGAAATTTTTAAACAAAAAAAAAATAACATAGTCATCATAGGTATTCAATACTAATAATGTATTGTACATGTGTCTCAGGTGCAAAAAACATTAACATTAAATAAAAATTAATAATTTCAATAATAAACCAGATCTATTTATAAATTTAAAAAGATATTAATAGATATTTTAGTTACTAAAAATAAACTTTTTTATTCTTTTTTTTACTACAGTTAATTTACCGGAATAAATAAATTAATTACTGGAATGAATTTCAACATAATCATCCACTTCTATATTGATATCAATTAGAAATAGATCATTGAAAAAACACAATGTGACAATGATAATGAATATAATCAATATAATAAAAGGATTCAAGTTTATTCAATCATCATTGCCATTATTATTGTCATCATCATCAGTTGTCCAATACATAGATTATATATGTCCAATTCTTACTTAATAATAATGATCAAGATAATTCAATCAATCAACAATTCAACCCTAATATTAACTATTGTGAAAAATTTTGTGCCATATTGTGGATCTAAATAAAACAAACAAACAAAAATTCATTATTTTTATAGACTGTAACGTGTTCCTCATATAAGATAATAAATAGCAAAATCTTTTATCATTTTTTTTTCTTTGGAAACAAGAAAACAACAACAACAAAAGTGCGGTTACAATTCATCTTCAAATTCAAATTTATTTTTCTTTGCTTCCTTGTTTATATTCCAAACAAAAACAAAAAAATTACCTTTTTGCTGCAATTTATTTTGGGAAACAAAAAACCTTTTATTTTGGTTTTTCTTTATTTTATTTCATACATCATTATTGTGGCCTCAGTTTAAAGAAAAGATAATCGATTCGATTCGAATTTTACTTTTATTAGTGACGTTTTTACGACGAATTAATCGATGGTACGACCAATATCAAAATCGTTGACAATAGTTGTCCATCATCATTTAATCAAAAATTTTCTTAATTTATATCTATCGATATTCGAAGATTATCAATAAGAAGTAAAAAATGTATACTATGGGACGTGATAATTTTGAAGGTTATGATTTTAAATCTGAAGAAAATCTACGAAAATGGCGTGGTTTTTTTATTCCAACCTTATTACAGGTAAGATACAAATGAAAAAAAATTTCATTCATTCAAATTTTTTTTCAATTCTTTTTAGATTCAAAAAATTACACATCCTACCTTGATTGTAAAAGAAGATGGACTGCAATATGTGGAATCGTTGTTATTAAAGTTATTAGGAGCAATAATTTCTACAAATGGTACTGTCAATGCTGGCAGCTCATCGATGATGACATTGCATACGATTAGTGATTTTGAAGATCGTATTCGACGTCTTATTCCGGATCCATTGAAAACGAATTCCCTTAAAAAAGCAAAAGAAATTCTTTCCGCTTTGAGGAATAGCAAAAAAAGTAAAGCCAATATTATATTTCATGGCAATGCAGATCGTTCACCTCTCAAAACTCCTGTCGACAAATTTCATCATATGCTACAGAAAGATGTTCTTGGACATAAAACTGATATTCATGTCTCACAATATCTGTTGGCTGTGTTGGAATTTATTGCCACCGATATACTTCAGTTGGCTGGTCATTATGTTCGTAATATGATTCATACCGAAATCACTAGCCAAGATATTCATGCCACCATGTGTGCAGATAAAGTTCTCATGGAAATTTTCTATAACGATGAAGAAGAAGATGAAGGACCACCATTATCAGCCAATTGTTATTATAGTCAATCGTTTTTTGATGCAGATTTTGGTGATAATGGTGAATATGGTAATGTAGGTAATCATACCATTACCTATCCAGAAGCGGTCCATGAATTCATTCAAGAGGAACGACAATTTATTCGTGAATTATCATTAATAATTAAAGTTTTTCGTGATCCAATGACCACCGTTCTTTCCGAAGATGATCTCCAACGAATATTTGTCAACATAGATGATATTTATGAATTTGCTGTAAAATTTTTAAGTCTGTTGGAAGATGCTGTCGAAGTTGCAGATGAAGATGATTGTCCAGCCATCGGTTCATGTTTTATTGAAATTGCCGAAGATGAAGAGATGGATGTCTTTCATAAATATGCTCAAAATGTATGACATTAAAAAAATTAATTCATATCATTAATTTTTTTGTTTTATTTTTTAAATATTAGGTTATGAACTTTTCGTTTCGCGACCATTTATACTACGTTCTTTCACAACATTCCCTTCAAAGTCGTATAAGTGAAATATTCTCTTCACGATATAATGCAGCGGCCAATGGAATGATGGCCGCCATAAAATACGTCTTACCGAGGCTACTATTATTACCCGTTTATCATTGTTTCTCGTATTTCAAAGCAATCGAAAAATTAAGGGAATTAACCCCATTGGTCACTGATCGTGAAAATTATGAACAAGCCGATTCTTCTCTGCAATCGTTACGAAACGTATTGGAAAAAGAAAAGAAATTGAACAAGTTCGGTGATGGATATTTTCTTCGATTATATGGTCGAACACACAGAGCAACAGCGTTGTCAAAAATGAAAGAAATTCAATCTTCTATCGATAATTGGAATGGTAAAGACATTTGGCAATCATGTAACGAATTTATTCGGGAAGGTCTTCTTTATAAAGTATCCAATCCGGGTAAAGCTATCGGGCATTTGTCAAATCGAGTTTTTCCAACCGAGCGTCGAGCTTTTCTATTCGATAGTTTATTGGTCCTTTGTAAACATTGCAATAAACGTATGGTGCCAGGTCGAGGTGATAATTCACATCTAGAATGGCGATTTAAAGAACGTTTCTTCATACGAAATATTGAAATAATTGAACGTGATGAACCTTATGTGCGATCAAATTTTTTACCGTTTTCCAATCACTTTAACAACCATTCTGATAATCAAAGTTCAATTCTGGAACAATCATCATCATTATCATCGAGTGTAAGCAACATAAGCAATCATATCACAAGCGATAATTCAAACACAATACACGCTTTCGAAATATCTCAAACTAATCAAAATCAATCAATAGTTTTGATGGCAAAAACGGTGGAAGAAAAAGATAGCTGGATGTCACAATTGATACTGCTGAATATGCGGTCAATGTTGGAACGAACATTGGATGCAAAACTTTTGGAAGAAGCGAAAAAACATCCCTTGTTATTACCACATGCATCCGTTTATCGTTTCGCGATCGAAGATATGGATTCCAATATCATATTTGAAGAAAATAAATCCAATCGTAATGTGCCATTAATTAAAGGTGCTACGTTGCTCAAATTAGTTGAACGACTTACTTATCATAAATATGGTGATCCAAATTTAGTGCGAATCTTTTTGACCACTTATCGTTCATTTTGTACGCCAATTGAATTGCTCAAATTACTGATCGAACGTTTTGAAATACCTGAACCAGATTTTCGTTCATGTATGCAGGCAATGTACTATGCAAATGAAGAGCTGTCTTCGCCAACAAGTGTGGCGCCACCGGCGCAAGAATTGTTATTAAATCAATTAGATTCGAATGAAGTGACTTCCGATGCAAGTTCTTCGACTGGAAAATTTGGTGCAAATACATGCCCAACTAGTCCAACTTCTCCAACGTCGAACAATCATCAGCAATTACCACCTACACCGTCCGATTTGAGCAAATTTTTTAATGAACAAGATGAACAATGTCAACAAGATTATCGTGAAATGTTGAAACGATTCCGAAAAGAATATGCCCAACCGGTGCAATTTCGTGTGCTGAATGTGCTTCGACATTGGATTGATAAACATTGGTATGATTTCGAGCGTGAAAGCCAATTGTTGGACATGTTGAATCAATTTCTTGACGAAAAATTAGCAAAATCTCATACAAAAGTTGCAAAGTGGTGCCATCATATCCGTAGTGTTGTCGATCGATCAAAAAAATCACAAAATGTTGCAGCTCAATTCGATGCACTATCAATCATAAATGGACCAATTGGAAGACCATTGTCAAGCATCACTAAAATCAACGATGGACCAGAAGAATTTGATCTCTTAGCGGTAAGTTTCTTATCCATTTTGATGATTTATTTAATTTGCGAATTTTGGTTATAGTTTTCTCCTGGAGCTATTGCTGCCCATTTAACTTTATTCGAATTCGATTTGTATCGTGCAGTACAACCATACGAATTTATCGGCATGGATGATCAATCATTAGTTTGGACCAAAAAAGATAAACAAAAAACATCGCCTAATCTATTGAAGATGATTCGTCATTATACAATTGTAAGTATTTACTCAATAATCAAATTTTTCAAATATGATGCTTACTTGCTTTGTAGATGTGTTATTATTTCGAAAAACGAATTGTCGAAACGGAAAATTTTGAGGAACGTGTGGCTATTGTTACTAGAATTGTTGAAATAATGACCAGATTGATGCAATATAACAATTTTAATGGTGTATTCGAAATCGTTGGTGCTCTTGATTCGGCACCAATTCACAGACTAGAACATACCCGTGCTCAGATTGAACGCAATAGTAAATTGAAAAAAGCACTCGAAGAAGCCAAAGATCTCATGGATAATCATTTTAAAAAGTGAGTAATTCTAATCATAAAAAAAATCAATAACTTATGAAATTCTTGACAGGTACAAAGAAAAATTGTTTTCAATCGATCCACCTTGTGTTCCATTTTTGGGTAATTTTCTTACTAACATTGTACATTTGGAAGTGGGAAATCCTGAATATCTTTCCCCGCCAAATTCTGATTCTGGATTTCATAATACTTTGAATCATCATCATCATTTTCATCAAAACGATTCATCATCCAACTCTCAACAAACGAACAATAATAATTCACAATCCACATCGACAATGAAACTAGAAGCTGAAGGGGCTGCAGCTACTTCAAAATTGATTAATTTTCAAAAGAAACGCCGTGTTTATGAAACAATCTCGCTAATTCAACAGTATCAGAATGAACCGTATAATTCTCAATCTCAGAAAACGACAAAAAAGATTAATCTCAGTAAATTTAATCCTGAAATTTCGGTAAATTCCTATGTCATTTTAGATTTTTATATTATTAATGCTTAATTTTTTTCAGAATTTTTTCGAAAACTTGGATCATATTGTTTATGATGACGAGGAAGAGAAGCAATTTTGCAATTATGTTTATAACAAATCACTGGAAATTGAACCACGAGGCTGTAAACAACCTCCCAAATTTGTAAGTTGTTAGTAACTTGATAAATTAATATTTTTTCATTGATGGTTGTATTTGTTCATAGCCTCGAAAGTGGCCGGATCGTAACCTCAAGCAAAGTTCAAAATCACGAAATATTCGCTTGCCTGGAATTTCAGGAATTAGTCATCAAAGTCAATCATCATCATCAAGTCTAACGGGTTTTAGCCATAGCCATCAGAATAGCCATAGTAGCATGATGATGATGGATAACTGTGATTCGATCTCATTACAACAACAGCAATCTCCGTCAACACCATTAACTCCTCCGGATCCGATTTTTGCATCTGTCATGATTGGAGGTGATCGATCGATGAATAATGGAACACCTCATATCTCGCCAACAACTCCGGGAATTCAATCGATGAGCTTTTTTCCGACATCATCCGCTTGGCAACAAATTCCACAAGCGATCACTCCTCAATCTCAATATCATCATCAACATAGTGCATCATCTCCATTAATTTCTTCGCCTTTATCTTCAGATTTCTCAGGCATTGCAAACAAAAGTCCTTTACCGCCATTACCACCAAGGGGTATTCGAAGATATTCGATTGCTCCCGATAACACGAATGCTAGTGGCAGTAGTAATTTGCCAGGATCAGCACCTCCTCTTCCTCCCAAAACATATAAACGAATTGGTCCTTCAACAACATCTTCAAATTCGTCAGCACAAACTACTTTAGGAGCAAATTCTGGAACGTCATCAACCGTCTCAACTACGAGTACTAAAATGTCCTATCGAGATAAGCAACCACCACCATTGCCACGAATGCCTCCGCCATCATCGAATCATTATCATCAACGTTTTAATTCGGATATCGTAACTACAGCATCGTCTTCTACAAGTCCAAATCATACGTCACAATCAAATGGTCCACTCATTAATAGACGAAATTCAGCTGTTGAAAATGGTGCTACATTATCTCCAAGGCGGTATTCACAAGTTCCGCTACCACCTCCATTGCCTCCTACACCATTAACATCATCACCACAGACACCAATGATGAATATGACCTTATTTAATCTATTACCTGGTAGCGGAAGTCCAAGTGGTATTCCTCCTAATCCATCTTCGGCATCATCTTTATCACCGACATTACCACCTTTTTCGTCATCATTACATCGTCCACCACCAACCCCAACATTGGCAACATCACCCAATTCTACCAATAGTAACAATAATAATAATAACAGTAATAATGGTCCAGAATTACCACCGAAAACATATCGATTATCTAATCCATGTCGATAATTTTATTTTCAATCGCTTCTTACCCATATGGAAATTGCCAAATAATTACAATTCATGCGATACGTTCAACAAACAAATAGATCATTTATTTTTTTGTCGAACATTATTATAATCATCAATCAAATGATGTTAAAAAGATTGCAGTCAAAAAAAAAGGATAATATTATGTATTTTTCTGCTCATTTATTGTTTGTTTTTGTTTTATTCATTCAATTACTTTGTTTGTTTGTTTTTTTGATGTACAATCAAATGATCGCCTTGGCAAACATTAATCATTTTTTGAATCGAAAGACAGATTATATAAATCTTATGACTGATGATATTAAAATTAAAATGATTATTATTGAAAAAAAACTTTTGATTGAAAAATTTGGCAGCGAAAATGCGATTTCAAACAGAATCGAAAACATTAAAAGAATTGTGTGCACAATTCAATGCTTGAACCGAATCCCATTTTTTAGGATAACCATACAAAAATCAACCAAAAAATTGGTTACCTTTTTCAAACATTTAACGGAATATATTCAATCGAATGAAACGAAAAACCAAATGAAATTACATCATCATTCGCAGCTCTTCACAACAATTATTTGCCGCGTGTTGATTGAGTTTTCGTAAAATTTAAATTTTTAATTTCTTGCTAGCATAGTATGCCGTGCCTAAATAAGATATAAATAAATAAATGAATGAATGGAATGTGTGTTATCGGTGAATTATCATCAGGATTTTTTCTTTATGCAATGAGGTCATCATTTTCATCATTTATAATTATCGTTTTGTTAATCAAAAACGATTAATTATGATTTTTTTAAATAATGGCTTATTGTTATTGCCTGTTTCAAGGATGATGATTATAAACAAGGCAAGGCATTCATAATTGATGATTCATAATCGTTGATCTTATAATTAGATTTTTTTCAACTTTTTTAAAAAAAATGGATGGATTTTGTATATGATAACTTAATAATATTCATACACGTGATTTAAAAATGTGATTTATTATTATTATTATTATTATGAATTACGTAACCGGCATATATTTATGATAAAACAAAAATTTAATATTTGGACAAAAAATAATTGATTGATATGATAAGATGTAACGTAACGTAACGTAAATATTTGGGATTGACAAATTTTTCTTAAATAATGATGAAATTCTATGATACAATGATACAATTCGGATGATTAAAACTATATTTGGACAATGTGAACATATTTGGGCCATGAGTATTTGTGTTCGTTTATGATTTTGTTTTTGTTTTGTTTTAAGGAATTTATTAAGTTATTGATAAGTCAATCAATATCTTGGATATGATCTAGGTGGTGGATAATAATGATGTTTAGGTTCATTAACATAATGATAACAATCTAAACAAACGGTCGGTTTCTTTTTGACAACCAATTCAAAATCGGGCAATTTATCCTTGAGTAAAAACCATTTAAGTAGCAACAATTTTTTCAGCTTTAATGCCTTTAATAACATCAAATCAGCATCGGCTGCTGGTGCTAGAAATATACCGGCCAATAAACTGGTGATAACCAGCATACATATCAATTGTTTTGTCTATTATATGTCATATTATAACACGATTTTTTTAAAAAATAAATTAATAAAACTTACCTTCATTATTGGTTAGATTTGTTTTTTTCTATTATCAATGTTGTTAAATGTTACACACTGTTTAGTTTTGAACTTGATCGAATAGCCAATATTTCAAATATGTTTGTCGTATTTATATACGAGAAAAAAAAATCCCATCCATGTCCATCCAATGAACGTATCTCATTTTTAGCATCGATGTATCTAGCATAATTGTATAATTGATGATTGTGATCAGATGTTTGTTTGTATTAAACGGACGGCAGTTATATTGAGATTAAACTACATGAATGTTGTTTGTGTGGTCATCCTAAATTGAACAATTTGAAAATTATCATCAATCGTAAGTGTTTGTGTGATGTTAAAATCCATAAAATAAGAGAAAGAAAAAGAAAAAGTTGCGAAATCATCAGTGTTATCTCATCTTCATTGATTCGTTCAAATTGCGGCAGCCCTTATATAATATCCTTATGATGTATTAAGCTATGTGTGGCAAAATATTTATGTCTATGGGTAATAGCATAATATGATCCTTTACTGTTCAACTGTTACTACCGATTTATTATGGACAAAAATTCATATACAATGTCAAGGTTCTCATGTCCTTTATGTCAATGTTAATTTTAATCAATCAATCAATCAATAAATCGATTCGACATGCTAACATCCACACTCAACACACAAACAAAAAACAAAGATATAGAGCAAAATCTCAATCAATTCCGATCGTTTATAATGAGATTAGATGCACTAACTATTGAACTATTCTAGATAAGAGGCTAAAGTAAAATTGAATGAATAACCAATTATTATGGATGATAATAATGATAACTGATATATAAAAAAACAAATAGATAAACAAAACAAACAATAAATAAATAAAAAAATCGATCAATCAGATTGAACATTTGATACATCTTCGATGATGATGATAAGAATGATTGTTTGCGAAAAGTCCCAAATTTAGAGTCCCTATAACAATTGTTAAATTTCAAAGTTTTCCATTATTCAATCAGAAGTGTTTGGAATTTTTTTTATTTATTGCAATTGATTATCGATGGCCCTTCAACAAAAAATGACAACAACAACAACAATTTTGTTACAATTTTAGTATTGATTTGACAATGATCAATCTTTGAATTAATGTCCACAAAGGTCAAGTTTGCTTAAACTGAATAAATAAATAAAATATGAAATTAATACAGACACAGACATAAAAACATTGAAAACTTACATCATATCTATGATATGATATGACGATACCATTGACGACATCGATTAATGATAATTACAACTTTTATCAAATACATTCATAATTAATTAATTCATACAATTTCTGAATGGCCATGTTAATTTAAGATTTTTTTCTTTGATTTTTTAAATCAAGATCAATCATATATGACGTGTTGTCTGATATTGATTGTCACGTGATGTTTTTCGTTATTTTCGATTATAATTTACCGCCGATTTATGATGGGTTTCAAGATTGTTACATGGAATATCAATGGGCTTCGATCGTTTGGCGGTTCTCAACAATTCAGATCTGCAATATTTGAACAATTCGATAGTCAAGCTGATATTGTTTGCCTTCAAGAAACTAAATTATCTCGTTAGTATACTATGCTTATGTAATATTACATGACAATGATGATTATTTTCATAACCGACCGTAAATCAGGTTCATCGTTAACTGAATGGATGGCTTTCGTTCCTGGTTATACATCATACTTTTCATTTCCTTCATCCGAAGCTAATCATCTTACCCGTCATTCAGGCTATTCCGGTGTAGCTACATTTGTTCGCGAAAATAGCAATTGTCGTCCCTATGCAGCTGAAGTAACATTTATCAATGATGTTTCTGAAATATTTGCAAATGATTTATTTGATCATTTGGAAGAAGATTCCTTATTTGAAAAACGATGGTCCGGAAAATTCAAATGGAATGTCGATGATGATCATATTAGCTGGAGACAAGTGGATCGAGAAGGTCGTTGTATTGTTACTAAACATTCCATACAAATTGACGAAACAGATGCTAGTCATAATCATTGTAAAGAATGGTTGTACGTATTTAATCTTTACTGTCCACGTAATGATTCAAGCCGACCAGATCGTGAATTATTTCAGCTCAAATTCTATCATCTAGTTGAACGACGAATTAAAGCATTATTTGAGGATAGCCAAAGCTGCAATTATATAATCGTAGTCGGTGATTTTAACACTGCTCATCGACCAATAGATGTATACAATGATGACGAATTTTGCTATTTAGGTTCAAATTCTCGTATCTGGTTACAAGAATTACTCGACCAGGACAGATTGGTTGATGCATTTCGTCATATAAATGGTGATGTGAATGGAGCTTTCACCTGTTGGAACACACAGATCGGTGGTCGCCATACTAATTATGGATCTAGAATCGATTATATTCTTGTAGATCGTCGACTTTGTCAATACATGCTCAATTGTCATCATTTGACCAATGTTGGTGGTTCCGATCATTGTCCTGTGATGGTCCAATTTGATGACCGAATTCGGTTTATTTGTCCTGATCATCAGTATTATTCGAAACATTGCACTAAACAATGGCCTGAATTCGATCCAATAAAGCAACCTGGATCGATACGCCGTTTTCTCATTTCTAATAGGTCAAAAGAAAACCAAAATAATGATCAATCTGGATCATCGAGCCATAATCAAAGTATTATTGATAAATTAAAAACTAAACAACTACAACAGACAAAGATATCTTCATTTCTCACGGGCGTCAAACAGATTAGATCACAACAACAACAACCACTAGCAACACAAACGATAGCGATTGATTCAACAACTGTTACAAATGCTCCAACTGATCAATCAGAAAAATGGCGCCAATTATTGGAAGCTAAATCAAAAACAGAACATATTCCCTTATGTACTGGTCATGGTTTGCCTTGCGTACGTCGTAAAGTTCGAAAATCAGGTACTAATTTTGGTCGAGAATTTTATCAATGTTCAAAGCCATCACTGAAACCTGACGGACATCCCGAAACTCGTTGTAATTTTTTCCGATGGATCAAATGATGATGTTAACGCGCAAACTCTATTGATTTATTGAGCAATATTTTGTTTGGAACTTTTTTTTATGTGATCTCAAATATCTGATTTTGTAAAATATTCATTAAAAAAATGTCATCCGAACACGCTAAAATTGAATTGCGAAAATCGCAACAAGAATTAAAACATATGTTAGTATTAGCTGAAATATTTGTTAAATTTCCAACGACAACGGTAACTGATGATAATCAACAATCATCACAACAATTTTATGATAAAGATATTATTAGCTATTATTTGGATGAAAGTCAGCGATACATTACTCGTATTGAAGCATTGTATAGCCGTTGTCATGAACCATGGGATGGTCTTGAACGTCATGTACGTGATGTTATGACACGATTACGTGAAAAACAGACCCGATTGTTTGTCATGTTGGATCTCATCAAACGCAAACAATTACTGCAGCAGCAGCAACAGCAACAACAACAACAACAAAGCATTGCTACATCTTCGAATACTGCTCATCAGTCTGCATCCGCATCTTCAGTTCAACATCATAATGTTCAATCTTATCATCAACAGCAATTAAAACAACATTCACAGGTCAAAGGTTGACAAAGATCATTTTTATTTATTTTATGATCACTGAGCGACGGATACTTTGTTCATGTATACTGGACAAGTAATTATCATAGATAATGGCGGCAATACCTGCAAAAATCAATATGGCGATCATGACAACTATTAAGGCTGTATGGTTTGAGATATAAACAAAGAAAATTCATTTGAATTATTATTTTATCAATTTTTAAATAATGCAAATACATACAATTATCCATTGTCCATTGTACAATTGAGGCTTCACATAAGAAAATTTCTTCGATTTTTTCTCGTTTCATTTGAAATGATAGGCCCAATTCTAAAGATGTATTTCGCATTATTATTGATGATACATGATAAATATATTTCTTTGTAAGGAAGAAAAAATAAGTTTGAGTTTCAAATGCTTTTATTATCGGTTCTCCATCTAAAGCAATTGGTGTCCTTTTTTCGACTGCACATGGATTATTACCAAGTGTCACATTTTCAATACGACGACCATCGTCTATCAGATCGACGGAACACAAAAAATACGATTGTTCCAAATGACCATACCTGGTCATTAGAATTTGGCCATCCTTTTTTCTAAAACGTATCAATCCTAATTTATCTCGATTCGGTGAAAGATTGGATATGAACACTATTTCCTTACTCATTTTGGTCAATGGTTTCACTACTGTTACATTCCAATACCAACGATCATAATTCAAATCATAGCTAAAGAAACTAATTTTGTTTTCATTCTCATATGCAAATGTTAAATTATATTCCGACCAAATAAAACCAAAACGAACATAAGGTTGAAGTTTTTCGAAACGTTTTTTGTCGCTTGAATTACTAAATGCCTCTGGCCATCGTTTTTCAAAAGGCATTTTAAGATACATATAACCGAATGGAATACGAAAACCATTATTAGTGAATAAAGATCTTTCAATTTCAAATACAAAAAATCGACGATCAATAATAGTCAAATGATTGCGTCGCATTCCAATTAACAATATGTTTGCTGATGGATTTGAACTGATGCCCGAACAATTCGACTATTTTTTTTTAATATTAATAATTATTCAATGATTTTGAATATTCTAATTTGAATATTAATCAGGAAAAAACATACCTGAAAGAATGTAATCGCATTTACCGGACATAAAAATATCCAAATCAAATATGGCCAACGCATTCTGTTAAATCAATAATTTTCCAAAAAACTAAACAACGATCAATCGAATTTTTTTTTATTTTAACTCTGAAATAATTTTTATTCAAATATTGTTGTTAATTGGCTTAAATTTATGATTTTATTAAAAATTTGAATGAAAAATAAAATTACAAATTTTCGAATTTTCATTATAGTTAATTTTGACTAACATTGTTTATTTCATTATACTGTAAAAAGCATAATGACAGACGAAACAAAACATTCAATTGATGATAATGAAATGGCTAATTTATCATTCTTTGGACAAGTTTACAATCGTTTTATCATTGAAGATTCATATCGCAATCAATTGCTCAATCATTTGGAACAGGATTCAGTTCCACATTATGGCTTTGTATTTAATGATAATCATCGTATAAATGAGAATATTAAACATTTAGATTCCGGTTCTTATGCACATGTTTATCGTCTATTCGAGCCAAACAAAATGCTAAAATTTGAACATAAAAATCATATAAGGAATCCTGTCATAATAAAAATGATACCATTGTTGGCCGAAGAATTATTACAACGTTTGACCGATTTTCATCGAATCAGTTCATATAATGATGTGCATAATGAATGTATAATACAACGTACATTATCACAATTGAATGGTCGTTATCAGCATAGTGATGGTCGAATTTATATGTGTACTACATTTCCTCGATTGTTTCGATCGACGTTGATTCGAGGTCCATTGGGTTCTTGTTTCGATGTTCAAACAAACAACAACGACGATGACGACAATGTTGATGATAATGAAGAAGGATTACCATTTATGAACAACGTTTCGGATGAATTTAATTTAACCGATCAAATACCACAAGAATATATGATGTTAGTAATGGAAGATTGTGGATTGCCAATAACCGATTGTTTGCAACAAATCAAACCATTAGCCTGTGTATCAATAGTAAAACAATTAATTATTGGCCTAATGATTGCCGAAACAGTATTTCAATTTGAACATCGTGACCTTCACGGTGGTAATGTACTTGTACAAACAACAAACAAAACAATGATTCATTATATAATGAGAAATCGTACATTTTCATTACCATCCTATGGTTGTATGATCAAAATAATTGATACTACTTTTTCACGAATACGAATCGGTTAGTATGAAAAAAAAATGATGTTAATATATAAATATTATCATCAAAACGATTTCTATTATCATTTTTTTTCAGGACAAACTGTTTATCATAAACAATTATCATATTTATTTACAAGTGATAATCTTAGTTCAAGCAAAAGTGAACAAGATCGTACTTATGAACGAATGAATCAATTAGTTACCAGTAATGATCAACATTGGAAACAATATCATCCACAAACTAATGTAATTTGGATTGAATATATTATTGGTAAAATATTACGGTTATTAACACCTGTCGATGGACAATTGGCGGTTGAATCAAACAGCAACAATGTAAAATCCAGGACAGCAACTACTAACCACGTAATTAGATTATTGACAAACTATACAAAATTGACTGATAATTGTAGTTCGGCCACCGAATTATTTGATAAAATAGTTGCCGTTGCTAATAGAAACAATGATGATCTATGTCGTATACGATTCCATTAAAATTCCAGAAGAAAATATAAATAGTAAAATGATTAAATTTAAAAAAAATGCTACCTTTCTCCTTTTTTTCCTGAACATTCATTCAATAATGATTTCATACAAACAAATGATTGAATTGAACACAACAAAAAGTCAATGCTTTTTTTAATTATCAATTATCGATCATTTAGTGTTGATTATGTTTAGTTGATTGGATTCGATTTGATTTGGTTCGGATTAGTGTTTGTTTTTTTTTTCAGTGATACAAAGCTTTTAAGCAACATATACACTATGAATAATATCATAAATCGATCATTTGTAATGATGAATGTGATTGCCAAATTGACAATTTCATTCATTGATCACTGGGATATGGGTTATCGTTGATCATGATAGTTGGTAGATTTAGTGGTAATCGTTTTTAATCGTTGATCATCATTAATATTAGTGTTTGCCGCACAATATTGTCGCATATCCTGAAACGAACAGGAACTATAACAGCATTCGTCGACGATACCACGACGAACTCTTACTCGATTACTTTGTTCATCTGGTACATAGGTTGTTTGTATTGAGGCTTCATGGTTATCTGGATGATCGATTGTCGAAGAACTTGTCGTGCTAGGATAATAGCCACAATGTTTGTTGCTCTGATAATAGACACGAGCAAGCGATATGTTCAGTCGATTTGCCAATTCCCGCAACGATGGAGGTGTGGATGATTGCTGTAATAGTGATTGTTGTTGCGGATGAATGGTCAATACCATTCGACGTACCTGTCGTAACATTTTGTCACCGGATGCTATCGAAGATGATGGTTGAGCAGCAGCAATCATTGATGATGAAGAAATGGACGGGCCATTATATTGACCATTACAGACTAATTGCATGGCTTGTACTAATACTTTGCCACATAAACGTTGACCTGATGATCGACGATGACGATGACCACCATTCGTAACCAACATCGAAGATGTATTATTTAAATTCACCGGAATGTCACTGGGATCGTTGCTTGCTGATATGGACTGTGAAGCTAATGGTTGTGATGGTAAATTTTGTGTAACGGTAGTTGTCATAGGCCAAGTAGAAATACGACCAATGATAGAGGCTAACAAAATTACCATCATTGTCCAAGATGGCAACCATTGTCGAACCATGGTCACTATGGAAAGCATCCGCTTGAAAACCAAATTGATGGATCGATGATTGTCAAATGATGAAAAGTGACCAACAATGTTCAGGAAGATGAATTACAATTGATCAATCAGCAAAAATAAAAAATAAAAAAATAAATACAGATTCCGAAGCTTATTCGCAACGGTTTGATGCTGGTCGATATATGATTCCGGTTGATTTGAATGGATCAAACGACCAAAAAATATCGTTTTATTCTCAATCATACTGGGTCAATTTGAAATTCGATTCTGGTTTATATACCGACGCGGGAATACATGCGGATTTATTCTAAACGACATTCTAACAACAACAACAACAACAACATCTACTATAACCAATGATAAGTCGAATGAAACCCCCGAACAGACCGAAAAAAGAAAACATCATGTCCGATAACGAATTGAAAATGTCAATCGATTCAAGAAAACAAAAAATACAACGATGTTCAACCCAAAGTGTCAAAACCAAAACAAACAAACAAACAATTTACAACCAATATGTTTGTGTGTGTGGGATTCATTTCGACTTATCGAGGACCCATTGACAAAACCCGACAAGCATTCTTTTATTCTGGAATGTTATTGAAATTGATACATATTTACCACACACACACACACACACACGTTGTCCATTTGAATTAAAAGCCTAATCCGATGAATCAGAATGTTGTTGTTGTTATTATTGTTGATGTTAGTGTTTGGCTTGCGTGGGATTCCTAATCAAGAAGAGAATAAAAACGGAATATAATAATTGTGTGTGTGTGTGTATGGTGTATGTGATATGTTTGTTTGTTTCCCTACAATAAACAACTGGACCAAAAACAAAAAATTCAGCATTTGTTATGTGTGTGTGTGTAGTAAATGTCCGTCATATTGATATTACTGACTGATGATGATGATGATGGTGATGATAATAATCTCAAAAATATTCTTTAATCTTTCAAATTCCATTTTTCTTGCTGTTTTTTTTTTCACCAACAGTAAACGATAAAAAAAAGTGAAAGTGTGTGTATGTGAATGATTGGCAATTATTATTATTATTATTTTGTTTTTTCCCCCTTTTCTTATTTCCAAAGGTTTTTTTATTGATCAACAAAAACAAATGATGAAAAGAAAAAAAAATATATTAGAATGAATGAACAAAATGATGATGATGATGATTGAATGCTATTGATGGCGGAAATCAATCGAATTCCAGTCATTATATTATTGCTATACATTGATAATTTGTACACATTTTTCTTTTCAAAATATAAAAACAAACACTTCCCACATGTTTAATATTTTGATCACTGTATTTCAATTCACCAAATAAAAATATATATTGCTGCTTCCGAATCCTAATCCATCCGATCCGATTCAAAAACTAAAATGGATTCTTCAAAATATTAATGTAGATTTAATAATTGGCCATAAACACACACACACACACAACAGTAACATTGATTCAACATTTTTTTTGTGCGTGTGTGTGTTTGTTTTGAAGGTTCACTATCGATTTCATATTTTTTTTTATGATTTAAAATATTTGTTTATTCGATTCATTTGTGATTTGATTCGTTTGTTGTTGTTGTTGTTGTTGATGATGGTCTTTAAGTTGTAAACAAAGAAAATTCTTTAAAATATAATAAACACATCGATGTATGTAGGCATATTGTGACTATAATTATGGACAATCAAAGAATGAAGAAACACAAATGAATTAGTAAATCATTAATTATTATTTTTTTGGTTTATATTATCATTAAAATTTACTTACATCTGTTTGTACCATGCCACGTCGATCAGATCTCATTCGATATACAATACCATATATATCAATCATATATGGTACTTTTGATAATAAATGAATTGCTTGCGTATCTTGTTTTATCGGATCAATATGATCATTATTATCTATATTGTATGCCATTTTACGATTATGAAATCGTCTTCCTAAAGTGGCCGTAGTGGAATGAAATATTTGAGTTAAAGTTTCTAATTTATTGGGCATCCATTGACCGATAGAACGTGTTGGTAATGTATGGCTACCGATCTCGTTCCGGGTAAATCGATTCTGTAATTGTTGCCTATGTAAGTATCGAAGTTCATTCCATTGTAATGATTGTAGCCATAGTTTTTGTCGATGAAATTCTGGTTGTAAAAATTTTTCCGTCAATTGCTGCCATAAATGATCAATCGCTATGTAAGTACCAGTTCTTCCAATTCCGGCTCTATATTCAAAACATGGATACAATCGATCACAGATGATAGAAAAGGTGTGTAATATCTCTCACTTACCGACAATGCACAATTATTGGCGTTGATGATGATGAACAATATTTTTCAAAATAATGACGAACTTTTTGTATAAATAACAAAATCGGTAATTCCTGTTCTGGAACAGCAAAATCTTTCCATCCGGTAAAATGAAATTGATACGCTTCGTGTATAATTTGATCGTCGGCTGATTCGAACATTAGTTGTATGTGACGAATAACGTATTGATCGAATTGTTTTTCCTCGACTAATCGTACTATTAACATTGGTTGATCATCAGTTAATTTTATACGTTTCGGTTCATCATTGATCCATTTAGGAAGATAGGCTATACTTTCTATGAAATAGAATTATAAATCGATAATCATCGATTATCAAATTCATCAATGACTTACCGAATTCGACTAGATTTACAATGATAACTACATGATATTCGAGTATAAGACGATAAAAATTTCTAATTGAATCCTGATTCCATGGAGCCAATGTTGCTATATATTCATGGGGACCATTATGACCGGCAATAAAGCTAGCGTTAATATAGCCATCATGGCCATCACTAAGTTTGACTAGTGTATGTTTATCTAAAAACAACAATAATAATCCTTAATTTGATCAATCGATAATCAATGGACAATCACTTACATGGTAAAACATTTTGGAAACGATTCTTGATATTCATTTCAGGATTTCGATTACAATCTACCAAGGGTAATTTTGTATAAAGGTCATTATGTGATTTTTGTTCAAGTTCAGCAAATTCATTACTAAAACCAAAATCCGAATCCTTTGATAATGATTGATAAACGGCAAAAAATTTGTGTATAGGTAATGGACGATTTGTTTTTAATTTAGTTGAATTTTGATTCAAATCAAAAAAATCATCTTCATTGTCGTCAAAATCATATCTATCATAATGATTATTGATTGTCATAAGGAATGATCGAAGTTTAGTCTGTTTATCTAAAGTCGATACGGTCTTTATATTATGTCGGTCATCACTTTTACTATTACCATTACCGGTTTCAATCGATTCTTTAGCATTTGAATTATTCACATAAGAAATAAAATTATGACTGCTGCTACTTGTATTGTTTGTATGCTGCATCTGACCTAATTCCAACGATTCAATTGGTTGATAATGATGATGATGATGTGCTATTTCAGATGATGATATATTCGTTTTTGATTGTTGTAACAAATGATGATGATGATGATGACGATGATTATTACCAAATTTTTTAATACGATGAAGATCATGTATAATCCAAAACATTAATACAATAATTAAAACAATCACAATGAATGCTATGAATAATATTAACAGTAAGGTTAAATTATCCATCATTCATTTAATAATAATAATAATAAGATTTATTGATTGAACGCATCATATTTTTTTTTGTTTTTGTTTATTTTGTTCGCAACACCGTTATATTGTTGCTGTTGTTGATGATGATGATGATGATGAGTTTGTTACTGTTTTACAATTTGGCAGCCGACATTACCATCATCATCATCATCATCAACACTACCAACATAAAACTCATATAAACACAGGATATACTTAGTGAAATAATATCAGCAATGATAGTTATAAATATATGAATGAATGGTAAACATATACACACACAGTTGATTGTTGTTGTTGTCGATGTACGTGTATTCATTTAACATACATACAAACAAACGAAACAAAAAAAAAACTAAATTTAAACAGCCGATGTCATAATGATGATGATGACAAATTATAAATTCTTTATTATCACACAAACATACGCGCACATCTTTTTTTTCGGTTACATACCAGTTGCATTTGCTTTTTTCTATCTCTCTCTCTTCTTACTTTATCCATTCATAAGACATAGGTGTGTCATCAAATGATGGTAGTCATGGTAACCTTATCATCATTCGGTTAATCATTATCATATACGATTTATAACTTGTTGTTAATGATCCAAATTATTTATTTAAAAAAAATGTGATTCACAAAATATCCTTTTTATTATTATTATTATTATTGCAATTACAATGGAATTATTAATATTATTATTATTAATATATGAATATCTATATGTGATAATGAACAACAAAAAAAAACAAAACCTTATTCAATCAAGTAAATAAGGTGTTGTGGTTGTGGTGATGAAATATGATGCTTAGTTAGTTCAAAAATAGCTAAATCAACAATTTAACAAATTAGAATAATGTAAATGTTATAAATCAAATGAAATTAAACAAAATAAACAAATAAACAAACAAAAAAAAGAAAAGAAAAAAAAAGAAATTAACAAAACAATATTTTGAATATCCGGATATCCGAGATTTGATGATGATCAATATTGAACGATGGATGAACATTGAACGGTGATGGATTATAATCGATATAAATCAGAATGTATGTAGGAAGTGTGAATTACAAGTGTTTTTTTCTTTTTTGGAGTAAATGGATTATATATGGAAATATGGATGACTCTTATAATTACCAAGACCATCACCGACAACGTCGTCATTTACTTGCTTGAAACATAATCAAACGGAAATTTATCATACGTGCTGCTAATAAACGATTAGAATCAGCATTTGTTGATACAAGATTTATGCAATTATAATTGGATTCGGTTTGTGATTCACTAAAATCAAATTTATATATCATTGGTAGCACTTTGGTTTCGCCATATGGTCCCTAGAATAAACGATAAAATTCGTTAATTCATCAACAATGTAAATAAGACTAGATTTTACCTTGAGTAACATATAGTGTATGGTCATTGCATTATTGATCTTTGATTTCAGGCAAAGTTGAAAACTAAGATGTCGTTGACAGGATTGTGTTGGATCACGTTGATCATCATTAACGCGTGCTTTGACCACCCATTGCAAATTGAATGCAGTGAATCGAGATGTTTCATAAAACAATTTATGAATATATTCATCTGTTCGATATGGTCGAAATTGTATATCATGAAAGGCAATTTTTTCATACGATAATAATGTAAAAAGAGTTTCATGAACACGTCGTTGTTCACGTCTACGGCGTTCCTCATTTTCCAAATGACCCAATACTTCACGCGCTGATTTATTTGGATGACTACAATCATTAGCGTGATAGGCTATCGATTACATATAAGATACACACAGCATAAGCATCCGATTAACGATCATCACGGCAAATACACCTACCAGCTTCGTGAAAAGGCCCATTCCATGGGCAGCCAATATTGCTAAAACTACAGGGAACAATTCGTTCTTCACAAATTTCAGTCATATGTTTTTCCAACATGGATCGGGGTAATTCTCGTTGACAGAATCGACATTCTCCCGGTAATTCAGATACGGCTTTTTCTACGGCCAAATTTCGGCTACAAGATTCTTTCGATATACTCACTCGACAACTTGGACAGGTGGGTGATTCATCACGTAATCGAGCATCGGCCAATACATGTGTAAAACATCCGGCACACATTAGATGTCCGTTCGAACACTGTGAGAAATAATTTAGTTATAAGTTATTAGTCGACTTATGATGAAAAAAATGTACACACCTGATAGACAGATGAACGTGGAAGATCAAGACATACAGCACAGCATAGAATGCCATTTAATCGTTGTTCAAGCTTTTGTCGCATGGTTAGACCATCAGCATCGAGCAGTTTAGACGGTGGTGGAGACATAGACGATGATGATATTTTCGAACGTTTTGAAGAGGATAATGAACTACATGAACCATCAGCATTCAACAATTTGCTATCCATACTAGATTCAAACGGTCTTTTGATTAGATGATGTATATTTTGTGGTACTACACCAGTTTCGGTAGCTAGACTTTGAGATCCGGAAGAAGATGCTATCGGTGATGATGATGATGATGATGATTGAATTTGATGCATTAAATGATGAGATGTTTGCGGTTGACCTTGGCTTATCATCGAATGTAAATAGGAAGCTGTTTCGGTAAGATATTGCATCGAACTCGATGATGTACCAGGAGTTTCGTTTATGATGCCAACATAAGATGGCTGTGATGATGGTCCAGCCACCAATGATGATGTAGATTGTGATGAAGTGGAAGGTCCTTGTTGAGCATGTTGTTGTTGTTGCTGTTGCTGCTGTGTAGATACGGTGACCACAACAGAAGTGGGTGCACCCATCATCGATGTTGATGTTTGTTGTTGTGGTGGTGGTGGAGTCAAAATATTAGATGTTGAGGCTGTTGATGCGGACAACGATGAACTTGTCGATTCACCAATTTGACCAGTATTCGATGAATTATTAGCTGATGATGTATTCGAAGATCCATTATTATCGACTGTTGAAACAGTATTAGCCGTAGCTGGATTACTATTCAATACTTCAGTCGACATTATGATGATGAATGATGATGATAAATGTGGATATTTGGTGATTGGGATACTATTTTCAAAACAGAAACCAACTATACATAAGTATCGAATGAATTAAATCAACAACAACCAGAAAAAAAAGGAAATTGTTTCCGACGAAATTACAAAATAAGAAAGAAAAAAAATCTATATGTTCAGTGTATATGACGAATAAAAGTAAAAAAAATTAATGCTATTCGATATTTCTGTAAACAACAAACAAACAAAAAAATAGATAACTATTCAGTCAATAATCACAGAAAACAATAATATATTGCTTACCTGTTTATTTATTCAAAAAACAGAAAAAAAAACTTTTTTAGATATATCAAAATAATATGAATGATTTTTATTAACAAACAAAATCAGTTAAAACAATTCAAACAATTGCAATTTGTCCTTGTATAATTCGTTTTTCTTTTCTTCTGAATTTTCGTTGTTCAATACGAAAAGTAAGAAAGGAATGAATAAACAATGATGTTCATGGATCAACAACAACAACGTTGTATATGTAAACACACACAAAAATACAATAATGGTAAAAAGGATTGTGTGGTTATAATTGTCGTTCGTATAGTTTACGAAACAAAAAAAAATCATTGAATCAAATATAATTATTATCACCCGATAAAAAAGGTGAAAAACTTTTGGTTTCTTACAAAATTTTTTCATTAATTTATCAAAAAAAATGGATGTTTAGAAGAAGAAAAAGACAAAAAATGGGAGTTGTTTCATTAGAAAATGCGATTCAAATTCAATTGAATTGAATTGAATTGAATTGAATCGAATCCGTTTGTTTTTGTTTTGGTTTTTTTTTTGTTGTTGTTATGATAGTATACTGCTGTTCACAATGTTGATGTTTGTATCCTCATCATCATCAACATCAACAATAACAAACAACAACAACATTAAAACTGGGTGGTGGTGGTGGTGGTGGTAATAATCATGATGCAGATGATGATGATGATGACGAAATCCATAAACATTATCCACACGAGCAGTGGCATTTAAAATATCATTTAGGGCCAGGAACAGCAGATTTTTTTTCTCCATCAAATTAGAATACTAAAAAAGAGTGCACTTGTCCCTCATTTTTTTTTTGTTTTTGTTTCATCAATGAATTCGTTGTAGTAGCATCATTACTTTTATCATGTTATTCTGTTCTGTTCATTGCATATATAGCTTTTGCTATCCCTGCTGTATACCGTTTACTTTTTTTTTCGTCATTCATTTCATTCATAACAATGCGAAAGTCAATGTCGAATTGATGCGTCATAATGGTAAATGTCTATATGCACGTGCTACCATCATTATGTGTGCACGTGTATATTTGATGTTCCAAATATTAATGCTACTACTACGTTCCAAATTACAATCCAATGTAGGATTCTCTTTAAACCAAAAACCAGTTTTTCTGTTTGTATACAATAAATTCATTGAAACATTACGCCCTCTATATATCCCATAATAATCTATGTAGATTTCGTTTTCACTTGTTGATTTTATTTGATTTTATCAATTGGATGATAAAGTAGAATTTAGTTCAAATTTAAAACAAAAGATGGCATTTCAATTTCCTATTACAGAAAAAAAAATTACAGAATTTAAAATTCAAAAATTCATTAAATGATTTTTGTGCAAAATCGGGTTCAGCTGTTATGCTTGCGCTTATACGATAATCTAATTCAAATTTTTCATTAGTAAACATCAACTAAACCACGCAACAACAGCAACAACAAAAAAAACATTTGAACCAAATGGAACACACACCCGTATACACATCGTATTTGTAAATGCTACTTCCAAACACTGGCCATCATCTATTGTTATTTGTTGTTTGTTGTTCTATGATCCAATGATGATAATAATCATTATTAAAAAAAATACCCAACTTTTTTTTTGCAAAACATTCAACATCTAATGAAGCATGCATGTGTATTATTCTAGCAAAACGAAGGGCTAGAAAATTGAATAAAATTTTCGTCATTTAAATAGACGAAAATAAAGATGCAAAACAAAAAACTTTATTCTGTAAGGGTATGTTTTGCGTGTGTGGGTAATAATGAAATGTTGTAATGAAAATACCATAGACATATATAGAGATATGGGGAAAACACACACACAAACACTAAAACACACAGGATCTATACACAAAACACATTAAATAATAATGGCCGCACCCAGACCAACGAGTCAACTGAAGAAGAAGAGGAAGAAATTTTTATTATCATTTTTTTCCATCTATCTTGGTTGAAAAAATTTCAAAGAATGATCAATGTATCTTATTTTTAATTTATTTGAATATTTATGGATGGAGAACATATATTTTGATTACCGGAGGATATGATGTTCTCCGGTGATGATAATAATAATAATCCTACTGTATTGAATTGAAAATTAATATAAATATTTTAAAAAAATTGTAAACATTGAGTTGATGGGGAGGAAACAACTAGTTCTAGAGGTCAACTTTGAATAAACTATTATTATTATTATGGGGAGGAAATAAAACTTAGTTCGAATGAGACCCAATAGGGTAGAATTAGCTGTTTTTTTTCTAGTCAAAGGAAATGGATTGAGTAAGAAGCGAAAAATGAAAACAAAAAAAAATTCTGGCTGAATTGACAAAAAAAAACATGAGTGAAAATGAAAATGAATTTCCAAGTATGATTATTCAACATTTTTTTCCTTAAGATTTTTTTTTTTGATTGTCATTATTGTTATGAGAAAATCAACTCGAATAGTTTAAAGAATTTCATTCTTTTCTATTTCGACTCTAACCATCATCATCATTATTATCATTATTATCGAATCGAATCTTTGATGTGTATACCATAAACAAATCGAATTCTAAAGAAAAGGTGGCGGTGGTGGTGGTGATGGCAGTATTTCAAATCATTATCATCATCGTTTATTTTCATGTAGAAAAGGAAATGAAAACTGGTCTTCATCGTTTTTCTTATTATCATCATGATCAACAAACATTCATTCAAATTGAATGTAAGATAATGATGATAATAATAATAATGGTGATTCAACTTGATGTGTGATGTGAGAATCAAGTGAATTGAGAATTTCTTTTCTACAAAAAAAAAGAAAGAAAAAAACCTCCCCAGCTCTGCAGCTGTTTTGGTTGAATTTTAATTTTCAGTCTAAAATTCTTCATTCTTCAATGGTGATATGTATTGTGTGTGTGTATGTTTGTCTTGATGAAATTCTACTACCGGCAATTTTTCCATTTGTTTGTATGGACGTTTGTTGTCGTTGTTAAATTTTTCACGCACGCATGGTCATTGTTATTATAATCTTTTTTTTTTGTTGTTGTTGATGATGATGATTGGTGATGGAAACGACGAACTTTTTTTCTGATGATAATGATGATCATCATCATTATAATGGTAGTGGTACATCGATATTTAAATTCTGATTCTATCTGTAGTTTTTTTTTCAAAAAAAAAAAAAAAAGTTTCATATTACATAATAGGCAAAGGCAGGAAAGAAAAAAATTCAATGATAATGATAATAAATAAACATGATTAACAAACTAGATCGATCAGAAAGATTTTTTTTTATAGAGGGGGAGGGGAGAAAAACCTGGAAACATCCGGAGCTTATGACACTTTCAGTCAAATTTAATGAATTTTTTTTTCTTCTTTCTGAATAAGTAATGAGAAAAGAATGTCCCCCCCCCGAATAAATGGATAATAATTCTTCTTTTTTGTTGTTGTTGCTGTTGTTATTGTTGCAAATCAATTTTATTGTGAAAAAAAGATTTTTAAAATTCTTTCCATGATTCACACAAACATTAAAAATTCCTATTATGTTTTGTTGAATGACATTCAAGTATGTGCTTTTTTCGTTTCGTTTTGTTTTGTTTGTTTTTTTTTCTGCAGAATTTCTGAAATGTTAAACTCATTTGTCAATAACACCCATGATGGAATAAAAACAAACAAACAAACAAACAAAATTCTGTTTGTTTAGGTGTGTGTGTGTTGGTGATTAATACCGGATGAGATAGGACAATAAAATGAAATGAAAAAAGAAAATCCGTTTTGAAAAAATAAAATTATAGGGGTTATAAGAATCGGTAAATATCAGAATATAGTGGTGGTGGTGGGGAAGGGGGAAGTAGTAAAAGTTGGACCAAAAAAAAAACAGAATATTTTTTTTTTTTTTTTTTTTTTGGTTGGGGGGAAAACATTTTTTTCCAATAATGACCAAA